GAAGTTTCCCTGGTGTCCTGTGCAACAAATCCCCAAATAAAATTGGTCACTCACTCCATGGCTGTCTGTGGGACTTTGCTGTGCAAAAACTGCCTGCCACTTTACGCCCACAAAACAGTCAATCCACTTTACAGTACATCCTATGAAGCACTTTGAGACATCTTGATAATGTGATAAGGTGCTATATCAACAACAACAACAACAACAACAAGATTCCATTTATAAAATATATATTATCAAATAAATACAGGATTAATGTTTACTACAAAATTATGGAAGTTTCCAACAAAGTTCTGGCCTAATCATTAACACTTACATTTTCAGAATAGGAGTTCTACTCTTGATCGTTTTGCCATCCCTACACTTCTAACTCTAAACTTAAAACACTTGGGTAACTCTTCTCCAAAACCTTTCATGGGGTCAGTTGTTGTGAAATTCTAAAGTTACGTCTTATGCTCTTTTATCCAAATTATGTTCACAGCTATCTCATTTCTGCCCTTTTTTATGTTGTAGTTTATGGTTTGTTTCTTAACCTGTTTCCCTCTTCGCCCTCCCCATATCAACTCATTCAGACATTCATTCTCTCTCCACTACTTCCTTCCTACTCAATCATCCTTTCCTTATGCACTGTTTTGCTGATGATTCCGTTCTACGTGCATTAACTTTTTTCTGAGACCAAAGTCCCAATTGCACACAATCTTCCCTCTTCCACGAACTGTCATCGCCTCCTCCTCTGGAGACAGACTATCATTTCTGGGAGAGTGTTAATTGGTTTTTCAATTTCATGTTTTTTTCCATGTCTCAAGCAAATTTAACCAACAGCTAAGATAGTACCAATGATTCTCCTGTTTAGACTCAATGTTTTTTTTCCGTAATGGGTAAAAGATATCATCATTTAACCAACACATGGTGGAAATATTTACAATTCCAAAAAGGAACAATAAATCAATAAACTAAACCAAATTACCATTCATCGGTTGAGTACTTNAAAAAAAGTCTTTAGAATTTCTTCTAAAACTTAGACCTAAATACAAGTTCTACATAATCAATTATCCTTGTAATGTGTCTGCATAATCTGTTGTTGTTGTTAGATTATCACTTTGTTGGATACAATATATTCTGAATCAATCTTGCATAAGATATTTGACATACAAGTCACTGACAAAATAGTCATTATATTTCACAGTATAACTCATGAAGCAGTTTCAGATATCCTCCCGACATGAAAGGCACTGTATCCAACGAAAGGCTTGTGATTGTTATAACCTGTTGGTAGGATCAAGTCAAAATCACACTACTGCTTAAATTTTATTCTTTATCGCTTGGTATAAAAATACCTGCAGTGAACGATCAAAGGATTTGATGATCTGACCAAATGTACCAGGTATATGTTTGGTCCTAAGCTGATTGCTAAAAATAGTGATATTTTTCTTATGTCTTTAATAATGGAAATTCTGTGAACAACATGATATATTAAAAAATTGTAGGAATAAAGGCTCTTTGGGCAGTAAACGGTACCAAACACATTCAGTTACTGCTGGGTCATTGACTTCCGGTATTCAGAAGCATCTGCCTGCAGCAATTAATTCTGCTAATCACAGCCAAGTTGAAAATGAACCAGAGTTGCGATCATAATGCCAATATATCAAGATGCAATGCCAATGCTGTTAATTCTAAAGTGCTGACCAGACGTAAACAAAATCCAAATTCACTGAGCAAGATCTGGAGTTCAAGGGGAAACCTCTTTTTGACACTGGCTTAGCTCCACCAATTCCTCTGAAAATAAGGGCACCAGAAGAGGTCGTTCGGTTAAATATGTCTTTGTACAGGAAAGGGAGTGGCACCCTATGCCAGACATTTAATAATGATACAAAGACCACCAAAGAAAATACTTCGCTCTGCTTACTTGCCAGTGGAACAATCAGATGAGTTCCCCAAGAACAAAAAGCTTAAGAAGTTGAAAAAAAAGAGCAGCCAGATGTTCAGCCCAGGAAATTGGATGGAAACGAGAAGTTTGCATTGGAAACTTCCACAACTGAATTGGGTAAAATGTTTCTTTTTGTAGAACCATGAGCTGGATCTCTTATACATTAACAAAAGAAAATACAGAATTTATACATCAGTAACTTTGTAAATAAACAAATTATTTATGCTTGTTATAGTGATGTGACATTCCTAACTAATATTTTTCTTGCCACAGATGGAACTGTACTATCTGGAAATGTTATTGAGAAATGAATCATAATGCACCACAACCACACAAAGCACATCTTCTATTATTGCATCATAGGATTGTTGCCTCGTGGATTGCAGCAAACCTGTAGTCCAGTACCTCACGGATCTCTTCCGTCACCTCAGTGATCCTTCAGCTTTCTCCTATCTTCGATCATTGTATCCTAATACTTCACTGAGAATTTTGTGTAAGCTGCAAATTCACAGTTTTGCCCAAACTGAACAGTTACTGCCAAGTGTCTTTACTCATACAATTTATTAATATAGGATCCATGGATCTATTGGTAGTCATAATTCCCCTGAAAAGGTATCACAACCATTTGAGAATTCACATTCACCTTTTTAGGTTGCAATCATCAGACATGTAGAGGAACAAGTCAGTTGGAGTATCAACCAGAAATACAAAATTCTCCTGGTCAGGTTCTGGATGAGAAGATTGGAGAATACAGGACTTCACATTTCTGAGTTTTGTGAGCTCATGGACATTTATGGCAATAGTTTCCCATGGAGAAAATATCAAACCACAATAACCAACAGATCTCTTTGAGACAACAATTCAGCAATGGAATCTACGACAAGAGAGTTTAAATAGAATAGGTTTATTGTAAGCAGCTCTGAAAGGGAATTTGCAGAAAGACTACAATTTTTTTTTTTTGGTTGGTGGGGGGAGAGAATTTGCAAAGTTCATGGTTTCCATTGAACCAGGTTTCAACCAATTCATGATGCATGAGCTTCAATCCACTTGAGCAAAGCTTAGAATTCTACAAGCAGTACAGTAGATCTTGGGGCAGTAATTTTTGGTCCAGGCCCAAGCAAATTAAACTTGGAAACTCAATCTCACAGAAGTAATAGAGCTCTACATGGAGATCATTCAAGGCATTCCTGACGCAGACCTCAGAAGCGTCTCCAATTCCTATATAAACCCGACACCATTTGGGTTGGACTCCGTTTCCTATTTGTGTTGTTGCTGGAGATTCGCAGGTGACAAAGGTCACAGTGAAAATAGCTACCCAGTAAAAAGTTAAAACATCAAATTATTTGCACATTCATTTTAATTTGTATGTTTTTCTTTAATTATTGTATTTGATTAAAAATAAAACTGCTCCACCAGATACTAAGTACAGATCTTGTACAAGAAATTGTCAGCAGTATGCAATCGGTAATGTGAAGTCATACATGCATTAGAGACTGAGATTCCTCTCAATTGAAGTGCAATTCAGGGAAATAGTTCAAAAGTTCAGTGATGGTAAAGTGGAAGCCCTGCTAAATGGAGCACCTGCAGCAAATAAACTTAGACCATTGGATGTCTCATATAGCAACCCAGCTGAATTAGCACTTCAACACTCCAAACATTTGGACAAGCCCAGAAGTCCAAAAACACACTAATAACTCACCAGCTTTCTGTGGAATAGGCAATTGGTCATTTTTAAAATTTGCCTTGAGCAGTACCACTGTAATCCGTGAACCAAGTTATTGTTTTGGTTATGACCCTTCATAGAGAATCGACTTTAGAATCATAGAATTATACAGCATAGAAGGAGGCCATTCGGCCCATCGTGTCTGTGCCGGCTCTTTGAAAAGAGCTGTCCAATTCAATCCTACTTTCCCACTCTCTCCCCCCAAATAATTATCTGCTTTTCTCTTAAAAGTTGTTATCGAATCCGCCTCCACCACCCTTTCAGGCAGTGCATTCCAGATCCGAACAACTCGCTGTGTAATGAAAGTTTCTCTTCACCTCCCCTCTGTTTCTTTTAATAACTGTTTTAAATCAGTGTCCTCAGGTTACTGACCCACCCACCAGTGGAAATAGTTTCTCCTTGTTCACCCTATCGAATCCCCTCATAATTTTGAAAACTTCTATTAGTCTCCTCTTAACTTTCTCTGCTCCAAGAAGAATAATCCCAGCTTCTCTAGTCTCTCCTGATAACTGAAGTCCCTCATTCCTGGTACCATCCTGATAAATCTCCTTTGCACTCTCTCCAATGTCTTGACTTCTTTCCTAGAGTGTGGTGCCCAGAACTGAACACAGTAATCTAGCTGAGGCCTAACCAGTGTTTATAAAGGTTTCTAAGCTTAAGCAGAGCAAATTGGACCACATCAAGCAAGCAGCAAAGAAAGGCATTTTGCAAAGAAAAGTGACTGCTATAATGGTAGAAGTTCTCTTACGTCATAAAGTACAATTTTCACTTTGTAGTAAATGGATGATAAAATTACTGAGCGTTCTAGTTTAGATATTTTTGTTATCAGAAAATAGATTGAAAGTGAATTGAATAAATGTTAAAATCAACAAATGCACATTTACTGTTAGTTTTGACCTACCCTTGTATTCTGTTCTGATTGGATTTCAACTGCTTTTTTTGACAATATCACAAATTTCTTTCTGCCAGCATCCTTTTTGCAGCTTTGTAATTGAGACTAAAGTTTAGTTTCGAACTTTCAAATGTCTGATTCAATTGTCACTGTAAAATGTGATTTTAGCACTTCAATAAATATTACATTTTATGTGATTATTTTAATCACTTTAACCTGTTTTATCAGCTTAATTTTTCTTTCAAAGTAAGTTTATTTCAAATTCACAAGGTGTGCATGCAATGATATAAACCTACTCATAAATAAGAAATGTGAGTTTTTTTCAAAAATCATCAATGGGACAAACCCTTGTTAAAAGAGAATGTTTAGTATGTTATCACTGTTTTTACTCATGCATAAAATTGTGTTGGTTTTTATACAGTAGGATATCCATTGATTTGATATTATGTACATTGCAGCTTTATTGGTACATCAGAAAGCCAGAATGAATCGATTGCATCGAGAGCTTGAGCTGGAGAAGAAAAAGCTGGATAAACTGAAAACTGAGGTTAATGAAATGGAAAGTGACCTAACCCAAAGACGTATGAAACGATCAAGCTCTGCTTCCCAGATCCCATCGGTAGGATTCAACAGTACTTTGTGGCAAACTGTTGTTTACTTCCCTTCCACTAAACCAACGTGAATTACTGAGCATTTTACTATCCGATAACATTTTCACTGGAATTAAAGAATAAATCCGAACCCCCAATAATAAAATGATACATTGAGCAGATTGTTTTTCATAAAATCATATTGGGCCCTTCAAATTACAGCATTGAAAAAGTCCTATTAAGGTTATATCTGTGCTTCACTGGAGGTTCATACACTTGATCCCAATTTTCTGCTCTTTCTTTGGTGCGGTTGTGCTTCATATATGTATCTAATTCTCTTTAAGATATTATGGTCAAATTGGGGGCACTTGAATCACGGCTTCATTTGTTATTTTTTGACAAAAATATGGATAATCTGTCAACATAGTCTCCTGGAAAATGTTTACATGTGTTAAAAATAATCATTTGTTTCCTCTGATAATTATTAAAAAAGATAGTAACCTAAACCTTGGTCTTTCAGCTAGAGGAAATGCAGCAGTTACGAAGCAATAATCGACAACTACAGATCAATATAGACTGTATAACCAAAGAGATCGACTTGTTTCAAGCAAAAGGTATGTTTGACTTCAAATAAACTGATGCAATAGAGTCAGTAATCCATGTTTTAAAAATGATACAAGTAGAGTTTTTGCAGAGTTTGACAACAGTATAACAGTTTTATTTTCTGATTCATGCAAAGCATCAAAATTCACTCCTTCCTACAATTAGATGGTAAGAAGAGATTAAGTAGTGTATAATTTACACTAACCCACATGAAGTGCGCTATATAAATGCAATTTGTTGTGTATAGTTATATTGAGTGTATTAATGCAATATAGGCATTAAGCAAGAGCATTCTAGTTTGACAAATTTATTTCTGAAATGTCCTTAAACACACTGAGTAATTTTAACTTATGAAAATAGTTCTTGAATGTAACTAACATTAAATGTCACAATTTTGCCATAAGACAACCCTTGTCAGGAATATTCTTCAGCAAGCAAAAACAGTTACTGTTAAGTGTAGTGCCTTACAGCAGGTAAACGCATATGCGCAGGATAGAGAATAAAGTCAACATTATTGTATTACCAAACCTGTGACATTTACTCATTGCAGGACCACACTTTAACCCCAGTGCTATCCACAACTTTTATGACAATATAGGATTTCGAGGTCCTGTGCCACCTAAACCCAAAGGTAGAGTATACATTTCATCAGCTTTGCTCTTAAATTTAATGTTTGTCCTTGATCTGGATTCCCCATCTTGAGTAAGAGACATTTTCTTTACAGTTTGACAAACCCCTTCATTGGAAGACTGTGATAAAGAGTGCTAGTTCTTCCTGACATACATGGTTTGACATCACACTGTAAATCTTTGGTGTCTATTTACAATTCATAGAGGTCATGTCTCCATTACAAATCGCTGTGCCAGAATTTTTCTGTACATGATTCTAGTTATAGGAAAAATTAGGAGAGAGGTTAGGAAGAATTTCTTCATTCAGCGAATTGTTAGGATTTAGAATTTACTTATTGATGCTGGATCGATAGAATTATTCAAAAGGGAAATGGCTAAGCAGGTGAGAGGTAAACCATGCTCCCAAATGCCTTTTCTGTCCATTAAAATAATAATAGTAATGATTTGGTCACTCAATCCATGACTTTGTGAGACCCTGCTGTGCGAAATTGGCTGCCATCCCACAGTCCCTACGCCTCGCTTCCTCCCTTGCCTCCTTCAAGGCCGGTCTCAAGACCCTTCTCTTCAATCGTGCCTTTGGTCTCCCTCCCACCTCTCTGCCTTCCCTCACCCTTCCCCATGCTCAGGCCCCGACACCTGACTGTTCAGCGCTTTGGAACGTCCTCCCGACGTGAAAGGCGCTCTATAAATGTCATTTTGTTGTTGTTGTTGCCACATTTCAACCATAAATATACAGTCAATTCACTTCACAGTATATTCTGTTAATCGCTTTGAGATGTCACAACGACCTGATAAGGCACTTTATCAAATGCAATGATTATTATTAAATTAACTTTTTCTGTGTTCCAGTGTAACCTTACGAATGGGTAAGATGACAAAATAGTTTGATTCCAGACAAATTTTTCTTACATTAATTAGCATGCGCCCTACAAAAGGTTCAAGAGAGTTGTAGGAATTATTTTCAACTGTTTTATTTTCTTTCTAGCAGAGCAGAAGCTTGCTACCAAAACACCAAAGCTTGTATCAGATCCAGAGGAGGACGAAGGGGCCCAATGGAACTGTAGCACATGTACCTTCCTAAACCATCCAGCCTTGAACCGCTGTGAACAGTGTGAGATGCCCAGGCATTTCTGAGGCAGCGGGCTCACAAGTGGAACGAGTATCAAAGTAGGAAAGCTCCAATGAATACTGATAGGGATGAGTCGTTTACAAGTCTGCAATGATTTTGAACAGCGAGCGCAATGTGAAAAGAATTTCAGTTACATGCTGGTCTAAAGTGGAAACGTTACTACAGCACAATAGCCAGCAACCTAACATCCGTTACCTCTTCTGTGATGCAGTGGAAGCTTCAAGAGTGCATTCTGCAGTCCTCACTGTGCCTGAATACTCTGAGCCTGGATGTCAGGTTGCCTTACCAGATGCAGTATTACCAGTTAAAGCAGTAACTTTTCACAAAGCCGCAACTGTATAAACAGATAAGGGACTTACAGTCTCTCCTGTCCTCTCCCCCTCCTCAGCTGTCCCTTCCCCCTCTCCACCCCCCCCCCCCCCCCCCCTCCCCACATAAAAGTGTTTCCAGGTGGAATTACTACAAAATAGAGCAGCACATTGAATTGTGGGACCTGAACACTACAGAAAGGTACTTATGAAGGGCAGCCATCAAGAATTGTTAGTGTTCATGGATTAGGAAAATGTGCGCATCAGTGGTACTTAATAAACCTCAAATCTTAAGCAGCTTTCTCACTCTGTGCCTTTACAACCAAATGAGGATTGTTTTTGAGGGAGAGCTGAATGTGTTGTCTTTATGTTACAAACATATATTATGAACCTATTTGTTGGGTTTCCTGGATGACTCGGTGAGTAAATAGGTAAGGTACTGAGCCATTAGACCAGGAATGTCACATGATCTATGCAAGGTGTACGATGAGTTCAGCCCAAGTGGTGGGGAGATTTCAATTGACCTGATGGTCGTGACTTAGTAAGGGAGAAAAACAATCAGCCAGGGTCCCCACTCCTGATCATTATCCAGTGACCCCTGCTTGAAAATGTACATTTGTAAATGTCGGGTGAGGACAGGATCAGGCTCTACTGAGACCTTTCATTGCTGACAATCACTGCCTAGAGAGCAAGATATTGAAGGGTTGATGGCACCTGTGGAATTGTCCGCCAAGGGGAGAAAATTTGGAGGGGGAATAAAGAACCTACATTGCTTTCCTTGTACATTTCTTGCATTATCTGTATGTATTGTGTATTGAACTTTGGTAATTAATTTCTTTTGAGCAGTTTAGCAAAATCATGTCTTCAGCTTTTTTTGCTTGATATCTGTCAGAAGTGAAGCCTTAAATGAATTTTAAAGAAACCAAGCTATGCACAAATCAGCTTTCTTTGCCCTATCTGTACGTTGCTTCTGTAAATTATGTTTTGAGGACACCTGCAGGTGCAGCTTATAAGACAGCAATGAATGGTCATAGGCAATGTTTGCCTGTGTGTGAAATTGTCCATTTACCCATTTGAGACTAGGATTTTTTTTAATATAAAAGAAGCACTATGTCAGTGCAGAATGCTCGGCTTCAGAATTATGAAAATATAATTCTGAATCAGACTCCTGAGTTATTTAAAAAAAAGTTAACCCTAAGCACTTAATTCCCATACAGAATGTAATGTACACAAACCCCCGTCTTTCGCTTCATCTGCAGTTCCAAGTGAAAATTACAATGTGGTTTTTACATGTTTCATTAATNAAAAAATTGGGTATCTTAAGTTGATGATTTTGTGATTTAGTTGCGTAAACTGTCTTTGTAACAGATAAGTTATTTGTAAAATTAAAAAAGGACTTTTACTTTGGTGTTTGTTTAATTCTGCTGCACACTGTACATAAAACATTTATAAGATACCCTTCATACAAATCATTTGACTCTACTAAATGGCATTTGGTGGTACATTACATACCCTAACAAAATCAGTCAGACCAACACTCAGTTTCAATGTGAAAGCATCATTGAAAGCAAAAAATTGTGAACGCAGTGAGGGCAGAATATGACAATACAATTTACATTTGGATAGCACCTTTCACATCAGGAAGACATTCCAAGTGCATTTACAGTACATATTATTGGGAAGGACTGGTAAGTGGGTTCAATTGATAACTGGTCATTTGTGGACCAGAGGGGGAAAGGCATTAAAAGGGTATAAGGAGTTGAAAATTGTGACCATGAAATTGTAAGAGTGGGTTTCGGTTGGCTTATCAATATTTTGCTTCCATTCAGGAGCAGTAAACTAAAGATCTCTGCACTTTATAGAAACTTTGTGAAGTGCTTTGGGACATTCAACATGATAGGCGCTTAAACCAAATACAAGGAATTTTTTTTTTGCATTACAGTTGATGCACAAATGATTACAAAAAAAGTCAGACAGGCAGATCCTTTGGAATGTTAATGGTCTCCACTCCCCCAAACAACTGGGCTTGCATGCTGGAAAAATAGTCTTATTGGAAAATCCATTTGCTTGGAAAGAAGGCAACAAAATACAGGAGTTGAATGGGAACATTTGCGCAGGCAGGACTGGGATGATTTATTGGCAACGCTTGCAATTACTGTGTGTAAAAACAGAAAATTGGTTATTTGCAGAATAACGGGTACAGGTAATCAATAATGCTTCCAGATACTGTGCTTAGCAGCTGAGTGAACAAGTGTAAATACTTGATAACAAAACCTGACTATATCAACACGTTTAAAAGTCCTTGATAATTTTCACCAAACAGACATCCTGTGGTACTGTGCCTCCCGTTGTGCAGCAGTGCCACCGTGGGACACTTAAGTGGATTTGCAACTTGAGGTAAACATTAGCACCATCAAGTGGTACAAATCTGCACACCAGCGACGTCAAACAGCAGCAGTTAGAAAAGTTTGTGGGCCACCAAATCTAATCCTTTTAGTACATTAACTATCCCCATCAATCTTGCATCGGGATCACAAGGTGTTTGGTAACATCCCTCTCATGACCTGAGCTCATAATCTGGACTGACATTCCAGTGCAAGAATTGAGGGCACCGCTTCGTTGCAAGTGCTATCCCTTGGATAAAATGCAACCATGAGGTCCTGTTTGCTTACTTTTCAGGTAGATGTTTGCCCACAAAATACAAAATATTTGAAAAAAGGAAGTTTCTCCTGCTAACCTGAACAGCAATCCTCCAGATTTAATCGTATTGGAAATTTACATTAATTTTCTGCTGGTTTACACTGGCAATTCGTATATTGTTAAAAATGAAATCCTTTCTGAAATAAAAGGGTTACCTGAACAGGCTCTAATGGTGATATGGATGCTAACTATCACCTGTACTTTCAGAAAGCAGGCAAAATCAGGACGTTCCTGCTGTCTCAGTAGCTGCTTGTTTTTGCTGGTTATAAATCAAGATTTTTTGCAGATAAAATTTTCTTCAGCACAAGGCTCCAATCCCACTCCCATTTGCCCCCCAGTTGAGTTGGTCCCGATCTTAATAATAATAATCCTTGCATTTTATATAGCGCTTTTCACGTCGGGAGGACGTCCCAAAGCACTTCACAGAACACACTGTAAAGTGAATTGACTATATTTGTGGGCGAACGTGGCAGCCAATTGCGTACAGCAATGTCCCACAAACAGTCATAGATTGAAAATGACCAATTTATTATTGTTTTGGTTTTGGAGGGATTATTATTAGGCTCTGTGTGGAGTAAGGAAACTTGCCCAAGGTTTCCCCTGCCTGGAATTGAACTCAGGTCTCTCGCTTGCAAAGCGAGTGCTCTAACCACTGAGCTACAGGACTCCACAGTTTTTAAAAATATATATTCTACCCACGTTTTCTCCACCTCATCTAACTTAAGCCATCATCCCAGCGCCTACTCTCCTCCACTCTTCTGACTGGTCCATCTCTCACGCTTTGCTCCATCAAAAATGTTCCTGTATCTATCTGTGTTACACGTCGCCAATTTCGGAACTCACAACTTTAGTGAATGTAGTGAATTGGATGGCTTTTGCAAGTTTTGCAAGTTTTGCAAATAGCAATTTCGGTGTTTCAAATTCAGTTTGTGACTGTTGTGCATTGTGTCAAAGGCTTTGCTAAAATCCTGATCTAGCCACCAGGTCAGCCATTTCCTTATAAAAACTAATAGAACTGCCAAGCAGGACTATCATAATGAACCTCTTCCCAAACACAGATGTCAGTCAAGCAAAACGATTCCCAAAGCAGCAATTGTAAGTTGAAGGCAGTACATTTACACTCTTCATTTTCACTAGATCACAGGGGAAATATTAGCCACAGACATTGCTCCCAATTCATTCAGCCACAGCCTCTCCTCTGATCAGGGGCCCACTCCATCCCATGATACAGACAATTCGAAACACTGAATAAGATTCAGTCACTGAACAAATTACCCCAGAGAATATTAAGCAATTAAAAATGAACCCGCTCCTAAAAGACATGCCTGACGGCTCTCGCTGTGTTTGAATTACTTTGTCCATTTCAAAACTGCAGCTTGTGGAAGTTTTAGTCTGCAGTACAGTCAGGATTGAGGTAAAATACCTAACTTTGATTTGGGTTTGAAACCATTGCATTAGGTGCGAATAGGTTCAAGTCTAATTCACTTCTCAAGCTTAGCAACTTTTATTTAAAGAGGTGTGTAAACTAGTTCACCCACGTTTTCTGCCCAAGGCATATTAAGTTTTTGCAAATGCCAAGGCTACTACATTCTACACACCTGTGACCCGGTTTTGGGGAAGAGAAAGTTTAATTAAAAATTGGAGTTTATAAGGGTCTTAGAAACAGTATAACTCCCCCTGCTGGTGCTTGGTGTGATTTCACCTTCTATTGCACTTTATTTCCAAGTGTTTTGTTGAGAAGTTCAGTCATTCTGAATTAATAAGGTCCTTTGCCCTTTTACACACAAGTGAAGCAAAACATTTGCAGCAATCCCTCAGATAGCTTATAAATGTAGAGATGGATTTTGTCTGGAGGGACAAGCTTGAGGCCATGTTTTGTAAAATTCAAATTAACATTCCTGAACTGCACCTTGCTAGTGGTCTTGGTTATATATCCCAGTTTGGGGTTTTGGTGGGAAGCTCTAATATTTTCTAATGTGACTTCTGTAAGTAGTGTCAAAACAGGTCGTTTATTTTAGTAATAGAGAATACCAGACACTGAACCTCCCACAATGTTTAAACAGTTGTTGGGCAATCCCTGTGGTGGGATTTTCATGTGTTTTATGAAGATCCCACTCCAACTGTTATGTAGTTTTATGGGTTGGGAGCAAGAGTAACAAATCTTACTGTAATGTCCTGTACAGCAGCCTCTTTAACATTGCCCGTTACACAATACCTCAGAACTTCGTTCACGATCCCTTGAAATGAAGAACATTCCTCTTGGAAGCTCTCTCTTGTTGAGAAGAAATGCATTTTGTGTCCTGATCATGTAGAAGTGCTATGCACAAATGAAGAGTTACGACTTGTTATTCAGCCTTTTTTATTCCATTAAACACGAGAAACAAAACATTGACAAGTCCAGGACAGTCTCCAAAAACAGACTGGCAAAAACAGTGAGCAATGAATTTATGCTCCAATTGCCTCCTTCAGTCAGGGATCACCGAACAAACATTAAACTTTTTTTTCTGAATGGGAAGAAAACAGAGAATTTGCACTGTTTCAGGGAAGAGTGAGATCACTGGGCTTGAAGCCTGAACAACTGCCTAGCAACTGAGAGGATACCAGTAAACAGGCTCCACAAAATAAGTCCTTGAAGAAATCAATGAAAGGCATTAGTATTCCAATCACACAACAGATAAAGATATCATTGGCTTCTAATTTGCAACGTAGCAAGTTCAAGCTAGCCAAGATAGCAGATGTAAATCAGTCAAGAGGAGCAACTTTTGATTGTTATAAACATTTAAGACTAAAAACAATATGACAAATGGAAGTGATTAAATATTTCAGGTCAGAGACCAAAGCGTTCCAGGACACTATTTCCATGGGAAGGGTGCTTATGTAAATGCACTTTGTTGTTCATATTTTTGAATTTCATGGCTACATGCACTGCATTTTTTGTATAATATTTCCCCTCTTATTCAATTCATGCTGTTCACAATTCCCTGGCCAGGAGGCTGAATACATGAGGGTGAGGATCTTGAAATCAATCCTTTGGAGACAGAGAGCCAGTGGAGTCTGGCAAGGATTGGGGTGATGGGTATGCAGAATTTGGTATGGATGTGGGCGGTAAAGTTTTGGATGAGATGGACCATATGGATGGAGCAATTGGGGAGACCATTGAGGAGTGTATTTGAAAATGTCAAGGCGGGAAATGCCAAAAGCAAGGTTTTGGTGGCATTTGAGATGATAGGGTAGTGGAAAATATTTTGCATATTTGCAGTTCACAAGTTGAATTAATTTTCCTTGCACTTTCAATCTGAAGATTTTTAAATTGATGATCAGGAAGGAATGAGATTCCTTACCAGCAAAATTTCCTTACAAGGTAAGTTGCTGAAAATACTTCACGTTGGAATCAGCTGACAGAAGCATTTTTCCTACTGGGGTAAAAGGAGCAACTAACAACTGAGAAAAAAGAAGTGAAGCCTGGGCTAAATGCAGGCATGGAATGTCAACTTGAACAAATAAGATACCACCCAAATAACTGGCGTTGAGCTCACATTCTCGGCTGACACTTCACTGCAGTGCGGTTGCTCATTCTGGACATTAAATTAATCCTCATTCAGATGAATGTTAAAGATCCACGGCACTATTTAAAACGAGAAGTTTCTACAGTACTAATATTCTGGTCAACGATTCCCCAAACAGAAAAAAGTCATTCACAAATTGGCTGCCGTATTCACCGCAATAGTCACTACACTTAAAACAGAAAACTCTATGAAGTGATTGTGATACATTTTTATAATAATCCTTGTATTAAGATAATAATCCTTGCATTTGATATAGCGCTTTTCACGTCAGGAGGACGTCCCAAAGCGCTTCACAACACACTGTAAAGTGAATTGACTGTATATTTGTGAGCGAACGCGGCAGCCAATTGCGCACAGCAATGTCCCACAAACAGTCGTAGATTGAAAATGACCAATTTAATTATTGTTTTGGGTTTTTGAAGGGATTATTATTAGGCTCTGTGTGGAGTAAGGAAACTTGCCCAAAGTTTCGCCCTCTGCCTGGAATTGAACTCAGGTCTCTCGCTTGCAAAGCGAGTGCTCTAACCACTGAGCTACAGGACTCCACAAGATATAGTGCCTTATCATGTTATTAAGACATCTCAAAGTGCTTCACAGAATATATTGTAAAGTGGATTTACTATGTATTTTGTGGGCACAATGTGGCAGCCAATTGCACATAGCAATGTTACACAGTCATGGAGCAAGTGACCAAATTATTTTGGGTGGGGTGGTAGAAAGTTGCCTAAAGTTTTGCCCCACCCAGGAATCAAATGTGGGTTAACCACTATGCTACAGGACACCATCTCTCATAAGATGTTATCAAATGCAAAGGTTATTGTAACTGCCTCTCACTTCATGGGAATAGGCCCATTCTTATCATACATAATGAATGAGGAAGAATATTTTATACAGATTCAACATTTGTTTAGCAAATGCTTTGTTGCATTGTGTACAAACGCTCTTTGAATTCTGACCTGTAGCTTCCCAACATGAAGAGCGGTCTTACAGACACACTCTCACAACATGATGGTCACCTCAATGGTTTCCTCATGAAGTTTCAGCAGTATATACCACCGGATACCCAATGCTGCTCAGAGATTTGGGCAGAGATAAATCACTGAATCTGGACAGAGATGAACCACTGAATCTGGGAACTGTGAATGTTTTGGCATGATGATCGTGCTTATGTTCCCACTCCCCACCCCCACCAAAAAAAAAGTTTCAGGTTTCCCATTGGCACATCTCGCTCTTGAAAACCATCCAATTCTTTTTTGTTCTAACTATAACTGGTTCATGGGATGTAAATATGCTAAATGAGGCTTTCAACGAAAATTACAAGATTTTATTAGGATTCTTGAAGTTTAAAATAAAAGCAAACACTTAGTACAGTAACAGGTAGTATCAAGTCGAGACTATCAACAGAAACTTCTCACAATTAAAATTATAGCTGGTAGAACTGAAGTCTTATTCTGGCTGATTCAGGCACTGCTTTCTATTCCCCATTGGATTTTTCTGGGACAATAAATAAACTGGGAAACTTCTGCACTGACCCAATTCAATTACATACCTACAGCATAGCAGAGAGTTACAAAAGTAAATGAATCAGTTCAATGTTTGTAACTATTTGCTTAATAAATTGAATCACAGACCCAGCAATGCATTTTATTCTCATTATGAATTTCAAACCAGCCCAAAATACAAGTGGGTTTCAGTCAAGTTCCTTCTATCACTCAGATTAAAGGCACACTCACTATTATCGTGTGACAAAGGAAATGCATTCAACTAAAGAGGGCCAAATATCTCAATACTTTAAGACTACGGCGTAAAACACACAAATTTATTAGTGACCCAAATTAACACATTTCTGAAGCAGGAATAAAAAGTAATGCCCAACATACAGCCAAAATAAAATAGACATACTTAATGCTGGGAGTGAAATAACTCATTTTGAGTGGTGTATTAATCATTTGTAGAAATAAGTGCTTCAAATTCCACCACAAAAAGCTTTTCAAACCATGCATCAAACTGGGTAGGTCTTACAGTATATTAATGATAATTCATCCACTTTGTTATGCATTTTCAAAACCCAACTTATATGAAGAAAATTACATGCTGAACAATCTCAAACCCTGAATTACATTCCATACTTCATAGAAATGGCACACCAATACAATTTTTTTTACATCAGTTTTATTAAGAGTTATCTTCACTTTGAAATACTTGGCTTGCATTCTGTTGACAAAACCATTAACATTTTTATTTTGCAGATTTGATTTCCAGCCCATTCCAGATCACTTACTATCAGTCATTTCGAACCATACAAAAAGGTTTGTCAATTTGGGCTTTTCTTTTTTTAAAAAAAAAACATTGTGAAGGTGTACACGTATCATCCAAAATCAGTACCTACTCTCCTCAACCTGCACATACTAAACTGAGTAAAATAAAATCCACACATCCTTTTTAACAAAACTCCAGCTTTGGAATATTCCAATTGGTTGTTCTAAGATATGTAAAAGTATGTTCTGAAGTACAAATTTCATATCAGCCCGAAAATAAAAATAGCAGTGAGTTATTACAAAGTATTTTTATTGCCACAAATATTCTGCTTTATTATAAAAAAAACATTAAGAAGGGTCTTGTATGTGAAGAATCAAAGAATATCTAGTCTCCACATAGAGCTTCCCAACAACTATAACTTATATGAAGTATGTGAGTACATGCTGAACAATCTCAAACCCTGAATTACATTCAATGCATTTGCCTCTACTTCATAGAAGTACTTCTGTGTCTATCAGGAATATAACCTGTATAAATCTTCTCTGTTGACAACCTAAACCTAGTCATTAAATATTGGGCGTCCATAACTTGGACTTGCATTGTCTTTCCTGCAAAGTGTTAGAGAATTAATACAGCACAAGATACTGCAAAAGACAGGTTGCAGTTAACTTAGTTCAAGAGAGATCACTTCAAAGAATTAAGTTATTTTGAAAATACTAGTGTTGTAGATAAATGTGCAATAAATTTGTTTTTGGCAGTGCATATGTAAGCAAGAAAATTGTTGTTTTAAATACCTTACAGTAATGGATGTGGGTACTACATTAAATATTGAAATACTGCTGTGTTGTGCTGGCCACTACATCAAAGGTTAGGTTTTGGCTCTCAGCCAACACTTGAGAGGTTCCGAACTCCAGGAGGAAGATCAGGAAAGGGAACAAGAAGCGAGAATTGATTAGATGTTAATTCATGCTCTCCTAAACCCAAACATATCCAATAGATGTATGCAATTAATAAAGCTAATCCTTCTGTAAAATGATGCTTTAGAAGTAAGGATTTGATAGAGGCAAAAATATATTCTTACCCACACTGTGCACGACTGCGCCATTTCTGCTTTTAAGCATTCTGAGGTAAAATAAAATTTCTCTGCAATGTCTAGTTTACTCTCATCTCTCATATCAATGTAAAGATGAGTCAGCTTTCTAACCGTTACTGCTGTTACACTTGTGAGCATTACCGATCCTAGAAACAACAAAGCTTTGTATTGATGATCGTTGGCTATCAGTTGAATACCTTTCAATTTCACTAGATTTTGGTCAGGATGTGGAAAAGATATTTTAATCACAACAAAAATAGCTGTGCATGTACTGCAACGTCAATTAAAATGCATCATTAATCTGGAAAAACAGCAGATACTTAAAAAGTCCAGGTCATGCAAGAAAAATCTATATACAATGGAAGACTTCAACTTGGGTAAAATACTCTCACAAAAAGCCCATATTGTCAGTGTTAAGGCGCTTTTCATTACCTTGAGCTTAACAGCGCTGATACTACAAAAATAAATCTCACATCAAAGCAAAATATAATATATACAAGGTAACCGACCAGGATTTGCAGTACGATGTAGAAGTGCCGATTAGCAGAGGTTATTGAGTGCTCAAGTGTTTCATTACATTCTGCTAGTGGAGTGATTAGAGTACTGGCTTTAGGACTGAGCGTAGAGAGAGACCTCCTTTCGTGAGGTCTCGTGACACGCACATACACGGTAGTGGGATGGCTTCATCTCGTCTCTCCACAGTGTTGTACGTACAGCTCTTCAGGTGGTCAGCCATGCTTGTAATATCTGCAAACTTCCATTCGTTAACGGTACCAAAAGCGGTACTGAATCGCCAAGCCTGCAAAAAAATTATATTTTTCACAAATTGTCTCCTGCCATGATTAAATACGTATTCAACACTAACTATTCATGACCATTCAATAACACTGAATTACATGGTATAGAGAGACTTCTAAGGAATTGTATATTGCTATAGTTACTAATACAATTGTTGCTGTTTATACCAACTAACACTTTCAAAACGACATTGTTTAGTCCATTGCCAGATTCTGTCCCCAAATGTACAACCTACACTGCCTAGCCATTTGTGAAATGTGGTTATTTGACTTCAGATGAACTCATGATGTGTAGCATCTACATATCCTCCATGAATAAAGCCTGCGTTGAGTTTTAAATGGTAGTAGCAGCCTTCTTAGTTTGAGAACCCGAATTAGTCACAAAACTATAGTTATCCATTCCGTCACAAAAGCTTTCCATTGAAAAATACTTGGAACCAACCCACTATTATAATTTGCAATTTGGTAAAAACAAACACTTGAGCTGAAAGGTGTCTGAGAAGCAGAGACTAAAAGACTTTGTTTTTTCAGGAATTTTCACTGACATTTCTAGACTTAAAATTACTGTCTTCCGATTTTAATGATTAAAATTGGTATTTGTCAGTTTTCTTTAAATCAAGTTATATTAATTTCCATTGTTTAACATATCATTTTGAACCACAAAAATGGCATCCCATGCAGTAAGTGAATCTATAGGCACTGCTGGCACATGGGAACCACATGGGAAGTGATGTCCACAGCAACCTTACAACCTGGAAGTTGGCCATTTTTGTCGTCAAAATTGTAAAAAAAAATCAAAAGGTAAAATAAACATCTTATCTGTTGTAAATCATTTTTTAATTGAAAACCACAAACTTACAAATGCACGCAGCATTATGGCATACCTAGGCAGCTTTTCTCATCTACTTTTTAATACACAATCAAAAATATAAAACTTTAATTTCAGTGAAGTGAAATTACAGTGAAAATTAAGGGAAGATCCTGGGATATTTCAAAAATGATGAGTTGGATTGATTTTGTACCCAGTTGGTGCTGTGCCTGAGCTGGGAGTGTTAGATGGTGATAATGGGTTCCAGGAGGTCTCAGGACTAACCTCTCACTTTATTCTCTTCCTACAATCTATTTATTAATAATCCCTTCAAAACAAAATAATAAAACTGGTCATTTTCAATCCACGACTGTTTGTGGGACGCTGCTGTGTGCAATTGGCTGCCGCGTTTCGCCCACAAACATGCAGTCAATTCACTTTACAGTCTATTCTGTGAAGCACTTTGAGACGTCGAGAAGACGTGAAAAGCGCTATATCAAATGCAAGAATTATTATTATTATTAAATGAGATTTGAATATAAAAGTCAAAAGGGACTCTGCCCACTCAGCTCCTGTTAGCCTGAAGCCAAAGCATGAACAGGTATTGCAGTCCAAGCTGGACAAGCAGCAGGAAAGCTTGCCAGGCTTTCAATAGCAAGCTACGCGGTGTGAGCTGGTCAGACTCCAGCAGTACCCCAATACACACTCTGGGGTCCCCAAGCCTTGGCTCTTGCCAATTACACCTAATTTGCAGAATTAGCTAAGCAGGATGGGTCCCTCCAGGGAGAGAGTGCACATTCCATTCCGAGAAATATCTCTGGAATTTCCACGTGGAGGTGGGATGCCTGGAATTCTCAATTTGGTTTGGATGCTCTTAAGTTTCCTCACATGCGAAATCTATTTTTTTTTAAAAAAAACCTTTTCGCACACGATAGCTCAACCTATAAGGTTACGTTTTATATAACCAACATTTTTAAACAGATTACTGCTGGACACTGAATGCTGGTTACCAGTTACCCTTTTTTTAAAAAAAAACTTATACCATTGGAAATAACCGTTCACTAACCTTGCTTTTAATTTGCCAAGAGGGCATTCCGTTAGATCGCTGCCTTTTTTCCCAAAGAAGTATGACCATTCCCCGAACCTGCAGCAGACTGGCACACACTTCCCGCATTAAGTGAGAGACTTTTGAAAGTTGAGACAGACTGAAACCATCCAGAAACCCAGCAATATGCTGCAGGATCTCAAAGGGCAGACTTCTCAGTTGGTCAACAGCAGCTCCTAATGCAAGGTTCCTATTTTCAGTAGTCGGAGCCAATAAACCTGGAGGCACCTGAAGTTGGACTCCAAACGACTTCAAATGTCGATCGTGAATAACTTTGGAACCCTGGGCGGAAGGACAGAACCTTCTCTGAGAATAGGTACAACCATAATAAGCCAAAGGGCAGCGATGCTCCATCCAGCCATTAAGGCCGGCGTGAATGTCGCCGTGTACATTCTTAAAATGAGAAGAAAACTCATCTCTCCTGAAGAGTTGTCCGCATACAAAGGTAAACATTGAACGTTGTTTTGTTTGGTACCTGGTCACACATTCCAGGACCAGGTCCAGCCCAAGTGTCTGGAAAGGACTTGGATTTGACAGCTGAGGGGTGGCATGGTCGCAGGCAGATGCAGAAGCAATCTCTCCGACCATAGTATTTGTTGCTAATATGGCTGTAGGGAATGAGAAAGTTTGTGTTCCCGAATTAATATGGTTCCCATCAACACTGCGGCTGTCCGATATTCCTCTGCCACTGGGAGAGTCTCCTAAACAGAACAATAAGGCAGCTGTGATGAGATCAATTCCCTGCAGTTCCAAAGGATCATCTTCTTTTTCTAGATCAGAAGTATCCACTGATTTGTCTTCCATTTTCTTCCTGTACCGATATAGATCACCAACGTATGGCCTTCGCCCATTGAAACCTTCCAGTAATTTAAATGTGGCTGCATTCTTCAGTGCTAGGCGCTCCTCAAAGGGTCTGTTCTCTAATCCTTTCACTCCGGATGGCAAATGTTCTGAAGTATCCTCATGAAAACGCTCATGTTGCAATAAAGTTTCTACAGTAAGTAGTCGTGCAAACACAGGCAAAAATCGATCAGGCTCGGATGAATTGCTATCACATTCCATGTCACTTTCATGACTCGAGCCATTCATTGCACCTTCAGCTTGTTTTTTATCAGAAGATTCTGTGTCCATCTTATCCTGATCCAAAGTGTCTGCAGTCACTTCCATCTCATAGAAGCCATTGCATAAGGCACTTGTCTTTACCCGAATATGTTCATCTGCATCACCAGTTGCCACCATACCAGACAACACTCCAAACCCATTCTCTTCTACACAGACGTTCATATTCCTGCTGGATAAGTCATCGGCTATGGCTACAGAATCTGCTTTGTCACCAACCGCTCCTTCATCAATTATGTTCTGGTGTGAATCACCTCTCAGCTTTATACACAGTGAACCTTCAGAATTATCATCTCCAGCAGCCTGGGCATTTCCAACCCGTTCAGACTGTTCTTCAGATATTGTTCCATTTACCAGATCTGTGTCCTTTGTTGCATTATTCAAGATGTCAAGTGCTGCAGCTAGGCTTCTGGTTGTTTCAACAGTAGCTCTGTAAAGTTCATTGTAAGTTTCCTCATCCAGAGAGAGCAAGCCGTTCGAATGAGCTTTTTCTGATGTTTCCTCAGTAACAGAAATTGGTTCAGCATTTCCAAAGTGTTTATCAGGTGATATTGAAACAGATATTGGTTCAGCATTTCCACAGTGTTTATCAGATGATCTTGAAACAGTTGTTACTACCTTGAGAGATTCAAGCAACATCCGCTGGTCCTGAAGTGCTAGAGCCATGTCCAACTGATCTACACCATCGCCATCTTTGCTTAAGCTTTCGTATGACTTGCGGTCGGCATAACTTACAGGCCAGCGGTTCCACTCCATCGTGCAGCACACCACACTAGCTGGGCAAACTTCTAGATGTTCAGCAATTTTGTTCCGTGCAACAATATAAGGGCATCCAAAGCCATTATTCAAACAAGGCACTCTCTCAAGAGGACACAGCAGGCGGTGTTCATCAGCTTTGCACGAGTGAAATACTGCTCCACAGACTAAGGGACAGCCAATTAAGTCGCAAGAAACATCTCCTTCCGGCCTGACCATGCAGCGCCGGCTGACGCAGTTTACACAGTGAGAATGCTGCTCCATTATGGCGTACCCAGCCCTGCGTATAAAAACATAACATTAGAAACAAGCCAGTAGCCTATTATAAGCAGGCATTTAATCTTTTTCTAGCACTTTAAAGCAAATAATACTGCAAAATGATTTGTCCAATATCACAATTGCAGACTCGCTCGCCTCTGAGAGGAATTTATTTACTATATTAAAATACTGTAGATAGGTCCTATACCTACATTAATTGAATAGCTATCTATTTCCATCAAAATATGTTAGAGGAAGTTAAACTGGATAAAAAAGGATCAACAATCTACTAATGTATCTTTAGCTCTATTGTGTAATGGCTATCATATCACATTCTGTCAAAAAGAAAATGTATTTGGGAATGTTTTTACCAATCTATCAATTAAAATACATAGGAATAGCTATTTCCAGTATATATGCACAATACTAGGTCAGCTGCCATAACTACCAATACGACCATTTTATGGAGGAGAAGTGGAACTAATATACAATTCATTTGGACCACCATCTCTCAAGCAGCACAGTCAATCTAGAGAAATTCACAGTCTATACAAAATGTCAATGCTAAATAGGCAGGAACCATGCATCAGTAACCATGTGGATATAAAATAATCGCTAAATTACACCAGACACATTTATTTGGGAGGGAGAAGAAACAATTGCTCTGTAATGAATACTATTTGTCCAATGCTACCCAGCAGCTCAATGCAACAATTGCTAGCACTAATGCAAGACTCCCTTCTTTCCTCGAGTGTACACTACTATCAATAGGGTTCCAATAAAGCAAAAATCATAAGGGAGTTAGAACAGTGAACAAATTGGCTCAGGAGTTTGAGGAATAGAGGAATGCATGATTTTTTAATTAAATTTGGGATCAGCTAGATGGAATGCAATGGTCTTTTTTCAGGTCTACATACTGCTGTGTTAATAATAATCCTTGCAAAAAATTGTTCTTATAATGTCTATGTGAAGTGTTCATGTTAAATCCAATTCAACTGTGAAATATACCCAGTAATACAAAATAAATTGGTTTCTTCCAAACATAGATGAAATGCAGGTCTATCACTGAAGGGAGTAGTGAAAGCAAATTGAGTTGAACAAACAAGTAGAAGAGCAATGACCAAGAGCAAGAGTTGGCCGAGTACTATGGGAAGTGTAGAACAGAAAGCCTGTTGAAAATGGTATTGAAGCTCATCTTTTCCAAAGCCCTTCTATTTAAGCAAGCAAAACAAGGTTGTGCTGCGCTGCTGGATTACATTGAACAAATGGTATTCATTATAGAACAAGTATAGTTTTACCCCACAAACAATAAATCTAGTTTAATCTATATGGTGTAATTTAGCAAATACTCTATATAGTTAGATAATTAGATATTTTTAGTATCACTATTCAAATGATTGACTGTAGTATGAGAGATGGTAGTCTTTGTCTGATTGCCTGGAGTGTCTCCATTGACCTAAAAATAATGTCAATAAGAAGTGGAGCTAACTGTTAAACCTAAATTTTATAAAAGTCATCAAAATAAAGGCCTCTGCAATACCATAATAGCTTAATAACTTGCAGGATCTCCTCCAAGAAGATCTGGTAGTCCAGCAAAGAGTTATCATCCAGTGACAGATGAAACAAAACTTCGACTGGCTGAGTTAAAACTCTAGATGTGAGTGCCCATAAATTAAATACTTGCTACGTATTGAGTTTGGAGTTCAGACATCTGAATATTTCCCAAATGCCTGGATATAATTAAAGTACCACACATTCATAATGTTGAAGTTGGGGCTAGAATCCACTCAGCTCTTTTAATATTGATAAATGTTGCATCTAAAAATATCCTTCTGGACTGAACTGGCTGGAGAGATATATGCCTGCCAAAGTTAGATAGCCCCACACTGCTCTAAGACATAGTTAAATTTCTGATCAACTCAGCAATGAAACGGTTTTGATGCGTTCTTAACCCTGTAATCCATACAAATACTATGAGAATAACAGCACTTATCACCTTACTGAGCCAGGAATATCAGACTCTCAATATTGGAGACCTCACTCCACCAACAAAACGCCTAAAACATAGCTTGCTTATTCTACAAAGCGCAAAATACTGCAGATGCTGGAAATCTGAAATAAAAACAGAAGTCGCTGGGAACACTCAGCAGGTCAGGCAGCGTCTATGGAGAAAGGAAAGTGAGTCAAGTTGACTCACTTTCCTTTCTCCATAAATGCTGTCTGACCTGCTGAGTGTTCCTTGCTTATTCTACACTTGCCTTTGCCAGGGAAAATCTTTCCTATTTGGGACGTCAGTGCTAATTGTTGCCAGCATGAATCCCAGTGATGTCAAGCAGGAAGAAAGTAGGCTGGCAAATGCCATCTGCTCAGCAAAGGAGCATTAAGTAGCCCACATTAACCAATACTAGCAAACCAGTCTAGTGCTGGCTGAACTATTAGTTTGTATAGTGGCATAGCAAAGATTTGCTGTTCTTCAAAACGTAGTGGATACATTCCTTTGGAACCCGTTGAAGGCAACAGAAACTGTCTTAATGAACACAGACTCAAATACCTCAAATATGTTTGACATTGAAGAACATACTCAGATAAGAGACACACAAGGCATTGATGTTAAGGATTCTGCTGCAGTGTTTGAAGCCTCTGCATCCTTATATTCAATAGTATTCACAAAACAATCAGTAACAAAGTATAAGGGAAAAGCAACAGTATTGAAAAACAGAAAGAATCAAGAATATTTGCAAAAAAAGGAAATAACTAGCTGCAGCCTATGGAGGGATTGTAGCTCACTTATCTGCCGTGTGATAATGGGAAAGGTCATCTGGAAAACACCCCAATGTTATGATGTCAATACATATTAAAGAGACTCAATCTGGGAAGTCAGCAGTGTACGTCTTTACACACTGTGCAGTCATTCCGGGTGTTTAGGCTGAAAGTTTAGGGCAGTCAGAGACTGTGGAGGGTTGAGTGCCTTAAGAACACTGCAAGATGGCCCACACCTCTTGTTGTTTTGCCATCTCTCGGCTCAATGCGTGTTATTATCACTTGCTCGGATTGGGAAATGTCCCAGCGGTATTTAGCTATGTTTGTTGTGGGGCGGGATATTGAGTTGCGCCACAGCTGAGTTGCACCACCGTTGAGTTGCAGGGAAAACAATTATAAATAACACTTTAAAGGGACATCATCCCACATGACTTATTCTTGACAGAACAACACTAAAGTCACCTCAATCCGGTATTGTACGCCTCCAATGAATAGTGTGAGTTCATCCCACTAAAATTGGAAATCTGAGCCAACTCGCGCTCAGAAAGAAAGTGCACACAGTTTGGATTTAATTGCCACACGCAGAGAAGGGGTGCAGGAGCGAAACAAGGTGAGACGGTGGAGGCAGGATTGTGCCGACAAACTGAGATGGGAATCAAGAAAGCGACCGTATTTAAAGGAGGAAGTCGATGGGGGGGGTGGGGGGGGGGGGGTGGCGTGAAAGAGAAGGAATGCAGTTATTTGTTACAATTTTGGGGAATGGGACGAACGGACGGCGGGGGCTGCGTCGCCGTGCAATCGTGCAATAGTTGTCTTGGGAAGGGCGGCAGGAATGCCGCGGGGGGGGGGGGGGTGGGGGGGGGGGTGGGGGGGTTCGTTCCCATCGGGATTTTCTAAAGGCAAAACGTTCGCATCAAAGGGGCCGACCGCTGAAATGCAAAAGTGAAACTGAACCGTCAGAGGAGACGTAAATAAACTACAAGAACCCGACCACACAACAAGTACATAACTACCAGCACATCAATCACCACCGGCACCACATCAACACCAGTAAACACACCAACTATTACCAGCAACAACTCCCCTCTCAGAGGCTTGAAGCCCTGATACAGCGCGATACCAAACACAAGGATTATTATTATTATTATTATTATTATTATTATTATCCCAACACTCACCTCTCCTCGGCTCTCCCCCCCCCCACCCCCCACCCCCGGCCCGCGGGTCTCAGGGAGCCTCTGGCCTGTATCTCAGCCTCGGAGGCTCCGCCACGCACGCACCCACCCGGCCCGGCGCCTCCCGGGCCCGGCCGCCCTCCGCGGGCAAAGCTCAGGCCTCGGCACCAAGCGAGGCCGAGGCCGAGAGCGAGGCCGCGGTCACCCAGGCCCTCCCCGGGGAGCCCAGACCCGCCCCGACCCCCCGCGCCGACCGACCGACCCCGACACCAACCTGAGCCCAACCCCGGCCCCGCGCCCAGCAAACTGCAGACTCACAGCCTCCTCCCGGCAGCCCCTTCCCCGGCCAGGCCCCGCCCCCCGCCCGCCAGGCTCCGCCCCCCGCCGCCAGGCCACGCCCCCCGCCCACCAGGCCACGCCCCCCGTCCGCCAGGCTCCGCCTCCCGCCCGCCAGGCTCCGCCCCCCGCCCGCCAGGTCCCGCCCCCGTCCGCCAGGCTCCGCCCCCCGCCCGCCAGGCCACGCCCCCCGTCCGCCAGGCTCCGCCCCCCCGTCCGCCAGACCCCGCCCCCGCACGTCAGCCCCACCCCCCGCCCGCCAGGCTCCCGTCCCCCCGCCCGCCAGGCTCCGCCCCCACTAGGTCCGCCCCTCCCCCCGAGGCCCCGCCCCTGTCAGGCCCCGCCTCCGCCCCGCCAGGCCCCGCCCACATCAACCACAGACATGCAGACAGACAGACAGCGACTCACTGACTGACACCAACTCCAACCCCAGAGCACCAGCCCAGACACACAGCCCCAGACACACAGCACCAGACACACAGCACCAGCCCCAGACACACAGCACCAGCCCCAGACACACAGCCCCAGACACACAGCACCAGCCCAGACACACAGCACCGGACACACAGCACCAGCCCAGACACACAGCACCAGCCCCAGACACACAGCACCAGCCCAGACACACAGCACCAGCCCAGACACACAGCACCAGCCCCAGACACACAGCACCGGACACACAGCACCAGCCCCAGACACACAGCACCAGCCCCAGACACACAGCCCCAGACACACAGCACCAGCCCAGACACACAGCACCGGACACACAGCACCAGCCCCAGACACACAGCACCAGCCCAGACACACAGCACCAGCCCAGACACACAGCACCAGCCCAGACACACAGCACCAGCCCCAGACACACAGCACCAGCCCAGACACACAGCACCAGCCCAGACACACAGCACCAGCCCCAGCCAGAGAGCACCAGCCCCAACCCCAGAGCAGACACACAGCACCAGCCCCAGACACACAGCACCAGCCCCAGACACACAGCACCAGCCCCAGACACACAGCACCAGCCCCAGCCAGAGAGCACCAGCCCCAGACACACAGCACCAGCCCCAGACACACAGCACCAGCCCCAGACACACAGCACCAGCCCCAGCCAGAGAGCACCAGCCCCAGACACACAGCACCAGCCCCAGACACACAGCACCGGACACACAGCACCAGCCCCAGCCAGAGAGCACCAGCCCAGACACACAGCACCAGCCCAGACACACAGCACCAGCCCCACACACACAGCACCAGCCCCAGCCAGAGAGCACCAGCCCCAGACACACAGCACCAGCCCAGACACACAGCACCAGCCCCACACACACAGCACCAGCCCCAGCCAGAGAGCACCAGCCCCAGACACACAGCACCAGCCCAGACACACAGCCCCAGCCCCAGCCAGAGAGCACCAGCCCCAGACACACAGCACCAGCCCAGACACACAGCACCAGCCCCAGACACACAGCACCAGCCCCACAGCACCAGCCCCAGCCAGAGAGGACCAGCCCAGACACACAGCACCAGCCCCAGACACACAGCACCAGAGAACATCTAAACACAGCCATGTATATATATATATATATATATGGCACAAATTTGCCTTTCTGAGAATTCACTAATATCTAAAGGTCCACCACTGAATGGCTTAAATCAATCATCTTGTTTTACAAACTCATTAATTTCATACTTAACATTATATTTCTCTAAACTGTAGCGGAACTGTAGTTTGCCCAATAAAAATGAATGGAAACACAAAGCTGCTTGTGAAGCACAACAAAATCACTGGTGGTGCAACATGCCAATTCTTTGGTTTGAATAGCATTCAGTTTTGTTTTATGGCAGCTCTATGATTTCAGACAAGTCTATATATGGAGAAGAGGTTAAAATAAGAACAACGTCAATGTTTATGTGTCAGCCTGGCTCAGTGCTAGCATTCTCACCTCTTGAGTTAGAAGGTTGTAGATTCAAGCCCTCATGTCCGAATGTGGAACTCACATAACCTTTGCTGCACTCTAATGTGATGATGGGGATTTGCTGCATTGTAGGAGATGCAATCCTTTGGATGTCATATTATACCGAGGTCTGGTCTGCTTGCACAGTGAGAGTTAAAGATCCCATGGCGCTCGCTACTTGAAAAGAGAAGGGAGCTGCTCCTCATGTCCTGGCCAACGGCTCCCCCCAATTTAGTCATTTGTCTCATGGCTTTTTGTGGAATGATGCTGTGCACAAATGGGCTGTCATATTCACCTACAATTACAGTCATTCAATTTCACAGGATAACCTGTGAAGCACTTTGAGATGTCCTCCAACGTGAAAGATTCTTTTCTAAATGCAAAGATTATCATTATCACTATTTTTAATAAACACCCAAAATATTGTACATCATTGTATTGAATGTGATCAAATTAATGTGACTCCTCATTTTCATTGTTGTTTGTTAGTTGTTGCCTGCATTAACCTACTCTGGATTTAATTACATTGAGGCTCGACTATGCAAACTCATTGCTTGTCGACCTCCCCAATTCAACTCCTCCCTCCACAGGCTGTAGATCATCCAGAACTCTGCAGCCCGTGTCCTCTCCCGCATGAGGCTCCGTGACCCTATCACCCCCATCCTCGCCCAACTTCACTGGCTTCTCATCACACAGAGGATACAGTTCAAGATCCTGGTCCTCACCTTCAAGGCCCTCCACGGACTTGCTCCCCCCTAACACTGCGACCTCCTAACCCCCTACCATCCTGTTTGCTCTCTCCGCTCAGTGGGGAGAGCCTGTTTCAGGTACCCCGCCTTGATCACCCCACTATTGTTGGGCAGGTCTTCTGCCACTCTGTCCCCACCATCTGGTGCTCCATCCTGCAGTCCCTCCGTCTTACCCCCTCCCTCGCCACCTTCAAGACCCATCTCAAGACCCTCCTCTTCGACCGTGCTTTCGAACTCCCTGCTTCTCCCCCTGCCCTCCATCCTCCCCGACCCTGAACCCCAACTCAGGTCCGAAACTCTGTTTGTCCAGCGCCTCGGGATGTCCTCCCGACATGAAAGGCACTATACAAATGTAATTTTGTTGTTGATACATTATTATTTTATTTGTTTCGGATCATCATCCAACTATATTATTTTGGTACTTATTCACTTAGGTCCCGTGTGATTGAGGTGGATATTAAGAGATCAACCCCCACACTATTTCAAAGAAAAATAGGGATTTTCTCAGTTTATTCGTTCTTTCAACAATTTACTCCAAAACTTCAAATAAATTGACTACTTGTCTAAATTTTGTTTGTAGGAACGTAGGTTTCTTTTATGTGAAACGCGCAATATAAATGTATGTTGTAGCTCTTCCGTATTCATTAAAATACGCAAGTAACGCCTTGATGCACAAAAGTAATGACAGATAAAGTGAGATGAACCAATTTATTTTACAAACAACTAAACAAACCCAAAAGGATAATTTTTCATATGTGGAATACATACTCAGGCTACATAGTGCTCCGGTCAGACTGCAGCCTGAGCACTGCATACAGTTCTGGTCACCGTGATATAAAGGGATTGCCCAGGCTCTAAAGGTAATGTAGAGTGGAGTTACGAGGATAATCCCCAGTGTTAGAGGAAGGAGCTATGAGCAATGATTAGGCAAGCTAGGGATTTTCAGTCTTGAGAGAAAACTCAGAGGGTACCTCATAGAGTTGTATACATCTTTAAATGGGATTGAAAAAGTAAACCCAGATCAATACTTTAGGATGCAACATAATCTCAGAACAAGAGTTAAGAGCAGAACAAGTTTAAAGTTGTCAAGGGCAATTACAGGACGATGTCAGGAAGTGTTTTTTTTACTCAAAGGGTAATTAACAACTGGAACACATTGCCAACAAAGATGGTTGAGGCTAGGACACTGGACGCGTTTAAAAAACAGCTTGATGCAGTAATGGGAGGAGAGGTGGTAGTGTGACTTCTGGAAAGATGAGATCAGATTAGCCAAATGACCTTCTTCATTCCAACTGACCTTGTGATCTTATGATGTGACTGCAGATAAAGTTATGTTGAACAAAATGATTTACAACATCTGCACTTTGCTTGAATTTGAGTTGGAAAGTTTTCAAACTGCTTGACAATCTGTCACAAGGATGAAATCACACTGATATCAATTGTTTTTTGTTAAAACCTCAATATCTACTGAGCAAAAACATTTCTAAATAAAGCATATACAGTACTTGTACTGCAAACAACTAATCAATTAGGACCTAATCATATTTTAACTTCCATTGAATTATATAATATTTTGCAAATCTGGTGGAGAAGATCCCAGTGAGGAGCAAAGTTCTGTTCAGGATGCTACTTCTGAATGATAGATGTTTGCCAGGGTTAACTGGGCCTGCACTGTAGGGTGCGCTCTTCTTGTCTGCAACCAGAGTTTGCCAAAGATTCCTGTTATTATCAAAACAGCCAGCAGCAGCCCAACTAAGATGAACGTATCAATAGCAGGAGGATGCCCTGTACCTGCAATGAAAAGAAAAGGTCACTTGATTCATGGATGTGTACAACACAAAAGTAAAGTTGTGTAAATCCTCAAGTAGCATCAATTGCGTAACTTAATTTTCCAGAATGATAATTTATAGGCATTCTTAAAGCTAAGTCAGAGAGCTTTGCCTGGCCACATACAATTCATTGGAATCAGATCTTTTTTTAAAATTATTTAATGCCTTACGATCCAGAAGTCTTAGCCTGTAAGGTCGCTTTGACTTAAGGCCTAAGATTGCATAATAATAATAATCCTTGCATTTGATATAGTGCCTTATCACATGGTTTAGACGTCTCAAAGCACTTCACAGGATATATATTGTAAAGTGAATTGACTGTATTTTGTGCATAGAATTGTGGAAAACTCTTAAATTCAGTTTTAATTTGGAAGATGATCTTTGCAAGTCTTTTTTCCTACAAGTACAGTGTCTCTACACTAAACAGAAATGTTGCAAAGCGCTTTGTGATGTGCCCAACGTTATAGGCGCTATAACAATAATAATTCTTGCATTTGATATAGTGCCTTTTGCATTGGGAGTTCACCTCAAAGTGCTTCACAGGATTTAGTGTAAATGAATTGACTAATAATGGATTATTATTATTTCTACATTTGAACCCAGTTATAATAAAATCTCATCAGTGAAGTATAAGTTAACAGTAATTACAAGATCTGCAGACAAATCATTAAATAGCTTGAAATGGATGATTAGCAGCAAAAGATGTGTTTACCTGCACCAGCTGATTTCGTCTCCTTTGGTTTTCTACTAATCGGGCCATAAGAAACTGTATGCAATGGCACAACATCCCTTCTTGTCCTAGCGACACCTCCAGAACTAGTACAGTTCTGTGCAAAGCAAATTGAAGGAAAACAATTTGCATTTTTATAGCGTTTTATTTGGTCAAAATGCCTCGAAGCGCTTTACCGTAATTATTCTGTCAAGTACATACAGAAGCCATGTTAATTCACTTGTTAATTCAAGCTCACTGCAACAGTAATATGATTATGGCATGTTAAATAAAATTGTTTATTCCCAGTTAAATGACATATTCCTTCTGTCTACTAAACCATTAAGATTAGAAACTCCTCATACTCCTTTATCGTTAACATTCGGACCACTTTTTAACTATTTTAACCATCTTTGTGAAATGAAAGTGAAGTACAAAACAAAACCAATCCAATGCAGTATAAATAAATCTAAATCAACTTAAATGAGAAGATACAGTACTATACTTACAGGCTGACACACTGTAGCTGTGTTGTGGCATATACGAACATTGCAGTGTAGAAATACATCTCTGTAAGATTCACCCACAAACTTAAACATCTGGATACGAAATGTAGCCTCAGCAGCATGACCATTTTTTATTACTAAAAAGATTTGTTCGTTTGTAACCTCCGGACAGCTGATTCATAAACAATAAAACAACATCAAATATAAGTGTGACTTGCCCCATAGAATCAATTGTCACTTTTATAGCTCTTACCCTTCTGCAAAGCCAAGCTAAAGGCACAGCCACTCCTGTCTAAATGGGTTGCTACAGTAAGTAGGAAGCTCATTTAGACAACTAATATCTGGTAATAGTTGACTGATACAAATGTAATTTGTTGTTGTAGTAGTAGGAACATAAAAAAGCAAGGAATGAAAAGACCCGATTCAATCCAGAGCAAAATTCCTAATGCAATCTTACACTGTGCATTATGCATCCTGCTTGAGTTCACAAGATTGATTTGGTCCCTTTGGTCCATTTGATTTTATCCTTCAAGAATAGTTCAGGAACCATTATGTGCCACATGGCATTCAGTTATTTTTACCTGTATTTATTGTTCTACTACTCAATCCCAATCCTAACCATATTCATTCAATTCTTTATTAATGGTGCATAACTACTTTACCTGGAAGTCTATTCTACATGTGCTTCAACACACATACGAAACTAAACTTTCAAGGGCCAATTTGTTGTGCTGATATGCCCATATTAATATAGGTTTTCACACTTGTGATAGATCCCTGTAGATTATATTGAATTATACAGCACCAAAACATGCCAACTAGTCTATAATAATAATAATAACAATAATGCAATTGCAATAATGCAATAATAATCCTTGCATTTGATGTAGTGGAGTCCTGTAGTTTAGTGGTTCGATTCCTGGGTAGGGCGAAACATTGGGCAAGTTTCCTTAGCGGACTGCTTTTCCCTGGGTAATATCCCTTCAATTTTTAAAAAAGTATTAACAATAATTTGGTTACTCAATCCACGACTGTTTTGTGGGACACTGCTGTGTGCAATTGACTGCCCCATTTCGCCCATAAAATATACAGTCAATTCACTCTACCGTATATTCTGTGAAGCATGTTGAGACGCCTTGAAGATGTGATAAGGCGCTATATCAAATGCAAGGATTATTATTATTATTATAGCACCTTATCATGTCAATGAGATGTCTCAGAGTGCTTTCAGAATATACTGTAAATTCTACTTATATAGAATATATATATAAAAACTCTGTCAGTGTTTGAAGACCACCCATTCAAATCTTCCCTCCTTAACCTCCCCTTCTCTCTAGTGTACTAAATGGAAAAAGTATTATTAGAGATATTGTACTCCTATCACTAAATTCTCAGATATCCTGGTTATCTACCTTCATAATTGCCGCATACCCACAAAACATCAGCGTCTCAGCAAAGAAAATGATCCACCACTAACCTGTCTCTTATGAAGTTGTACTGAGTGTTGTGATGTGGTTCATTGGTAGGTGTTGCCCAGCACCTTTCCAGACGCATTATTAAATGAGCTGGTACCTGCCAAACATAAATAGTGTCACAAAACTTTCTAATAGTTTAAGTTAATGAACGTTGTGGAAAAAAAATCACTTTGAATACCAGCAGCTTATCCTTCCACTATCAATAAATAAAACAATTGAGTTAATGCCTCAATGGAATCCCTTGCACAACAACTTGTATTTGTATAGAACCCTTCACTGTTCCCAATTTACTGTGTCAATTGCATTTAGGATCTTATACAGTATAGCTCTATAAGGTTCCTCTTAGACATCTCTTTCACTTACCATCTCTGGGAGCTTCTTTGACCCATGTGATTGCCCACATGAATAGTTTTACAATGTTTTTTTCTCCCTTACCCTCTCATTCAGTACTGCCGTCACATGTCGCTTATTTGCACTGCCCTGTCCAAAAAATCTTCTTTCATTTTCTAAGTGTCTGAAATTTCAGATATTTAAAAGGAAACTTAGATCAAAGCAGAATCAAATATAATTCATACCATGTTGACTTTGACATAGATGTTATCTTCCAGAGTCAGAAAAGGAATAGTTGTCCATTTTTCCTCATAATTTTCATCTTTGAAAAGCATCATTGTGATAGAAAAATTCCCATCTTCAGTGTTCAATGTAATGCTTCTGCAAAAGCACAATGAATTAAACCCTAAAACACATGCAGCTGGAGATGAAACTGATGTAATTTTGGATAAAGTCATTACCTGACATCAACACTGATCATATTTTCCCCATTGGGTTGTTGCACCATGTAGTTTATTGGGTATCGACATGCAAAAGTAATGTTGATGTAAGTTCTTGTAATAATATCAGTGTTATTATTCTGTATAGTATTGATAAATACGATGTGCACACCATCAGATGCCTAGAAACAATATGAACATTTATTTAAAAATTCATAACATTCAAAAGACATTTCCTTTGGTTCATTTTATGATCTCCCCAAAATTCAAGTTGAGCAGAAAGATGCAAAGTAGAAACCAGGGAACCTTAATAACACAGCATTGCCTTTTTGCTTTGAGTTACATATTTCAATATTTCTCTTCAATATCTATATGCTCCCTCTTGGTGACATCATCCGCAGGCGGAGTCAACTTCCACATGTATGCGGATGACACCCAACTCTACCTCTCTGCCTCACCCTCGATTCCAGGACAACTGACGTCCTGACAGAATGTCTGTCTGACATCAATTCCTGATGAGAGCTAACTTTCTACAGTTGAACGTCAACAAGATCGAGGCTCTCCTGATTGGCTCCCGTCAGCGCCTCCTCACCTCAGGTGCTGACAGCATCACCATCCATGGTTGCACACTCCACCTTACTAAGCCAGTCCAGAACCTTGGGGTCTTGTTTGACCCTCAACTATCCTTTCTACCCCACATCTGTGCTATGACCCACTCTGCCTTCCCCCACCTCCGCAACATCGCTCAGCTCCGCCACTGTCCCCTCCGTTGCCTCCTTCAAGATCCACCTCTTCGACCATGGAGTCCTGTAGCTCAGTGGTTGGAGCACTCGCTTTGCAAGCGAGAGACCTGAGTTCAATTCCAGGCAGGGCGAAACCTTGGGCAAGTTTCCTTACTCCACACGCCTAATAATAATCCCTCCAAAACCAAAAACAATAATAAATTGGTCATTTTCAATCTACGACTGCTTGTGGGACATTGCTGTGCGCAATTGGCTGCCGCGTTCGCTCACAAATATACAGTCAATTCACTTTACAGTGTGTTCTGTGAAGTGCTTTGGGACGTCCTCCCGACGTGAAAAGCGCTATATCAAATGCAAAGATTATTATTATTATTATTATTATTATTATTATTATTATTATTATGCCTTTGATCACCCTCCTTCCCCCCTGGCCTCCATCCTCCCCCATGCCAGCCCCCAGCTCGGGTCCGAAAAACAGATCATCCTTGGGACATCCTGATGTGAAGGGCGCTATACAAATGTAATTTTGTTGTTTTTATTGTTCCAAGGACAACAATCTGTAAAATGTGATTCTAGCAAAAGGAATTACAACCCAAATAATTCTACCATCAGTATCAAACAGGATGAATGGTTGAAAGCTTTGTTTTAAATAACTCTTCTAAATGAGAAGTTCCTTTTTTGAACACACGCTGTACAGGACTAATAACTCTATCCCTGTTTTGGGAATGCAATCATAATGATAAAGGTACCTGTAAAAACAAGCTAAATTCAACCAGGAACATTTGTGCTAAAATTAGCATTTTATTCAAGCTTCTCCTCTAGTTGTTAACACAACCTCCTTCTGTTTCTGGCCAACATACTTTATGTTTCTACCAACAACCCCAATTAATTGTACTGAGAGATTTATGGTTGGTAAAGAACATTGCCAACACTGTAATCTAGTCATTGGATGTAAGACACTGCTGAAAACAGACAACGATGTACCCATACACTATTTCACACTGTTTCAACTGCACAATAGTCTCTTAAAAACTAGATAATTTATTGCCTTGGGATATTTCACAACTTTATTTAGCATAACTTATCTGCAGACATTACTAAATGTTATCAAAGCAGGTCTCTCCTGCGCTAGAGACAATATGGCAGAGTTTTCTTTTAAAGGAAGTTAACAGATCATGCAAAAGGCAATCTGTACAATGAAGCTTTGAGAGCCCAGTAGAGAGAGGTATCCACTTTGCAGATCTTTGGTTTGATTCTATTTTGATCATCTGGAGAAAAACAAATATTGGTTAAAATCTCATCCCTAACCCTAACCTACTTAAAATGACATACCTAAAGACCTATTACCCATTATATAGTGCCTTGTTAGAGTGCTTATAATGTGGGTCTCATTGACTGAATAGTGGTAGTCACAGCTAACCATCTGGCTTCCTGCAGGTACGATGCCTGGTGATGATGATGATGACTTAAAAGCTGGACCAGAAACTAGTATGATTGGACTTCTTGCAAAATACAAATTACCTACAACTAAAAATGTATTCCAATCAGGAGTTATGCCATTACTATGTTAAAAATACCATGAGGAATCATTCTTCTTAATTTTTATGTATACTGAATACACAATGGTCACTTTTACTGTGTATGTATTTTTTATTTGACGTTCATTTCAATGCATAACAATAACAAAGCAACAAGACCTCCCAAAGTTATTTACGTCACACCATCCTGTGCAACAATGGTCCAGATAGACCAGAAGGTTCAAATCCAGGACTGTTCCGAATGAGTTAATCTCACGTAGGATTGATCGCAATTGCAGTGCAAAAATTGACCTCAGCATCCCCGAGTTAGGGAGGGAAAAATCAGCATTGTTTCTACTTCTGATTGCTATCCAGAGATCCTGATTGATGATGTGTGTGTATGTGTGTATGTAGAAGTTGGACGAAAACAGGATCAGCTTCACCTATGATCAAATACTCAGCTAACATTCATTGTCGAGACTCACATATGAGAAACGGATATTTGAGCAGGGTATACATAGCTATCCAATGTTCTTGGAACCAGGGGAAAAGAAGTCAAATTGCATCCAGGAGCAAAGGGGGAAGAAACTAAAATTGGAAGAGAGATATCAACAGGAAGGAAACAGAACCATTTATTTACCTCGAGGCAATCAGGTAAAGCTAGAATTCCCAACAATTATATATCGCCAGCAAAACATACCAAGCGAAAACTGTGAGTACTGTACCATAATGGTCCCGCAGTCTGAAAGGTTAGTTTTTACTCTGAACACATAGGAGTCCTCGTTTTCAAAACCTTGGCATTCAGGGTCATTCAAATGTAAATTCCAGATCTATAAAGAGTTGGGAACGAGGTTAATGAGAAACTGGTACTGCAAACAATTCTACTTCACATCATACAAGGATGTAATGATGGTTGGTCATTCATCAGTAAAGACAAAAAAGCATTTTTCTAGCACCTTATCGAATTGTAAAGTCTCAGAGTCTTCATAAAGTAAAGTCTTCATAAATTATTATTGTCAACTTTAGTGATTTTTTTGTAGACAACTACAGAAGTCATTTACACCTGGAGAGTCTCACAAAGAGCCATGACATGAATGATCAGTTAATCTGGAGGATGGTTGGCTAGGACATTGGAAGAAACACCTTCCTCTCTATGAACACTGTTGCAGGATCTTCAACGTCCATCTGAATAGGCAGAAGGGTCTTCAGTTTAATGTCACATCTCAATGATATGATAAGGTGCTATATCAAATGCAAGGATTATAATTATGTTTCATCCAAAGAATGGCTTCTCCAACAATGCAGCATTCAAGAAAGGAGCCTCGAAACTTGCTCTTATCTTTTGTCCTCCCTTTAGCCTCTCCTATTCCAAGTCCACTTTTTTTATTCTTGGAAATATACATCTAATAAAGGTGATTCCCCATTACCTTACCAAGTCCCATTCTATTGTCTCCCATTTGTACTTTCCAAAGTTATGGCACTACAGCTAATTCTCACATTATCTATCACCTTGACAGTTCTGGCCAAATGCATAGTGATCTTGGCTTGGTGATGTTGGCTGTAGAGAGGAGTCAGCATGTGGCATCTCTGATTTATTCCTGACAAAGCACACGTGCCATCTCAGTGCAGACCAGATTCAGAAACTCAGAGCCATTGATGACTGTTTTCATTTAGAACCTAAGATTTTATTCTTGTTTCCTCCTCTCAAAGCAAAACTCAATCATATAATACATTTTATTCTGCTTATCTTAGGTGGAGAGAAGTAGCCTTGAGCAAATATAATTTAAGCAATGGAGAATATTCACCTTGAATAAATTTACCATCCCTCAGAGTGCATTTTACAGTCAATTCACTTTACAATATGTTCTGTAAAGCACTTTGAGATGTCTCGAAGACATGATAAAGCATTATATCAAATGCAAGGATCATTATTCTTATTTCCTTGCATTAAAATGAGAACCTAAAATAACTAATTTCCATTTATTACAATTATTTTTCTTAAAAATTGACATAATTGATGTGACGTAAATAAATTCTCATCTCTTCACAATAAATGAATGTGTATAAATTTTTGAGGATTTTTTTTAAACCAGAGTTTTCACACAGGTTAATAAATGTTATTGTGAATTGTTTAAATGAAAATGGATGTCATGCCTATAAGCACCATACTCACATAAACTGGAGGGCTCTTCATTATGAAGAAATGTTTGGGGATTTCCACTTCTATTAAGTCCTTGGCACATATTATAGTTTCATTGATTTCTGTATAAATAGAAGACAACTATTACATCAACAATGGCAAATGACACTTATATAGAGCCTTTCACGTTGAGAGGATGTTCCCAAGGCACAGGATAGTCAAGGGTTTGCACCAAAACTGGGGTTAGGGTTTGGAAGATAACTGAAGGTATAGTCAAAGAGGAGGGTCTTGAGATGCACTTTGAGGGAGGTGAGAGAAGGGGCAAGATAAATAGACTCCAGAACGGAGTTCCAGAGAGTGGGGGCAGAAAGGCTAAAGGCCTGATCATTTGTGACTGAACAAGCAAAATGTTTTGGACAGTATAAAATACCAACAGCATTTTGATATTGCACATGTAGATGTAGTAATAAATCAAACCATTTGTTCGTGATCCAACCATTAATGAGCATAGATATTAACATTCCTCAAATATTCAATTGCTACCAGTCAGTAGAAAACACAATTAATTTTTCAAATGTCATAGATCTAACAAAAAGCAAACATTCTTACCTTTTTTGGGGTCAGTGGGCTGTCTAACAAGTGCGGAAATCCATCATTATGCTTAAGAGTATCCAAAACAGACACAGCGTTCCACAAATGAATGTCATCTATATATGGAAATTTCTCAGTGTCTGGAGTGGAATGTGCATTCTCTACCTGGAGGGAAGCATCCTGCTTACTTAATTTTGGAGAGTTTTAGGTACAGGTGGGCAAGAGCCAAGGCTAGGACAGCCCAAGAGTGTGTGTTGGGACACTGCTGAAGTTTAGCCAGCTGAAATCACATAGCTTGTCATAGAAAACAGTGTCTGGAATGCTTTCCCATTGCTTGTTCAGCTAGGACCATCCTACCTGTTAGGAAGAATCCTTACTTCCAATAACTGGTCTGCTCCTCCAAATCATGTTGATGACCCAGGCTGGCTGGACTGTCATCAGCAGTGCCCTGGAGTACTGCAGAATTGCTTAGCTCAGGAAATAAAATACAGAGACCGTCACAGAGGGTTGACTTGATTCCAACGTTCTGTTCCTATGCATGTAACCAGGGACCCAGTTTAACTCCAAGGAGACACGCTTACCCCCTCTACACCTCCGAGGCATTGTTACCTACATGATATACTGTACGCAGATTTTTCCCACATGGGATTCAGTCCATGGAGATTCCATGGGAATTTACAACAGGATTTGTAACTTTTGTTACACTTTTGAGCTTAAGCAAAACCTTGAACATTATTTTGTCATTTAGGTTTATTCATATGCACTTTGTACCCCTTAGTTCAGCTAAACAAGTGGAATTACATAGAATGATACAGCACGGAAACAGGCCATTCACCCCAACTAGTCTGTGATGGTATTTAAGCACCACATGAGCTCCCACCCCTCCTATCCCTATTATTATAATAATAATAATTTGGTCACTCAATCCACAACTGTTTGTGGGACACTGCTTGGTCCAGTTGGCTGCTGAGTTTCACCCACAAAATACGCAGTCGATTCACTTTATAGTATAATCTGTGAAACGCTTTGATACGTCTCACCAACATGATAAGGCGTCATATTAAAAGCGAGGATTATAATTATTATTGCCATACATGGATTCACATCTTTTCTAGCATTCACCCAAGTGCAGGAGCCTTAATTTGCAACTCACATTTTTCCTGAGATTCTTCATGGTCTCAGTTCGTTTTAACATCTAACATCAAAGTTAACATTTTTTTCCAAAATTCTGCACAATGTTAATAACAATAAATTAACAACAGTTACATTTGCATAGCATCTTTCATGTCGGGAAGACGTCCCAAGGTGCTTTTTAACATTTAAGACATTGTCTTAAGGCTAAGACCTTGAGAGGTTCTGGGGCTCAGCAGCCTGAAAGGACCGCAGAGCACCTTTACTTAAGCAGCTGAAATACAGAGCAGCGAAAACCGGAGTTTTTCTGTTCATTTAACCTTTTATTTTCAGATTGCATTCCAACGGGATTGTCATCTGATTAAATGGCAAGAAAAGATGAGCAATCTCACTCTATCACTGATGATTCATATGCTGAGAAACGTAACCTTTTAAAAGTTGATTAACCAAACAGCCCATGAAAACCACACGACAATAGCTCTTTGCTGATTCTGCACATCAAGAACTTTCCCACCAGCCAGCATGGTGGCCATGGAAACCAAGGATTCCTCACTATTTCAGGAACTAAACCTGCTCAAAATCTCAAAGCCAGAGGCAATGTCCCCTGAAAGTTATTAATCCTAATACCAATAATAATCCTTGCATTTGATAGTTGTGTCAGCCTGGCTCAGTTGGTAGCACTCTCACCTTTGAATTCAGAAGGTTGTACAGTAATAAATTGGTCATTTTCAATCCACAACTGTTTGTGGGACACTGCTGTGGGCAATTGACTGCCGCATTTTGCCCACAAATATACGGTCAATTCACTTTACGGCATATTCTGTAAAGTGCTTTGAGACGTCTAGAAGACGTGAAAAGTGCTATATTCAAATACAAGGATTATTATTTATGATAAGTTCTATGTCAGAACTTGGGACTCCGTATAGTCTAGGCTGTCACTGAAATGCCATGCTGGGGTACTCTGCATTGTTGGAAGTGCCGTCCTTTGGATGAGATGTTAAACTGAAGCCCTGCCTGTCTGTTCAAATGTATTTGAAGGAATCCATGGCATTATTTGAAAAGTGAAGGGAGTTTCTCCCAGGGTCCTGGCCACCGATCCCCCAAAATAAAAATTGCTCACTCACTCCATGGCTGTTTGTGGGGCGCTGCTGTGTACAAATTGGCTGCCGCATTCACCCACAAAAACACAGTCATGCCACCTCACAGTAAATCATGTAAAGCACTTTGGGACATCCTTCTGATATAAAAGGTGCTACACTAAATGTAAGGAGCATTATGAAGGGGATGAGTTCCGAGGATAGGCTGACCAATTTGGGCTTATATTCTCTAGAATATAGAAGAATTAGACGGGATCTTATAGAAACCTATAAGATCATCAAAGGACATGATAGAGTAGATAGTGGGAGATTGTTTCCTCTGGTTGGAGAAACTAAAACCAGAGTCACAACCTTAAAATCAGAGGCAGCCCTTTCGCACTGAGTTGAGGAAGAACGTCTTCACTCAAATGGTGGTGAATGTATGGAACTCACTACCCCAAAGGGCTGTTGACGCTCAGTCCTTGAACATATTCAAGACTGAGATAGATAGATTTCTTATTGCAAAAGTTATTAAGGGATATGGGAATAAGGCAGGGTCAGGTTATTAGCTGGAGTTAGATGAGAAGATCAGCCATGATTGAATGGCGGGGCAGGCTCGAAGGGCCGAATGGCCTACTCCTGTTCCTACATGTTATGTTGTTATTATTAATAATGTCTATAACACTTCAAAGTGCTTCACAAGTTTTTGTAGGGTGTAGTAACTGTTTATTTGTAGGCAAGTGGAGCAACCAACATGTGTTTAGCAATGTCCCACAAACAGCCATGAAGTAAATGACAAATATTGGGGGATTGTTGACCAGGGCACCAGGAGAAACTCTCATCTCTTTTTGAATAGTGTCATGGAATCCTTAGAGTCCATCTGAACAGTTGATTAAAGATGATAATAGAATTTAATCAGCAGAAAACCACAGAAATCTTAAATGTAAAATGTTATACTTTTTGTACCAAGCCCTTGGTAATTGTGTTACACCAACGTTGTTAGCATAGTGAGTTCTGAAATGAATGGTACAAGACAGATCAGAACAGAAAACACTGCCTCCAAGAGGTGACCACTTTGTTTTGGCTTGACACCATACAGCCTACGTTTTAACTTGCTTGTTGTTAAAAATAGATCCTTATATATAGTCCTCCACATGAGTTCAGTTCTGTTTTTTCTTCATTCCCTGCTCACTTTTCTACTAAAATGTTGATAGCGGGTCCTTATTAAAAACAGCAAGGCAGATTCAGCATCACTGGTAATGTGAAATATCATACAATGTTTCAGTCTCTACAGCTTTTTTATTTTTTATTAGCAAAGAGGCAGCGACAAGGGGCAATGTCCCCATTTCAACACTAATTCACCATATAGGGAACCCCATTATAAAGCCCCTGGTTGAGTGTGGATTAACTTAGAGCACTGATCTGCTGTGGGCCTATGCTAACCAGAAGCATGGTACATTCAGCTTCACATGCTAAAAAATGGCCAACATCAGGCTTGTCAGATCCCTTCCTGCATGTTGCACACATGCTGTGCACATCTACTCCCTTCATAAAACGCCTTTGATGTTACTTTTGCAAAGGAAGTGATAATCAGTGGTGTTTCTTGCACATAATTTCATGTGACGTAATGTTAGCAGTGTTTCCTGGTCGCGTATCACTGTAACAACAACAACAACATTAAATTTTATAGAGCTCCTTTCACATCGGGAGGACGTCCCAAAGCACTGAACAGTCAAGTGTCAGGGCCTGAGCTTGGGGGAGGGGTGGTGTAGGGGTGAGGGAAGGCAGGGAGGTGGGAGGGAGACCAGATGCATGAACGAAGAGAAAGGTCTTGAGACTGGCCTTGAAGGAGGCAAGGGAGGAAGTGAGGCGAAGGGACCATGGAGTTCCAGAGTGTGGGGGCAGAGAGGCTAAAAGCCCAGCCATCGATAGTAGGGCAGGTCAGGCGGGAGACATGGAGCAGACCAGAGTCCGCTGAACGGAGGGAGCGGGCAGGTTGGTAGGGAGTCAGCAGGTCAGAGAGTTAGGAGGTGGCAACGCCATGGATGGCCTTGAAAGTGAGGACGAGGATCTTGAACTCGATCCCCTGGGAGATGGGGAGCCAGTGGAGTCGGGCGAGGGTGGGAATGATGGGGTCGCGGAGCCTGGTGCGTGAGAGTACACGAGCTGCAGAGTTTTGGATGATCTGCAGCTTGTGAAGGGAAGAATTGGGAAGGCCGATGAGGAGGGAGTTTCCATAATCGAGCCTTGATGTGACGAATGCGTGGGTGAGGGTTTCGGCAGCCTGAGGGGTGAGGCAATGGCGGAGTCTGGCAATGTTGCGGAGGTGGTGGTAGGCAGTGCCGGTCATGGTGCAGATGTGGGGGAGAAAGGACAGGTCAGGGTCAAACAAGACACCCAAGTTCATGACTAGCTTAGTGAGGTTGAGTGTGCAGCCGTGGAGGCTGATGCTGCCAGCACCCACTGTAACTATGTAAGAAACATGCACGTAACATGTAGGGAGTGATGCCAGTGGCAACCCAAGAACCAATTTTTTCGTACACAATTTTGATACAGGGCCTGAGATATTGGATCATATTATAACAGATTTGTCAGCTATTTATCACTCTATTTCATCTAAAAAATATTTGTGACACATATGTTAAATTTATCTAATTAGAGCTTTCCCCAATGACTCAGTTGTTAAAAGGTCATCAGCAGGTGTGCTTTCAGTCATTCTCCCCCGTTCTCTGGAATCTCAACCCCTTATTCAAGACCCAATACAAGAAGTTCCTCTTTGCTTGCACTTTCAGTCATTTTTCCCCTCCCCACACCCTTCGGCTCCCACCCCCAATTTGGCTGCCCAGCCAAGCACTTTTAGATGCCCTCCTGACATGAAAGGCATAAATTGTATTGTAAATTGTATTATATACATCTGGAAGCATCTACAGTATTATATCTTGCCCCCAGTCTGTGCCTAGTTCATTGTCCTCAGTGTTCCTGCATCCAGCTTCCTACTCCTGGTCATTATCCAGTGACCTCCCTGCTGGAAAGCATAGTTGTGTGGACATCAATTGAAACATGTTTGCCTTGCTCTCCAGAGCAGAATTGTCTACCAACACTCTGTTCTGACACATGAAGAATGCACACTTGGGAAAGACATTTGTAGTTTACTCCAGCCTGTGTGAAAGCCTCAAGGTTTCACAGCACCAGATATGACACTAACCAAGCAAATACAGTATACTGTGAACCCTGAAAATCCTCCACAACTCAAATTTAACAATTGAAAACAACATATGCAATTATAAAACCCTAAGCATATTGTACTGTGTTCCAAATTCCTAAACATCTGTTGCCCTCTTCACCTAAGGATAAAAGCAAGGAGGATGCAATGACACTAGTCGGAATAACTTCCAGTTTCAGGTACGATTTAGCTTTGATTCTCTATTGTAGTTCTCTCTATTCTGTCACAGTTGTTTCGGAGCAGCCAGAATGTGTACATACTTACCCTCCCCAGAATTAGTGAACGATAAAGCTGAAGTTGTCCAGAAGAGAGTCAGTATCAAAGCCAATTTCAAACAAGCCATTGGAAACTTTTTTTTAATCAAACCCTTGGGCTCTCTGTTATAGTATCCGGAGACTGGTGAATTCTTCTGATGGTAGCACCAGTTTTGATCCCTCTTTATGTCCCCGGCTCTTTCCCTTTATCCTCTTGAAACTAACACTTGGGTTTGATACCATGCACTCGCTCACTCCTCAGCCTGAACTAGGGGTCTGAATGGTCTGCAAACAATGGGATTCCAAACATGACTAGCAAAAGGCAGGCGAGACCAGGGTAACAGATAGAAAACACACACGCACGCATGCACATGAAAAAGCATTCATTGGAAGCATCTGATGTGGGGAACCCAAATTACCAGGAGCCACCACATACAGGGAGGGAGGGAGAGAGAGAGCTCTCAGCAAACACAATGGAAAGTGAGTCACACACAGTTCAGTGACTCTGGGCATCGCCCTGTCAAGTCTCTGCCTTCAAAGATATTGAGATGGAAATGATCTGAAGCTGTGAACCCAAACTCCAGGAAGAACTAATGACCACACTCAGCGCTATTCTGTTCCTGGTGTATCCAAGAAACGAGAAAGTGGACCAGAGATTAATCTGTGGACAGTGAAGTGAGGCTGCTGAGGGGCTTGTAAAATAAATTCAGAATTCAGAAAAAAAAACTTATTGGACTTGAAGGGAAGTGTCCAGTAGCTGAAGTTAAGAGTTAAAGTTTTTTTTATTCTGATTGTCATGATATTGAAGGATCAATTAAAAACAGTGAATGAACTAGAAAGTAATTGACAATTATATGGAAATGCAATAATTCATCTGATGATGAATTATTCATATGAGGAATAATTTTTCCTTCAACCTTTCCACGCCTTGGTATTTTGCACAAAGAAAGGTTTTGATTCAGGATGGTATTCAGTACATTTGACTACCACAGTTACAACAGTGCGATACTGTACATCCCAAGCTCTTAACAGTGCTGGCTTGGCACCCGAGCTGGTTAGTTATCTTTAGATCACAATATTAGTTGCAAATTCTTGATTTGCACAGTGGTTGTGTGAAGCAACGGGTTCAGCTGGGTTTAGAGGCAATCAGAGTTTTAATGGTTTGCAAATAAGTTCCGCATTTACTGTACTTACATCGAGTGGAAACCAAATCTGAGAGCCATAGCTCCTCGCAGTCCTGGGACAAGGAGCGAGTGGAATAAATAGAATGTCTTTTTTAAAAGAAATAATAATAATCCTTGCATTTGATATAGCGCTTTTCACGTCTTCTAGATGTCTCAAAGCGCTTCACAGAATATACTGTAAAGTGAATTGACTGTATATTTTTTGGGTGAAACGCAGCGAAAATGTATCAATTGATCGTGTGCGTGTTCAAAAACAAATTCTACTGAGGAATTCTCTTGGGCAATGAAGTTAGCACTTTGCAAAAGGTAAAGGTCCTTTTTATAGATCTTATAGATCTAGCTGTGAATTTACCCTTTTTGTGCATCTGATGATCGGTGACCTGTGAATTCAACGTTGATTGTTCAATTGTAATGTCTCTTATACACGGCCTCCGCCCTCACAGGCTGTACAAATGAACAGATGAGCAGGGGACGTCTCTGGGAAGAATGTTGCAAGTGGTTTACTCACTGGCTGTGAGAACAGGCCATGGGATCGTAAACAGGTTTTGTGTGAATGCAATGTCCAAGCTGTTAAACGTCCGCCTTGGCTGTAATAAAAAAAATGCTTACGAGTTTTTTTGTTCCAACTGGGAAAACTCATCTTTTGTGTTCGTTACAATGTCGCTAGCGAAAATCTTAAGGCATTCTACACTTGTTCTGGAGCACTTACCATTACGCTGTTACATTTCACAGATTTTTGATCTTTGATTCTTAGCAATTCAGGACAAAACTTTAGGTTAATTAATGTCAAGTGTAGTGACTGTTTTTTGTAGGCAGTTCATGCAGCTATTTTGCACACAGCAAGCCAATTAATTTGCCTCCAGTAGTATAAATCAGAAAGGAGTTTTTATAAATGGGTAAAATGAGATCTTTTCCAGTTAAATTCAAAATTCAATTGACAAGCTGAAAATCCAGGGTGACCAAAACAATAAAGTGTTAACAACTTTGTTATCTAAAATCAAACAAAAGTATCATAATTTCTTTAAGACTTATTAGACATTGTAATGGTATCGCAATGTTTCGGTCACCATGTATTATATGACAGGTTTTACCTACATAAACAATCACAATACATTTGCTTTGCATTATAGGCACTGTAATAATGCAAGTTCTCTCTTTTTGTGTATCCTGAGATTAAAATAATAATCTTTGCATTTGGTGTAGGGCCGTTCATGTCAGGATGTCCGGGGACCCTGGGACGTTGCACTGTGTGAGGCACGCTATCTAAATGTAAGTTGTTGTTATTGTTGTCCCAAAGCATTTCAAAGATGTATTGTAAAGTGCAGTGACTGTGTTTTATGGGTGGATGCAGCAGCCAATTCGCACACAGCAACATTCCACAAACAGCCGTGGAGAGAATGACTAATTTTATTTATCAATTCTCTTCTCTTTTCGAATAGTGCCATGAGATCTTTAACTTCCACCTGACCACTCAGGTGGGGCTTTGGTTTAACGTCTCATCCATTGGAGTGTTAGTTAAGGCTATATAGTTCTGATCCCAACTTGGGGTCTGAACCCACAACCTTCTGACTCAGAGGCAAGAGCACTCCCAACTAGATCAGACTGATACACCAGGCTTAGGGACACATTTGAACATTAGGCTACAAATTTGGGTGTCTTGACAGTACCCATGCTTTGAAATTTGGCAAGTTTACAATTCAGAGTTGGAGCCACGACTGAAAACCAGATCCAAACATCATTCTTATTTGTGGTCTGAACTTGGCTGTGAAAACAGCTGAGTGATGTGGGAAGGTCCGTCATGCACAACACTATGGTCAACCACAATCTGAAGTAGTGTGAGTAAAGCTTGGACTGTTTGCCCAAAGCTGACTGCTGGCTTTCAACTCGCATCAGGCTGGGAGAGCATTTCCCTGGATCTTTTCACTTGGCAAACGTTTACTGTTTCACAGTAAATTGTTGGCAAATATAATCATGCTAGGTTATTAAGGGGACAAATGTTTCTTACTACATAGTATAGTATGAATGAATTACTGGGAAGAAAAATTCTGTCTGGGTCTAGATTTATTTTATTTTGGCAGTATTTTAGAACATTCAGAATTGTGCCATAATTTTATTTGGAGGATTGTTGGCCAGGATGTCAGGTGAAATTCTTGTCCTTTCAATTACTTTAACGCCCACCTGAACCACTAAAACCTCAATTTACTGTCTTATCTGAAAAATTGTATTTCAAACAATGCAGTGCTCTCCCAGGATAGCAATGCAGTGTCAGATTAGTCTGTGAATGCAATATCCCAGTGTGCGGACACAACTTCTGAACCAGAGGCAAGCGTGCTACCGACGGCTGACCTCTTCAAGGGGAAATGTTCTCATTAAATTCCCGAGAGCCTGGATCTAGGTGGGCCTAATTATACAGCCTGCGCAGAATTTAGGAGGAAGAATGAAAAAAAGACAGAAACAAATTGGGCAAAGGGCGTTTCAGCAGAAAACTGAATGGATTTATTTTTGTTTCGAGAAAAGCTCCCCCACTTCGGCTGTGAAATTGGCAAAAACAAAAACCTCTGGTCATATTTCCTCAACGCCCTTGTCACTAATGTTTTTCTTTCAAAGCAATTTTTTCCTATCACTCTATGCAGTATTTGGGATATTCAGAGTTGAATAAAGAAAAATATCAAAGGTGTATAATAACACGGTTTATTTAGAAATAAGTGGCATGATAAAAACTATCATGTTCTACAATATAACAAGAAAGGTAATAGTACATAAATGTAACAGATGCCTCTAGCCAGCAGGATGAAGCAAGTGCAATAATAAGATAGCCGTGAGCCACGTCAGTAAGAAAACAGATGTACTTCATCGCCTTGGATTCTGTGAAAATCCACTCTATCTCCATACAATTTACTTATCCACAAACTTGAAGACGCACATAATAAAATTAACAACAATAATCCTTGCAATTGATATTGTGCCTTATCAGGTCGACTAAACATCTCAAAACACTTAACAGGACTTTACTGTAGTGTGATGACTGTGTATTTGTAGACAACTATACACAAAATAGACAAAAAAAAATCGGATTTACCATTCAAATTTTGTATGCCTGCAGCCTGCATTGCAAACAACAACAACTTGCATTTATATAGAGCCCTTCACACGGGGCAGTGTCTCAGAGCGCTTAGCCTCTCCGAAAAGCAGACACCTGAACTGTTAAAAAAAAAGACGGTGCTCATGATATTTCTGTAAAGATTTACACTTTTTTTGCAAGTCATTTTTGTAAGAAAGAAAAGGAATGTAATTTTAAAAGAAATGTAATTTAAAAAAAAACTACAATGGCGGATCGCAGCCTGGGATCAAGCGACAATGGGTGCCTCTTCTGAAGCACTTAAGTCCAGTGATAGCAGCACCAGACACTGCTGCCGTTATGTCACTCACCAGCAGATCACCAAATAGGTCACAAATCCATCAAGGGCAAATATTCGATACATTGCATACTTCTATATATATCTATATATATACACACATATATTATTCCCAAATTTCTTGTTGTGTGGTGTGATTCTTTACTTGACCCTAAATATGTATCCCAGATGTAGATTAGCAAAGAAAAGATACAGAGTAGGAATCAAACACTGACCAGGTGTCAAATAAAAGTTGTGTGCGACTGGTCACGTTTCTTGGACATCGTGCCCCTTGGTGGAGCCTCACTGGAGCATTGGGGAACGGCACAGGCACAATTTCCTGGGTACAGGGATTAGTCAAGCGCTGGAGGCTGACCAGATGTTCTTAGTGCAGTGCCTTCTAAACAGAGTTCCATTAACTCATTTTGTGTGGAGGCAATGCAAAATATTCAATATAGCCATGTTATTTTCCCAGGTTTACTCAATCAAGGCAAAGCATATACCAGCACAGAGGGAGTGAGGAACCATTCCATTGAGGAGTAACTGTTACTATGAATGATGCCACTTTTAAATGCTACTGCATTTTCAGAGGATATATTGCACATTTGCTATTATCAATTCACTCCATGTTTTGCATTTCTTTTCCATACAATATGCCTTCAAATTCAATCTATTTCAATTTCCTTAGACTGAGCAATCTCACATCCCCTGAAAGATAGTGCCAATTTCAGACAGACAAAATTGTTGGCAGGTTCTTAAATGTGGGCTCACAACCACCAAGAACCACACTGAGGTCCCTCACACTCATTTCAAGTAAGATCCTCACAGCTAAGAGAGACTTTCATATTGATACAGAATATCTGCACACTTGCAAATACGAGGAACAATTAAGCAGTCACTTTCTTTTGTTAATGTTTGATTAACATTAAGACTGGAGATACAAATGCCCTATCATACAGTGATTTACAAATAAATTATTAGACTGACTGAAAGAAAGGATGCTTGATCTTAAGAATATGGTTGAAATGTATGTTGAAAAAGACTGCACCTTAACAAATTTATATTAACCCGCCATATTGTACATCAACCAGTGCTGAGAATAGCTTTTGATAGGTATGAAAGTTTTGAATTAAAATGTTAGGAAGGTTTTGATCCTCAATATTAGAAATACTGTATTCAAACATTAAAACCAGTTTTGTTTAAAAGTAAAGCATAATCGACCTCTATGCCTTCACTTGACTTATTTGAAGCTCACTGAGCTTGTTTTTCAGAAGCAATTCTGCTCTTTGGTTGTCGTTAATAAGTTACAACTTTCTGTGGTAGGAAGATCTCACAATACGAAGTAAAGAAGCAATATATAGATGCAATTGATCTTCAACCTCTTGACCAAAGAGACTGCCTTCATTCATCCACATTCCTTTCTTCTGTGAATAGATCTGCTAGGTCTCCCACAGTCAATACAGAGGCTTCAGAGTTTATCACTGCAGACTTGCTGTGGCTAAAGATCGATGCAGATAGGAAAAATCAAGTTGATTAATCTCTGCATAATGTCAAAACAATCTCAAGATGTAATATACTGTACATATATATTATGTATATTTGAACTACATTTAAGCTGGTGTGTAAACCTGCCTTACTATTTTTAGGTGGAGGATTTTTTTTAATCCTTCAGTTTGATGTAGCATCTTAACGCTTCAAAATGCCTCACAAGAATATTTACTGTAAAGTGTAGTGACTGTATTTGTAGGCAAACACAGTAAACAATTTGCACACATTATCCCACAAACAGCCACGAAGTGTATGACCCAACGTATCTGGAGGATTGTTAGTCAGGACGCTTCACAGATATAATTGAAAGTGGATTGACTGTGCAATTTGTGGGTGAAAACGCAGCAGCGAATTGTGCACAGCAATGTCTACAACATTCATGGATTGAGTGACAATTTTTTTTTTACCCCCGAAAGTGATCCGCCAATCGATGAACAACCAGATTCCTACTTACTGCTAGTTAAGCAGATGTGTAAATACATAAAAGAGATCTGATTTGCCGCTTCACACTACTCTTTATTGTAGATTGGAAAATCTGAGCACGTAAATGATTACTCTGCAGCTCGTGTCCTCTCCCGCACCAGGCTCTGTGACCCCATCAAACCCCACCCTCGCCCGGCTCCACTGCCTCCCCATCCCTCAGAGGATCCAGTTCAAGATTCTCATCTTCACCTTCAAGGCCCTCCATGGCCTTGCCCCCTCCTACCTCTCCGACCTGCTAATCCCTTATCAACCTGTATGCTCCCTCCACTCAGCAGGCTCTAGACTGATCCATGTCCCCTGCCCGGCCCACCCCACCATCGGCAGTTGGGCCTTCAGCCTTTCTGCCCCCACCCTCTAGAATTCCATCCCGCATTCCCTTTGCCTCACTCCCTCCTTTGCCTGATTCAAGGCACTTCTCAAGACCCTCCTCTTTGAACATGCCTCCGGCAATCCTCCTACCTTCTCTGCCCTCCACGCTCCCTGATCTCAACCCCCAACCCCCTCCGTTCGCGTCCTAATCCCTGACCGTTCAGCGCCTTGGGACCCGATGAGAAAGGCACTTTCCAAATGTAATTTTGTATTGTATTATTAGTTATTCCCTCCCCAAATAATATATGACAAGCACAGGAGTACAGAAATATTCCCAATCCAGTTGTGCCAGGCTTTGTTCACATCATATCCTGCTGTGTGAGCATCTGATGTTATGGGTGGTAAATCAACCTGCCACATAAAAATTCTTCCCTCCACAGTTATTTACATCTATATTCACTTAGATTACTGCTGTTAAGCAGCAATTTATTACATTTTGAAGTCCAGAAATTAGAATCCAATTGGAATTAATTGGAATTGGCTGTACAAATGAGAAGCTTTGGGGAAGGAAATTACATTTGAATCTTGGGAGTACCTTTGGACGTGTTACAAAATATTCCTGCAGTTTTCACAGACAGGCATACAGAGATTGTAATATATGGAATTTTAGCTCACCTTTTCTCAGCACTTTTAAGCATACTTTGCATCTTTTCCTCAATGGTTGCTTTGATTAGAAATCTATGAACAACAGTTGGTCTAAAAAGAAATAGGACAAGAGATCACATCAGACAACAAAAATGTTCTGAACTTGCTTATATGCACTGCAAAGGTATTAATTTTATTCATTTCCCATTATGCAGGAATGTTTCAGCTACTTTGAAATAAATAGCAATACAACACAATTTACAAAACGTCTTTCATGTTGGAAGGATGTCTCAAAAGTGCTTTACACAGCTGGCTGGGCACCGAAGCCTGGAAAGGTGATGGGGGTGGGGGGGGGGGGGGGGGGCGAGATTAGTAGTTGGCAATTAGGCATGTCATTTTCATTTGAAATCATAAGATTTTAATTGAATTTTGCATTTCCTCCTTGCTAGTGACCTGGGTTAAGGTGCGCAGTACAAATCTCTTGCTGACCCCTGGTGATGCAGTCTTTTGTATGTGACTTCCTACAGGTAAGGTCTTAAGTATTTAATCAGATGCAGATGCTCTGTATAGACAAGTTGCCTTGATTCCCTTCTACCCTTGCCATTAAGATCCAGAGAAAGTTGAAAGATTCCCCTGTGGCCAAGCCCTAAACCCTCCTCTTGAGTTGAGTGCTCAGTAACTGGAATGGATCCAGGCACTCTACAGACATTTATTTCTGTGTACACTGTTGTTTGCAACGATGTTTTAGATCTCAACACTCCCTTCAAACTTTGGCATTTTTAAAAAAAAAACACGCCTTATTGCGAGGGCACCATATTCAAATGAAAAAGGAGAACAGATACACTTAAACCCCAGCTAGCTGGACTAGTGGGGCGGGATCTGGTCCAGAGAGTCAAGAGTTTACAGCTAAATGTAATTACAATGCCGGTACCACAGTGTTAAATAGCTTCCACATATTACTCTTCTTTGTTTGTATGTTTAAGAGAGAAGGTGGCCAACAAAACTGGGTGAAAAAGACGAGATCGGGAAAATATAAAATTGGCAATGTTACTTACTTTGTTTGTCCAATGCGATGTACTCTGCCAATGGCTTGTAACTCATGGGCGGGGTTTAGAATAGGCTCCACCAGAAGCACATGTGTGGCTTCAATAATGTTTAACCCATTAGATGCTGTGTGGAGGGGCAGGAGCAAAATGTTGATCTTGGCATCATATTTAAATGCTGAGAGATTCTCCTAAAATATAGAATTTTATTTGGTTTTAGCTCAAATAACCAATACTTGTAAACCCATAAGGCACCAAAAACAATATCTATATTGTTACTGACTCTGCATGATTTGGGCTCCAATCTTTCACTGTTATGTTTGGCTCAAATTACATTTTTTTTTGTATGTCAAGTTTCTCCCTTCTCCTATGACGTTTGATATCTGTGTAAACTGCAGTATGAACTTTGAGTGTCCGTGCAATGGACAGTGTGAGCTTTGAGTATCTGTGTAAATGTAAGTTTTGATAACTGAAGATGCTAGTATGAGGATTTATAGTTGTGTGCCTGGTTGTGTGAATTTTGATACCTGTGTAAATGTTTGTTAAACAAAGAAACAATCTTCATTGAACCATTACAAAAATAATTACAAAACCAACAATCTAGGATGACAGAATGTAATTTTGTTAGCGTATTTATTGTTGTATTTATTCTTAGATAAATGAGCCATAATGATCAGTTATATTTCCAAAACTGAAATTTCTATAAAATGTTACTATAATAATAACATGCAATATTTTATAAATCATCCCATTGCTGAAGATTTAAATATTGTAAATCTATATTATATGCATTATGCTAAATGTTATGCATAATCTAACAAAGCATATCAAAAAAACACTGTTAGACTTATATTAAATACATCAATAAAAATACTTTCCTTCGTGTTGGCTGGCGTTTCATTAAAATTAGTAGGAGCTGAAACCTTGTTAAGATTAATATCCTGTTAAGTTACTATGTTACTGGGCTTGTTGGTATGTAATAAGACTTAGTTGCATGTGCCATTCAAATAATTGTTCTTCTCCTACCTGAAACTTATGAAGGCCATCAATCTGAACAAACTCCAAGTTGTTGTCAAACAAAGCTTTCCCTATTATCTCCAACACATCTTGCCACTGCGAAAGCAAAGGAGAACATAAATCCTAAGTAAACAAAAATAATTTATTGTTAAATAGATCCCGCCAAAAATTGAGAATCGTGAGAAAATTGAGCTCTATTAACAAGAGCTATTAATAATAATAATAATCTTTGCCTTTAATATAACATCTTATGTTGTCAAGATGTTTCAAAATGCTTCACAGGATATAATATAAAGTGGTATAACTGAGTAGTTTGTGGGTGATATTTGATAGATGAAGCCATTAAGCACATAAATTACCTGAAATAAATCTTACTTAATAGATTCTGTAACCTACATCAGCTCAAATTGATGTTAAAAATTGAATGTTCTTACCCATAATTTTCAGTAGCACTATGGACTGTGATCTGTTGTAAGAAGCTAGTTTGATTTAGCGAGGATTGGATTTTTTTGTCTAGCTTAAAATACATGAACAATTCTTCTGATTAGCTAATTACAGTGTGTTCTGTGAAGCGCTTTGGGACGTCCTCCCGACGTGAAAAGCGCTATATCAAATGCAAGGATTATTATTATTATTATTCTACAAATCTTCATTTCCTTTCTCCCTCTTACATTGTATGTGTAATCTTAATCAAATGGTTTATGAACATCCAAGTAAAGTGGAGCTTTTATGACAGCCAATTTAATTAATCCCTCAACGAATTCTGCACAATTTGAAAACCAAGACATGTTACGTACAAATCCAGGTTGACTATTTGGCTCTTTATACGATTATTAGTTGCATCTCATAAAAAGCACTTGAGCAACATTTAAGCTAACAGGTCTATAATTCCGATGTTCATGACTGCTTCTTATACATATACTCGGACAACATTTATTTAAACAATAGTTGGACTTGTTTAGAACCTTTTACATTGAGAAAACATCTAAAAGCACTTTATAAAGACTGACTGGGAACCCAAGCTGAGAGGGAGACAGAGTTGTATAAAGTACTTGAAATATTCTGCGTAGCTGGGAAAATTGTCTTGCTTCCTAGCACGGTCTAGTGTTGGCACATTACCGTTGAAAAGACTAAAGCCTTGGCTCCAGGATACCTCAGCTGTATCTTTTTCAGTGTTCGGATCACAGCCTCCACTTTAGTCGAGTGACTGCCCTGAAACGAAATAAACAGCCACCCAAAGCATAACCTTTAAATTGGGGGAAAAAGTAATTTAAAAACGTTACACTTAAAAATAAATGCAGTACTAATCCTTCTGGAATATTCAAAACAAAAGGGGATTATTCTTATAAAATATGCTTGAATGATTCTATGGTGTCAAAGCTGAGACATTTCAGATTTGTTATTAGAAGGAATAACTTGCAATTTTACAGTGGCTTATCACAACTAAACACCTTAAAGGGCTTGAAAGGTAATTACTCTCAAAGGTTATGCTTATTTTGTGTAGAAAATGCAGTTTCCATATTCATCGACAATATCCCACAAACAGTCATATGGTGAATGACCAATGAATCTAGAAATTTCTATAAAAATTTTATAGAAATGTCCTCCTGACGTGAACGGCGCTATATGAATGTAATTTTGTATTGTATTGTTGACCTGGATAAGAAATAGTCAAATTCACATTCTTTGGCACAGTCTCTCATTTACAGAACAGTACAACACAGGCAGGATAGGCCAGTTTGCCTCCTACTGTGCTGACATTTCTGGGTTTTTGCATGCATTAACATCAAATTATAGCTCTCCTGCACATTATACAACTACTATAGATCGTCTCACCTTTATTGGAATATCATCATCTTTGTTTGCAGTCTCAGCTGTGAATACATAAGAGATTTCTTTGTGTGTTGTTGTCTGCCTGCAAATGGCACACTTGATGGCACTTCGCCGAGCCCCAGTGCTATACTGTTCTATTATAATGGCGATGCAGTCATTGCAGAAGCAGTGTCCACATGTTAAGACTGCCCACTGGAAACGAGAAGAAAAATGGGTGTCTGTACAGCAATATAACCCAAACACCACGATAATTTGAGACTCATATACCCTCCCGCCTTAAAAACTGTAAACAATTGTAAAAATATTATTACCTGTTGCCCTAATGGGCGTGCACAGATTGGACATGGCTCGGGATTGATGGCACCTGTTGATGAATCCTGGGACTAGTAACATAAAGCAGGGGATAGTTACCAACAGATACTTTTCGTATGGTTATTTCTGTTTATATATCTATCCATAGAATTCAGGAAGCTACCAGGTTTGATTGCTGGTCAACGGAGTAACTTGAGTTAGGATACTGGTGGAGATTACCCTAACTGTTAAAGAGTTTGGCTTGCAAGGTTACTAAATTGGAAAACAACTAAAATCTAAGATAACTACTGATCTGTGCAATGTTCGATGGTGCTGTTATATCCTGCAGGCTTATTAAATAAAGCTCACCTTCTCCAGATTTGTGAGATAGAGAAGTTGGCCAAGCTTCTTCTGTAACTGCGATGTGGCCACCAGCTTGTCATTTAAGAGCTTCATTTGATTCTGTTCCACCTATAAAACAAGTGAACAGAGTTTCATTTTCTTACAACTGTACGTTTTGATGCGTTTGATTTCAACTGTACTTAAGTACATGTGAAGTTTCGAGGTTGAAGTACCCTGGTTTATCTAGTCATTCCTCATCTCGCTAATTCTGGGGGTCATACTCCTTGACCTTCCCTGCCTTTCCTCTAGGACCTTTACATGGTATCAAGCAGATCAGTCTGTAGTGGTATAGGTGAAGCCTGATCAGAGCACTTGTGCAGCTTGAATATGAACTGAATTCAACTGATTTGGCAATGTAACTCAGCATCTCAAATGCAACTACTTGCATTTATATGGCATCCTTCACGCAAGTCGTGTCTCAGAGTGCTTAACATCCTGTTTGCTTAGTGCTGTTTATACATGGGGAACAACAACTCAACTGATACCCCAAGGGCAATTTCAACTCCCTCTTGTCAAGTTCTACCCTATCCATGTGCCTTCTGCTATTCTGCATTTACTATTTAAAATGTATGAGGTCCCTTCGGAGACACCTCCTTCCAAGACTGAAGAAATGCAGCTTGTCTAATCGCTGTTGTAAGCTCATTTCTCTAACACCTGGGATCATCCTCATAACTCTCTGCACTGGCTCTCAGGCCCTTATATCATGGCATCCAAAACTATGCAGTACTATGGGTGTGTCTGACCAAAGAACTATGAGGATCTAACTCAACTGATTTCACAATGTAGCCCAGTATTCTTCTTGCCTCGCTGCCTCATACCGTTTTGACACAGAGATCAATGAGTTAACTGATGAGACAAATACCTTAAAAAGAGTCAGTGACATGCATACAGGGAAAAGACAAGTAAATGAGACAGAAAGGTTTGCTCTTGAGGGAATCAGCACAGACACGACACAGACAGGCTACATGGCCTTGTCTTGTGCCGTAAATTTCTATGATGTACAGCAACACAGCTATTCCAGTGATCCAATCACATGATTTAAAAAGCAGTGATACTATACTCGTGATTTCAGAAAACTTAATTGCATAATTCAGTACCCAATGGTCCGACCAGCTGGGGACTAATTAAATGTCCCTATAAACCATCTACATCATGTGAAATTATGGTTATTTTAGAAAATTCATTGCCTGTGTTACACATACTTGTTTGTGTACTGCTAAGCAGATCTTCAAAGCTCAGTTGTCTACTTTGGCTCCCTGCTTTCATTTCCTGACTTATATATGTTACATAATGAATGACTTAATAATACCTCATGTGGCTCAATGATGTGAAGAACAGGAAGATTGGGTTTAGGTTCATCCGGAAGGCGTATTCGAAACCTCTCTGTTGCCATCGCTAGCTCATCTATAGCAGAGACACGATCCCGTAGTACCATCCAATATTCATGCAGCAACTACAAGCACCAAAGATAAACGTTAGGTGATATTTTAGAAGTAGATGCTGTTTCCTTCAGTCTGAGTAATGAAAATATAATAATCTTGATCTGCAGGAAGATAGAACCCATGACCCAAAGACCTTCCCTGATGACTAACTAAATGCACCAATTGGTATCGTGTGTAAGGAACTGTGCAAACCACAATACAAAATTACATTGTATAGCACATTTCACGTCGGGAGGACATCCCAAGGCACAATTAGGAAGGTTAGAGGCCTGATTCCTATGCGCTGCTGTTTGTCGATAAGGCAGCAAGGACATTAGAATTGGCGTCAGCATTTCTAGGCCAGCAAGAGGGNAAAAAAACAGATTTACCAAAGAAAGAATATTTAGGGCATTGCAGGAAGAGATAAAATGCAATACTGTGGATTAATTCTCCTGTAAATGTTTATCAGGAGAAAAATATTATCCTTATGACTTAAAATGGGGATGTGTTGCATTTGTGGTTGTAATGCAAGTGTTTCTTCCTAAACGCAGAAATACATGTTTTTAATAAACTATATTTGACATTATTTCCCAAGAATACCTTATATTCCTTTTTCACTGCTTCAAATTGTTCCATGAAGATATTCCCTTCTTCTATGAGCATTGCGTCCATTCGGCGAACTTTTCCAAAGGTCAAGATGGCTTTTAAAGAGCGTTCAGTCTCACTTGCTGCCCAAAGTCCACGACTAGTGGTAGGTAAACGATCATCAACTAATCTATCTTCGTCTTCGATCCTCTCCTCAAAGATTGCTTTCTGCCCTTTAACACTAGAGAACACAAAGCATCAGATTTTGGACTGCAACATTATTACTAGCAGCAACAACAGGCTAGTTTTAGTTTGCCTGTTTCAGATTTACATTTTCTAAAACATTCCCCAAATTTATAATCCTCTATAATCAACAATTGATTCCCCCAATTCTTTATTACTGCCCAGCCACGATTGTTGATTTATTTTAAAAAAACATGGACAAGCAAAACAAAGCATACTGTTCTGACCTCGATATCATGCCATGTATGAGCAATCATATAGAGCAAATTTCTATACCATATCATGTATACCATATTGTAAGCAAACAAAAAGCAACTACACATTCATAAAACTTTTTTTAAAAAAGAAAAAGGTTAGGAAAAACATCTAATCTCAAAAGTGCTAAGGTTAGTGTGGTCGCATATGGATTTGCGATATAACAGCCAAAATACTTCTGATCAAATTTTGTAATGCTTTTTTTTAAAAAAAGTCGAACATTGTTATTTACTTGTATTTTGTGCCAGCACTTTACTAGTACATGACTTATAATGTGCAAAGGAGCATTCCTGAAGAGTATGCACTCAAGTACAGCTAATCAAATAAGCATGGAGCTCAGATTAAACTTGCCTGTGAGAGAAAAGCTTTGACTCGTATTCTGTGAATAGTTCATCTGCTTTACAGAATAGACAGCTGCAAAACAAGATGATAATAAGATTAAGAATTATAAAAATAATTGTTTCTGGAAAGAAGTCAGGGTTCAGCATGTTTACTTCTGAAAATGATCTTTAAATATTAAGGTATTGCGTGAACTAGTACTAGATAGAATCAGACACTGTCCTGCTATCCAAGATAAACAAAATTACACAGACAATTACTCATTTATTTATTATCAAGGACAGGCATATAAGAGACAGAGTAGTAATAATAATAATCCTTTGATAGAGGGCCTTATCATGTCTTTGAGACGTCTCAAAGTGCTTCACAGAATATACTGTAAAGTGAATTGACTATATTTTGTGGGAGAGACGCGGCAGCCAATTGAGCGCAGCAGTGTCCCACAAACAGTCATGGATTGAGTGACCAATTTATTATTATTTTCTTTTGAAAGAATTATTATCCCTGGAAAAGCGATCCGCCAATCAACTAACAACCGGGTTCCTACTTACTGCTAGGTAAACAGAGGCGTGTGGAGTAAGGAAACTTTGCTCAACATTTCACTCTGGCGGGAATCGAACCCAGGTCTCTCACTTGAGAGGCGAGTGGTCTAACCACTGAGCTACAGGACTTTGGGACTGACCACCTGCAATCCAGTAAACTCCTAGAAACTAAGAGAGAGCATAATTTGGAGTATTCCAAATTTCAGGTATTGCAAAATCCAAGGGAACTATATAAACACCTAAAAATAAGTAAACCATAAGAGTTTGAGGAAAGGACAGTTAAATGGCACTGAAAGGATTGCTCTTAAAAGAGCTGACACTGACATAATGAGCCAAATGGTCTTCTGTACTGTAAGTTTCTTTGGTTTTGAAACCTTTATTCCCGGAGAGGCCAGGTATTTTTGACAGTGAAATATCACAAGGAGCAACTTCCTGACATGTTAACAGGACAGCATCTTTGCATCAGAAACATCACCCATCTATTGATCCTACAGCAACTAGAGTTGTAATGCCATGTACCCACTTGTTCAAAGGAAATCGGACAGGCCGGAGATGGCAGATGGTGGCGGCGTGAATCGCTTGTTGTGATGGGGGGGCCTCCAGATTCTTCACAGCATCCTGCACCAACTGTTGAGATTTCCTCAGCTCTTCCATTTGCACTGTCAGCAGAAACTGCAAGCCTCTAGAGTCACGGAATCTAGGTGTGCAAAAGTAACTGCGGTCAGGAAAACAATTGTTCACATATGCCACAAAATCTTCATGTTTGTAAATAGAGGATAAAAATGTCAGAACCATTGTTATTTATTTGCATTTTGTGCCAGCACTTCACTGGAACATGACTTATGATGTGCAAAGTACATGTGGGAAAGCAGTTATTGACGTTTTTCATTAAACGCAGGTGCTGAAAAAATATATACATTTTTAAAAACCCAAATCATCTCTGTAGTAAAACAACAATTTGCACTTACATTGTGCTTTTCACACATGAAGAATGTGATTTACAAAGACTGGGAGGCTGAGCTGGGAGTGAGATGGGGGTTTAGGGGCCAAGTGACCAGGGTTTTGAAAGCAAAGAGAGAAAGGACCATGACAGAGGGATTTCAGAAGACCGTTCCAAAATGCAGGGGCAGAGTGGCTAAATGCTCATCCACCAATGCTGTGATGACCAACGCTCATCCACCAGAGATATGAAGCTGTACTGAGTTGGTGGACTGGAGGAAGTGGCTGGGATGTAGGCTATGGAGGCATTTGAAGTACACAAAATATTCAGCCGTAAGACGCGTTTTTTTTAAACCTGTCCAAACTACAAAACTGGAATAAAGTAACTGCACAATTATAATGCGTACAACACAAGTTACTTAGTACTCATCTAAATAACAGGGTTGACGTTCAGAATTTTAAATTTCTTTATTGTGAGTTGTTTGACTTTTTGGGGTTGTGGTGGCACTAATTTGTACAAAAAGTGTCATAAAAATGATTCAACTCAAGAAACAGTGAAAATTTCAATTAATTTCATAATCTATACATGTTTACTTACTTTTCTGCCATGGAGAATTTATTGCTTTGGTGCTTAGAGTTGGATGAGAGTTCATTTTGCACTCGGATTACTAGCTCCTCATCCATAGCATCTTGCCGTGAATTCTCAATGATACCCAGCCACCAAGGAACCCCTGCATTAATCTGCCCACAAAGCAAACAAATAAAAGAGATATTTTAAATTAATGGTTGGTTATTGAACTCTACTAGCCCAAACTTTCAGTCTTTCAATAAACCATCTTAATTATTAATATTGTTATAATAATCCTTAAGCATGTCATATAGCACCTTATCAAGTTGTGGAGATATCTCAAAGCACTTCACAGGATATACTGTAAAGTGGTGCGACAGTAGATTTTGTGAGGAAACACGGCAGCCAATTTACACACAGCAAATTAGTCCACAGATGTGGATAATAAGCCATGGAATGATTTTCTGTATATCAATAGATGTGATTATCAACTGCAGGGTTAGCATTGGCTAGCCCAATGATACAGCAAAATAAATGTGCAGCTGGCAAGGAAGATCTCAGGTTCTTGAGGGCAGGGTGATCCGGTTACCGGAAAATTCCCACATTTGTGTATCTTCTTAACAGTAAGTAATAATATAATATTATTATTATTATTAACAGTAAGTAGGATCCCAGTTGTTAGTCGATTGGCAGATCGCTTTCCAGTAATAACCCCTCAAAAAAAAGAATGGGGTCACTCAATCCACGACTGTTTGTGGGACATTGCTGTGGACAACTGGCTGCTGCGTTTTGCCCACAAAATATAAAGTCAATCCACTTCACAATACATTCTGTGAAGCACTTTGAGACAGCTCAATGAAGCGATATGGTGCTATATAATAATAATAATCCTTGCATTTGATATAGCGCTTTTCACGTCTTCTCGACGTTTCAAAGCGCTTCACAGAATAGACTGTAAAGTGAACTGACCGTATATTTGTGGGCGAAACACAGCAGCCAATTGCGCACAGAAGTGTCCCACAAACAGTCGTGGATTGAAAATGAACAATTTATCATTGTTTTGTTTTGGAGGGATTATTTTCAAATGCAAGGGTTATTATTAGTAGTAGGACACCATGGATTTACCTTGCGCTGCAGATCACGCATGTTTTGCTGAACTGATTGCAGAGCTTGATATGCCTCAGAAACCTCAGCATCTGATTTGTTCATGTAGTGCTGTTTATGCTGCTCAGTCTAGGTATGAGAAAGGGAACAGAAACATTAATGGTGAGATATTTTTTAGGTTGTTAACGTCAGCAACCGTGTTGCGGTCACGTAAAAAAATGTAGAATATAAAGTGATGATATTAAAGAAATTCTGTTCAAACACTCATTCTAGCTAAAGATCCAAAAAACAATTCTTATAACCAATGGTGACCTTTTTGACAAGTGAGGCAATCTGAGCTTGCCTAACATAACCAAGCTACCATGGCAACGGGCAGTATCTAGTCACTTTCCTGCTCTCACCCAGCCCCGCTCACTCACAAGTTGGATTCCATTGGTCCCAACTCAGGTCTCGGGCTCTCGCCTGCGCTGGTCTCGCAATGCCTACTATAAGATCTACAGCGGGCCCCTCCGAGAGCAGAGGATTAATCTGCTCAGCTCCTCGCTGGTCTCACAATGTTCGCCGGGTGAGGCAGTGCCACTCTCGTTTCACCTGATGAGCTGCCACCAATTATAACAATATTAGTGCATACAGCAAGCAATCACTGTGTTTACTTCCATCCCCAGATCCCACTGACAAAACCTTGGGATGTATACCTAGAGTAGTATGTTACAGGAACTGACAGTGAACTTATACAAAGCACTTTAAAAGAAACACACGCACAGATTTTCCCAAATAATCACTCATCACCCATTACCTCATCTCGAAGTCTGTGATCTCGAAGTGTTGGTGGAATCCCTGGGTGTTTTGACTCCAGAAGTTCCATAAGGTTATGAGTCGCGTGGAGACGCTAGAAAAACAAAACAATCCAAATGACTCTAAAATTTGTGAAGAAGGGCAGCAAGAACAAATATAAAATTGCAAAAGACAAAAGCCTGCAGCACAAAAATAACATTTTAAATCTCACTTACCTGTAAAGAATCTGTTTTAAGTTTGCTTTTATGTTCTTCAGATGAGCGCAGAACTTCTCTGTAATATTCAGCTGCCGTCGTAAACTCATCTAGAAATGAATAACAATAATCCTTGCATTTGATATAGCGCCTCATCACATCTTCGAGACATCTCAAAGCACTTCACAGAATATACTGTAAAGTGAATTGACTATATATTTTGTGGGCCAAACAATACACCAGAAAGTGTACTTAATTTAAGATCAAACAATGAAGCATATATTAACAAAAGAACATTTTCTAACTCATTATGCTAGTGTTAAATCAAGCCATTTTAGGAATTTTAATCGGTTTATAACCTCTTAAAGTGGACTTTCCTTAAAAAAAAGTGTTAACCAATCGTGCTGTGAAAATTAATTTTGCTTTATTTTGACCAAAACCTTCATTAACCCTTTCATATGCTAAATGCCCCTAAAGTGGAATCCTTCAGACAGTGAAAGAAAATAGTCTATTCTATGCTGAGACTTTCTGTTTCTAGGTTTCTAACATGTATCTGTAACCTTCAACCTTATTCTAAATAGATATTTACCCACAGAAGCATTTTACATGGTTACAAGATATACGGATTAATAGAGTTAATTGGTATATCTCATTCACGTTGAAATATAGCTGAACATTTGCACCATTGTGCTGACCTTTGATAATGTGGATGCCTGCCAAACCATTGAGAGCACAGACAAGCTGTCGATGAGCCTCTTCACACGCTGTGCAACATTTTTTCTGAAGTGACTTCAAAAGTTCCTCCATTGTCATGGTGCTGCAAGAAAAAAAATCTGAGTGAGGAAAATTCAGATTCAAGAGCCAAGTTTAATCTCATTTCTGCCAGAAATTACAGTCATTCCACTTTACATTATATCCTTTGAAGCCCTTTGAGACATCTCAATGATGTGATACGGCTCTATATCAAATGGAAGGATTAGTATTATTATCTCTGTGAGAAGGCATTCGCATGGTTCCAGGAATGCACTTAATCTATATAAGCGCACGTCACAAATAGACCAATTATTGCATAGAAAGAGCTACTGAGGGAAAGCTAGATAGCCATGAACATAACTTTTCTGGAACAGCATATGATGAAAGCTTATGCTCACACATAAGGAACGTACCTTTTCTGCAGTGGAAGAAACTCTCCACGAACAGCCTGTGGATGACAGCACGCCTGCCTTAACCTAAGTAACGGATACAGAATGGAAGCCACTGTTCGTCTATCCAGAATACTCAGCTTAATGCTCCAGTCAGAAATTTTTCTCAGTTTCTGCAGCGCATCTTGGGAGCAGAACTCATGTTGCCGATGGTAAAAATGCCTCTCCACAGGGGAAAACTGAAGCCAGTGAACTTCCTCTGTTTGAGGGGGAATCTGGATCTAAGAGAAAATGAGGGTCAGAGGAAAGGGATAAAATTGGATTAATTGGATCACTGCCCTCCCTGCCATGGCCGCACTACTACTGCTTCATTTTTTTCAACTGTACTTTTGAGAATGCGGTTTAACATGGGATATTTCAAACAGGTTTCCTAAAATATCAAATGACACATTTACTAAACTGGACTGTATTTACTGGCTTGACTGCTGTTTTCAATCCACCAGCTGTTAAGAGTTTAACCTTTAGTAAAAATAAAGGATCCAATACTTCCTGCAGCTGTAACAGAAAATCAGTATGACTGCCTATAACAGTACGACTGACTTCTACTTTCAGGTTAAACAACCAAAGTAAACTACATCTGTATTAGCTATTCCATCCAGAAGAGTTTTTTTTGTATTAGTAGTCTGGACTTCGTCATTCTTTTCAAGCTGCTGTATTTGATACAGTACGATTTGATGCTAATATTTAAATACAACAACAACTTACATTTATATAGCGCTCTTCACGCGGGGTAGTGTCCCAGAAATGCTTAGTCACATACCTGATCAAGCACATCCTTTTTTGCTGTTCTCCACATGATCTTTGCAATGAGGCTATAGAGAGGAAAAGGATTTTTCCTGCGGTAAGGTTGGTATAGGAGCTGGTCCCACCAGTGTTTGACCCAGTATGGGTCGACACCAAGGAACAGTACTAATCCATACAGATCTGAGGGCAAAATGACAAATGGCAAAATAAACTACAATAATGATGCATTGCCAGTGAGTCAATAGTCTAAATTGATAAATTTGGTTAGGCTCCAATGCTCGCTGATTTCTGTTATCTACTGAATGGGTTCAGGACTGATAGTTCTGACACAGTTGGGGGACATTCAGTGAATTAATACATTGATAGGGCAGAATTGTTTACAAGGTGTTAATTATCATAATGATGATTAACCAACCACATATTGCAATTTTCACCCACTGGTGTCTGCACCATTTCTAGCAGAAAGGTGTTCCATCTCCCAAACGGCTGTGGATAGTGGGTCTATTGGAATTTTCAAGTCTGAGGTCGATCGATATTTGTTAGGAGACGGTAACAAGAGGTTTGGAGAAAAAGCGGTTAAATAGAATTGAGGTATAGAACAGCCAAAATCTAATGGAATGGTGGAACAGACTCGAAGGCCAACTCCTGTTCCTATGTCTATTGTTGCATTTAATAAAAATGGGATTAATGGCAGACCTTATTATCTGTAGAATAATACTGTTTGTAACAGTGAACAAATAGCTATTGATAGAATATCTTTATTACCTTCTAAGCCTCTTTGAACAGGAGTTCCAGTGACGCACCAACGATTTATTGCACTTAATCTTAGACACATTTCTGCAGCCTGGACAAAGGAAAGAATTTAACAGAAAGAAAGAAGTGTTAACTGTTTGTAGTTCTAGAAATGTAGCCAATTTATACACTGCAATGTCCTACAAGCAGCCCTGAAATGAATGACCATTTTTATCTGGGGGATTGTTGGCCAGGACACCAGGAAAAACGCTCTTCTCTTTGTGACCACCATGAGATGTTTAACAACAACAACAACAACAAGATTCCATTTATTGAGTGCCTTTCACGTCGGGAGGACGTCCCAAGGCGCTGCACAGTTGGGTCAGGACCCGAGTAGGGGGGAAATGGTCAGGGTGAGGGGAGGGAAGGGAGGGAGCGAGGAGGGGGTAGAGAGTCGAGAGGGGAGCTGAAGGCACGGTCAAAGAGAAAGGTCGTGAGACCGGCCTTGAAGGAAGAAAGGGAGGAGGCGGCGAAGGCACTGGGGGATAGAGTTCCAGAGCCTAGGGGCTGAGAGGCTGAAGGCCCGGCCACCGATGGTAGGGCGGTTGGGGCGGGGGATGTGGAGCAGACCGGAGCCAGAGAAACAGAGGGTACGGGCAGGTAGGTAGGGGGATAGTAGGTGAGGGTGAGGATCTTGAATTAACTTCACCCGAACAGACAGACGGGACCACGGTTTGACATTTCATCCAAAGGACTTCACCTCCTACAACGCAGTACTCCCCAGCACTGCACGGGAGTTTCAGCCTAGACCTGTGGCCCGTGTGGTGGAAGTGGCCTATGGGGCCATCAAGAAGCATCCCCCTGACATTTGCATGAGTGTTTTCAGGTTTTTGCATCTCACCTTTGCAGTAGCACATTCCACCATCTGAGCCTCGTCCAGACAGATCCTCCACCACTCCACCGCCACCAGTGGGCTTGGAATTGCCATGTAACGTTTTTGGTTGCGGAAACGCCGGCCATCATCACTATTGCTGTGAGGTATGTCGACATAGTTTAGCTCCGATCGAAGAACATCATATGTCGTGATAACAATGTCATGCTTGGCCAACATGTGAGGTTGGATAAAGCCATGCTTCTTTACTCCTTGGTATACCTGTTAAACAAATAATCGTCAGAACATCTTTGTTCCTCAGAAATAAAAGCTCCTCTTGTAAAGAATGAACATAACCTAGTCAATGTCAGGCTGGAGTAAGCCATTGGTCCATCATGATGATACTAAGTCATAAATAAATAATCTTTACGTTTGATAAAGCTAAGCACTCCGAAACACCGTCCAGCACGAAGGGCACAATATAAATGCAAATTGTTGTTGGTCATATTTCAGGAGGAAACCTCAAAATACTTCAGAGGACATACTGTTAAGTATTGTGACTGTATTTTGTAGGCAAATGCTAACGCTGCCAAAGGAAGAAAAAGATCCACAGATAATAAGGGCTGTGTTATTCAGGAGAATAATAGTGAGAGTACATGACTAACACAAGGCAAAAACAGACCAAAGTTGTTAAGGACAAGTTGTGCTTATTAATATTAATCCTTGCACTTGATATAGTGCCTTATCACCCCGTCGAGGCATCTCAAAGTGCTTCCTAGGATATACTGTAAAGTGGCTTGACTGTGTATTTTGTGGGCAAAACGCCCAAGCTGTGCTTATTATTCTCTTCCCCCACTCAGCATCTCGATTTCACATTGTGAATACATTCAGAAATAGAGGATGATAATAATTATTTACATCCCATTGAAAAATGTTTCAAGTGCAATTTGTTGTTGAAAAGCATTTGGAATGTGTCTACCTGAAGTACCCTGCACCGTGCAGTTTTATTTATTTGCTGATTCAGGATTCCTTACCAAAATGCAGAGTGAAGAAGATCTCACGTGTCTGTTAATTTCATCCACCCACTGGTGGCAGATGGAGCTCGGTGAGATGATGAGAGTTGCTGACGTGGGCACAGGCTTCATGGCAACCAGACAGTGTGGGCAGTAGAACGGTCGGGTTTTTAAGTTTTCTTCTTTATAATTAACACATTCAGCATGCTGCCAGAGGTGACAATTCAGACACTGGACACGTGCTTTGTAATCGGCCAGCCCAACTTTTCCACAGATGCACTCAAAGCGATATCGTGAAGTATTGAAGGGAAAGACCATTTGTTGCCCTGAGGGATATACAGTCTCTGTTTTCTGATAAGAATCTGCTTTTTGGGCACGTAAGTTACTATTATGATTGGTCACAGAATGCAGTTCTTCACTGCAACTTTTACTCTCATGGTTCATTTCAATAGTTGCTTTCATCTCTTTTTGTGCAGCATGTACTGCGCCATCCTTTTGCTCTTTAGTAAAGCTCTGGGGTGATACAGGTAGTTTTTCTGCACTCTGACACTGTTTATTTGCACCACAATAATTGTGTTCATTTACCATGAGACACTTCACGTTTTCAGTTGTTTTGTCATCTTCCACTGGGTTCAAAGTTGTGTCCTTTTCCTCTGCCTTCACCTTCTGCTTGTTGTTTATTAAATTACGTAACTCATTATGTTCCGATCCACTGGTCGGAAACCCTCGTTTCTAAGACAAAACAGAAAGATACAGTAAGAGGGCCATAAATACAGACATTACAAAATTAGAGAAACCTGAAAAGAATCTCAAGTGTTGGTGATAATCTGCAGAACTAAATATGAATTCAGAAATAGTTATCTAATACAGTAGACTGTATTTAAGTTACTAAACATTTACGAACCACTGAAATCTTAGGAAATCATTTAGAGACACATGCCTCAAATGATTGATCCTAATGATCTTAAACCATAGATGTACCCAGAGAATGAGTTCATCTTCTAAAACTGCAATGGGGCATTTCAGATTAATTGGCATTCTTCCACAACACTGTCTTCACACATCTGCCAAGCCCAGAACTCTGTGAGATCAAAGCCTTTACTGCCTAGTTTGAAGGCACTGGTGTAACCTGAAGCCAGTTGCTGTCTGGGTTCAGTGTACACTGAACTTAGCCTAAATAGCTGCAATAAAGCATATAAAAAGGATGTACACTTTGCCACACAAATTCCTCTACTTATCTATCATTACCCTTGTGCTCAGTCAAGATTAACAGGTCGAGATTGATTTGCCAAAACAAAACATGCCCTTTATGGGGTAGGATCCTCCTATAAGAGCTATAAATAATTCTCCATAAGATTTTACTGGGAGACACCAGAAACAAAAGGTCTAAAAACATGGAGATTTATAAAAGGACTCATTAATAACAATTCTGATAACTGAAGTACGTCAGATCCTCCTGTGGGAACTCTGCTCCAAAAGTAAATTTAGCTGGAGCAGAGTTCCCACAGGTGTCATGAAGTACTTCCAGTTACACTCCAAGTGAGTCATGTTAGGAACCAAAGGTTTCCTGCATCTAATACACCATATAGTAGAAGAAGATGTGAAAGGGCACCTCTCTATAGGGCACAGAGAGGAAAAACTAGGATGCGCATTGGGGGAAGAGGGAAATAACAAAACTGTCTTTTAAATGATTCTGCTAGATGTTCTCAGTTATAAAAGTTTTTTTAAGCACATTAAGAGTCCAACAAATTAAGGTAACATTCTGTAGATGTCCTTTATAGTATAAGTCTGCAGAAATGTAAAGGAGGGAGAATTATCTTTTGAAAGCTACACAATCAAAACTAGTTTACTTATCTAGAATAAATTATACCTGCTTTTCAGTTCCACTTTGTTTCATCTGTTCCTTGTAATTCTTTCCCATCCTGAAGGATCCAGCTAATCCGTGACCTTTGACTTGTTCCACCACTTGTTCTGCAACAAGTTTTTCCAAAGTTTTTTTGATCAGTGGCCGGTTTCGTTGCACATCATACTTGTAAGTGGCAGTGATGAATTTATAGATGGCATTGGCAGAAGCACCTTTCTTGATTTTCCTGTCCTTTATGGCCGAAGTTAACATTACTCTTAAGCCTGCACACAAAAAAAAGTATTAAACTTACTGATAAATGCTGCCCTAAATACCTGTAATTGTTGTGTTTCTCACCATGCTACATGCAGCTAAAACTTTTAGAGTAAACAGGAAGTGATTTACTTTCTCGGTATCTGTAAATTCAACACCCAACTTTAAAGCTGTAAAAGGTAAATGTTTGCTAAGAGGGGAGCCAATTTGGAGTGACGTAAGAAATACGAAGAATGATATCGCACAAAGACAGGTCCATTCAACGAGTCTGTACTGCTGCTTATACTCCACATAAGTCCCCACCTCTTCTATTCCCCAAGAACATTTATAATAATAATCATTGCATTTGATGTACAAGGATGATTATTATTAGTAGCAGTAATAATTGTCAATTTGGAAACCCCCAAGACAATTAGGTCAAATGACCACCCCATTTTGCCCTACTGATTGCCACGTTACTGTGATATACAATATCAATGCAGTCACTTACTGGGATAGTTCACTTTCTCCTTGGGCTTGAGTTCATTTTTCTTTGTCTCTGGTTTACGAGACCTCAAAGATGGTGGAGAAGGGATGTAGTAATTTACAGATTTCCCCTAATAAGATAATTGCAGATCAATAAAATGCTCATCACATCCGTATACTGCATTAGTCTAACATCTTAGCGCAAAACTAACTAGCAGAGGGACAAAATATCTCATGGTCTTAGCCTTAAGATCTTTATCTTAAAATTTAAGATTGTGCAGAATTTTGAAAAGTTCTTAAATTCATTCTTAATTTTGAAGAGCTTAAAAAAGGTCAGTACATTTCAATATAATTACTGTAAAATGCTTTGAGATGTTTCGTTCTGATTAGGTGATATGAAAATACAAGTTATTTTCTTTCTATGTTTCAAATGGTGTATCTGCACCGTGCTCAGTTTTGCAACAAGCTGATGTCTGTCTGTTTGTAATGTGATACATCACTCTACAGCCCCTCTGTTAAAAGCAACACATATAGTAAAGGTAAGAGCACTTTCTATCTTTGACTTATCCTATTTGTAGCTCAATAGAACTCAGATAAAACCTAAAAGATGGTCAGCACCTCAAAGTAAAATAAATCATGATTTTTTTGAACTCTGCGGGCTTGTCTTGTCTTTCTACAGTAAATATAGTGCAAAGATTGTGATAGAACACTAAAGTAATTCATGTTGTATCATACCTCTGGGAGGGTCAGTGTTTCTTGTTTGAGTTCTTCACGTGTATGGGTTAGGATAAGTGCCAGTATCTCTACAGTTTTCCCCAGACCCATCTCATCAGCAAGGATACCTCCAGGCCATTCAGGACCTGGCAGAGGACGCTCACGAATAATACTAAACAAGAGAAAAGAAAGTCACTGGCTGAACAATACAGCAACATGGAACTTATGCAATCAGAGACCCTTTCAACAATTAAAATTTAAAAATGGTGTTGTGCTCATGAAATCTGTTTCTTCGACGAACCATGTACAATTCTCCCTATTGTTTATTTTACCCAATATATTAAATTTGCTGAAGGAAGTTTAGTACAGTAAAAATTCAATTTCAGTTAGTTGCCTCCTGCGATTATTGAACCATGCAGCTACCTAGATTTACATAGAATCTACAGCATGGTAACAGGCCATTCGACCCAACTAGTCTGTGCCGGTGTTTGTACTCCATATGAGCCTCCACCCACTCTTTACTCCCTCCCATATCCTTCTATTCCTTTTTCATGTGTATATCTAACTTCCTCTTAAATATATCTGCAGTTCCTACTGCAGTGATATTTGTATTACATACAATGTTGTAAAGAAACAGCACTTCTGTATAAATCATATCATTATTTCAATCTATGGATACACAATCTATTCCCTAGGTTAGATCACTCTTTCAATGCAGGTTTTCATCTCTTTATTCTACTCATAGACACGAAGTCAGTTGAGAAGCAAAATACATACGTATACCTATTTAAGTTTGTATCAGTGTGATTCTAAGAATTGCCTAAAGACTCATACCCACAACTTAAATGTTAACTCTCCCAGGTCACTGTATCTCATTTCTGCACCAGGTTTGAAAGTACTTTCACAGAATAAAATATACCTACTAGCCAGTGTATGGGTTGTAATAAAGTTTATTTTCATCCTTTGTAGTAAATTCTTTCCATAACAAATGTAGAGCAGTTTCTGCAAGCAAAACAACACAATTAAAATAAATACATTATACTAAAACTTACTATGGAACAGATGAACAAGAAGAAGCTGTTCATCTATCAAGCTAATATTACCTGTTTATTAGATCATGGCAGATCTACACAGTTACTGAGCCTCACACTACTATTTAGGTACCATTTAGGTGTCAGGTGGCTTAGTTGGTAACACTCTCGCCTCTGATTCAGAAGGTTGTGGATTCAAGCCCCGTTTTGGGACTTTGAGCATGAATGAGTGAAAAAGTGAAAACAAACAAAACCAATTCTTATCCATGAATATTATTTAAGAAGAGTTTATTGTACTAATCAGGCTTGTATTTAAGTGTGCTGGCTCGTAAACAGCTTTCACTGAAACTTACTGTTACAGGAAGAGGGAGTTTTATAATGTTCTTGCTGAAGCATCCAACTGACGGCCTCGTGTTGATATGGTCTAAGTGCTGGAATAAGTAGAGGATGCTGAACTTTTTCAGTACAAAGAATTTCTTGCTGGTGCAAACGTCGTACAAAGTCATAAAGTTCCTCTATATTTTGCCTTTCAAGTTCTTTATCAGCCTCTTCCTCATTAACTATTAAAACATCTGAATGAAAATACAAGAAAAAAGCAGAGCCACAGAGATTAGGACTTACAAGCTTTACCAAAAAACATCACTTTCTTTTGGTAAGCTAGGTGTCTGATACACGTGCAAATCCATCGCCATGCTCAAGAGTATCCAAACTATGTTGAGAGTACCACATATGTATGTCACCTACACGTGGAAATTTCCAAGTCTGGAATGGAATACGCAATCTCTCCTTGAAAGGACGCATCCTGATTCCCTAATTCCAGAGTGTATTAGGCACAGGAGCCAGGCTGGCAGGTCCGTCATCAGTAGTGCCTGGAATACTGGGAGCTGGTTGGTTTAGGAACCGGACTACTGAGACCGTCACAGAGCGCTGACTCAATTCTAAAATTCCATTGTCAAGCACATCACCCTGGAAACATTCAGGACTATGGTGACCTGCTTCGCCGATACTGATTTCCAACAGCACTCAAAAAGAAATGCAGAAAACTAGCTCCCAAATAAAGATGGAATTTATGCCTTTTTTTTTAAACATTTGCATATTCTTAAACCTAAACACATGAGAAATCTTGGACTCCTGTAGGCAGGACAATTCAGCCATTTAAAAAAGAACAATAAAATAATTAGACAAGGAAGGTAAGATTTAATATAAAGTTACTGAGAACAGGACAAATAATGACAACAAAATTACATTTGTATGGTGCCTTTCACGTTGGGAGGACGTCCCAAGGTGCTGAACAGACGAGAGTTACGAGCTGGGGGTCAGGGTGGGGGAGGGTGGAGGGCAGGAGGGAAGCAGAGAGATTGAAAGCACGGTCGAAGAGGTATTGAGATAGGTCTTGAAGGTGGCAAGGGAGGAGGTGAAGCGAAGGGACTGCAGTATGGAGTTCCAGAAGGTGGGGGCAGAGTGGCCAATAGTGGGCCAGCAAGGCGAGGGACATGAAGCAGGCCGGAGGGAGCAAACAGGATGGTAGGGGTTAGGAGGACTTTAAATTTTTAAAGTCAGCTCTAAGACTTATACGGCTGATTTTAAAAATTCCCCTCCAATTCTGCACAATCTTTCATTTCAAGGTGGCATTTCGGACCTACGGGGGACATGGTGGTCAGGGAGGAAAACAGAAAAAAATGACCGATTAATCTATCAGTTCCTCAAAGCAGTCAAATTACAGTGGTTGTAATAGTTTCATCCAAATATTATACCTGGAGATATTAAGTCATAAAAATATTCCATAAGTTTCTGAATTAATGCAGTTGTTTTTCTCATCCTACAGCTCCCTTCACTCAGGAATTCTAGTTTTCCCAGGCCGCGCTCGAGCAGGTATATGCACACCTACAATATCAATAGAAAGATTTGTAAGTCTCATTTAAAAAATATGCAAAAAGTACATTGTCAGTGAAAGGAAAACATTGGTCTCTAATGAAGCCCAAATAAAAGGGTAAGGAGAAGGAATCTGCATTATTAATTTGTCTATAATATCAAAATACACCTTACAGTATTTTCAAGTGTAGTCCCTGTTTTTTGTAGGCAAATGCAATACATATTCCACGGCCACTGAGGTCCCATAAACAACCATGAGATGAATGACTAACTTATCTAGAGGAAAGCTGGTCAAACTCCCTGGGTGAAACTCCCTTTTCTTTTCAGGGTCATGGGATCTTTAACATCCATCTGAACAAGCAGATGAAACATAGGTTTAACATTGTATCCAAAGGACAATACTGCACCTCCCCAGCACAGCACTGGATGTCAGCTTAGAGACCCACATTCCAAACAGTTATGGTAACAGTGTTCCCAGTTATATCATTCTCCAATTCCTAAACAAAAGGAGTTTGTAGTTTTAATCAGGTCCCAAACCATCCCTGACAATTAACACCAAATATAGAAGAAAAGGGAAAGAAGCATAAAAATAAATATCATTTCATCAGTGTCATCATGACTTACAGAATAATGTTCTCATTTATTTATATTGAAGTATAAATTATACCTTTAGAGTTTGACAATGGTCAACTTTCTTTTGAAAAAATCCAAGTACTTTCTTTTTTTGAAGCCACACTATGTTTTGCAGCATGCTTGAACTGAGTGAAGTTCTCACAAGGTGAACCATTTCTTCCGGACAATCACTCTCTTTGCTGCTCAAACCATCTTGTTCCTTCCTGAGCCAGACCTGAATATGGTTTTCCACACTGGTCTTTATCAAATGTATATCCTGAGTCCAAATTCTGTCCTGAAATGCTTGGTCTGATATAAGTTGAAGGGTAAACTCCCCAAGCATTGCTTTCCATTTCCCGTCAGTGTGGTGTGGAGACACAGTGAAGTTCAGCTTGACAGAGCTACTGGGGATGTCTTGTAAAGAGTCCTCTCCATCTTCAACCTCTGGAAGAATTGAGATGTTCACTGATTCATTCAGTTTCAGATTACCATCTTCCTGTCTGTTCCCCAAGAAGCTTGGACCTGCAATTAAGCCACAATCACTGTTGTCCAGTACGTTATCCTTTTCTTTCAGGTCATCATGCATGTTCCAACATAGCTTTTTCTTCTTATCCTCACCTACCCGCAATGGGGTGGCACGTTTTCTTCTACAACTCATTGTATTTCTATTTGTGTCTGCAACGGAGAACAACACTTATATTTATCAGTACAGTGCATATCATTCTTGATGCTGTTTCCATGTTTTGCTTACTTTTATGCCAGTACACCCTGACCTTACCCTGTATGCCCCACCTCTACCCCCATGACCTTACACCTCTTGCCCTGACCACACACCCCCATGCCCTGATCATACCCCCCCCCCCCCAAGCCCTGATCATACCCCCCCCCCATGCCCTGATCATACACCCCCCCATGCCCTGATCATACACCCCCCCCATGCCCTGACCACACACACCCCATGCCCTAATCATACACCCCCCATGCCCTGACCATACCCCCCTCCCCCAATGCCCTGATCATAGCCCCCCCTTCCCCCATGCCCTGATCATACCCCCCTCCCCGCATGCCCTGACCATACCCCCCCCATGCCCTGATCATACCCCCTCCCCCATGCCCTGACCATACCCCCCCCCCATGCCCTGACCATACCCCCCCCCATGCCCTGACCATACCCCCCTCCCTGCATGCCCTGACCATACCCTCCCCCCATGCCCTGACCATACCCCCTCCCCCCATGCCTTGACCATACCCCTCCCCCCATGCCCTGACCATACCCCCCTCCCCCCATGCCCTGACCATACCCCCCCTCCCCCCATGCCCTGACCACACATACCCCAAACTCTGCCATTACCGGGTTTCCAGCCTCTTTGTTGTTGTTTCTTCCTCCCCAGCACCAGACAGGTAGTGACGTTCAGGCTCAGGCGCGCAGCGCGCAGGCGCGGGGGTGGGGAATGGTTGGCAGAGTTGCGTAGTGCGCAGGCGCGGGGGTGGGGATGGTGGCAGGGTTGTATAGTGCGCAGGCGCGGGGGTGAGGATGGTTGGCAGGGTTGCGTAGCGCGCAGGCGCGGGGGTGGGGGGGGGGTGGTTGGCAGGGTTGTATAGCGCGCAGGCGCGGGGGTGGGGATGGTGGCAGGGTTGCGCAGCGCGCAGGCGCGGCGGTGGCAGGGTTGCGCAGCGCGCAGGCGCGGGGGTGGGTGGGGGGGGTGGTTGGCAGGGTTGCGCAGCGCGCAGGCGCGGGGGTGGCAGCGGCAGTGTCGCGCAGTGCGCAGGCGCGAAGCATGGAGGATATTTGCGCGAAGTTCGTGTCTCAGAAGATCAGCCGTTGCCGCTGGAGGCCCGTGTCCGCCCAGGCCCTGCAGCAGCCGGAGCTCTTCGCCACCGGCTCCTGGGACAACGAGGTGAGGCCTCGCCCGAAAATCACCCCCCCCCCCCACACACACACACACACACACTCGGGGCTGGCGGTGGCTCGGCCTCCGGAGCCGGCGGGGGCTGCTCTGGCCCTCTCCCTCCCTCTCTCCCTCCCTCCCTCCCCGCCCGACCCGAGGCTCGGGGCGGCCCAGCACCAGCAGCAGCAGCAGAGCAGCACCTGGCCCTGAAGCTCGGCTGACTCCCAGCGTCAGAGCCGTGAGCTGCCCCACCACACGCGGCGATTAAAAAAATAAATAATAATAATCACAATCATACCGAGGCAAGAGATGCCTCGGAGGGGAGTGTTGGATCCCACACCGGGACTGGGAAAATAAACCGCAACCACACTTGTTCGTGTTCTGGCGGAGGGGTCGCGGACCCGGAACGTTGACTCGGTTTCCTTTCTCCGTGGAACCCGCCCTGACCTGACCCGCCCTGACCTGACCCGACCCAACCTGACCCGCCCTGCCCTGCCCCGCCCTGACCTGACCCGACCCAACCTGACCCGCCCTGCCCCGGCCCGCCCCAACCTGCTCCGCCCTGACCCACCCTGACCCGCCCCAACCTGCTCCGCCCTGACCCGCCCTGCCCTGACCCAACCTGACCCGCCCCGACCCGCTGAGTGTTCCCACCGACTTCTGGTTCTCTTTCGGATTTCCAGCGTCTGCAGTACTTTGCGTTTTTGTTTCCAGGACAATACTCTCAGATCAACCGAAGCAGCAACTCGGAGCTCAGGGTTGTCAGTGGCAAGTTCAGGAAAGGCTCCAGTTTTCATGTTGATCACAGAGGATGATTTAACAACTGGAACTGAGTTACCTGCAGAGGCGGGACAGAATACTGCACTCGTTTAAGAAACTGATTTAATGCTGGAATTGGATGGGTGTTGTTTTTTTTTCGGAAGGTTGTGATTTAAAGGGGCTCAAGGGCTTCTGTCAGCCAAACCTCTCCCGAGAAACTTCTGATTGAAGAGCTGATCTTATGTAAGAACACGATTCTAGGGATGTGCAAGTTATTTGAATGTGGACAGATTCAATGGGATTCATTGCAAACAGAAACAAGAGCATTTTGAGGGGATGGATGCCATTTACCAAAAGCCAAAAGGGAATGAAGAGAGTCGTATGTTAGATCCTGCTGTATATTAATCATGCATCATCCATTGGACATTATTTTTCCATCCTGTGTCAGGATGGGGCCATCACCTCTGAGTTACACAGTTGTGGATTTCATTCCTAAGATAGTTTGACACTCTAGTGCAGCTTTTGCTGGATTTCTGTTCCACATATTTAGTATTCTGTCCAAGATATGCATAGGATTCTTATTGTCTCGTATTTTGCTTGAGGCTTTTTAATTTTGTTCTTGTATCTACTAGTTTTACAGTTGAAGGCAAAATTAAACAGATTGCACATAGAACATTTTTGAAGACTGAAATTAGCTTTTTTATGTGTTTTGCCCCCTCTGACTAAAGCCTCAGTTATAAACCATCTTCTATTGATTTGTGTTTTGTGCAGGAAAACAAAGTATGTCTCTGGGCGATACAGGACACTGGAAGCTCTGGAATGGATGAACAATATGAGGGAGATCCTCAGTTACTTTGTGAAATAAAACATGATGGCGATGTCATGGACTTACAGGTGCGGTATAGAATATTTTCATTAAAAGTTTCTGTAGCGTGCACATTAAGTTACATCCCTTACACCACAATGTGAATTTCAGTCAGATTTTCAAAGCCTCACAATCTAAATTATCAGCTATGAGTATACAGTATAAGATTTAAACATTTACAATGTGGAAAGTCTGCATGGACAACAGTTAAATCAGTTATCTTAACAGCATTTTACTGCAAATGTGGAACGTGATTCAACTGAGAGATGTTTTGTTTTTATTGTGGAAGAGTACTGTATTTTACATTTTTCTTAATTTTATTAATTTGTAGGTCATGATTTTCTCCTTGTGTGTATTTTAAATATGCATTGTGTAAATGACCACCATGGTTTTTGTATTGTAGTTTCTCGATCAGGAGAGGATTGTCACAGCTTCATCAACAGGAAGTGTCAATATATTCCGTCATCACCAAAACAGCCAGGTAACAATAAAGTTGAAACATTTTCCAAGGACATCTCAAGCTATGTGGAAACATTTTGTAATCCTCCTATATAGTGTCTTGCCCATAAAATACAGTCAATCCACTTTACAGTATATCCTATGGATTGGAATCCCAAATAGAATAGCAGTATTAACCTGAGGACTGAATGGTGAATGTGTGAGCAGAGGGGTGGGGTTGGAAGGAAGTGGGGTGAGCGGTGGGGGGCACCGACCCCCATATATATATATTTATATTATGTGAGTGAGAGACTGGAACCCTGGCTGGTTTTGCTCTCTGTAACCCTGCAAAGGCTGGAGGCAATTTAGCCTCCCATGCAATCCCAGTTGAGACCAGCAAACTCAGCATGGACCAGGATTCGAACCGGCAAACTCCCAGTCCACAAACTGTAGTTGGAGCACTACAATGGTTTTTCCACTGTGTACATTTTTTTAAAAGAAAAATCTGTTTACAGCAATAATAATCTGCATTTATAAAGCATCCCTCACATAGGATTGTAGGTTAAATATGTGACTAAATGTTGATTGTGTTTCCCTGTAGACTCTATCTGTTCATCATCACTGGGACCGTGCTCACTATAATTCCTGCGATAATGCTCCCTGTACGGGCCTAGTCTGCAATGGTTCTGAAATCATCACTGTTGGAGAGGATGGCCGGATCAACCACTTTAGAGCTGACCAAAAGGATCCAGTGCGAACCATAGGTATATCAAGTTTTAAAATGTGAAGAAATGAGGCACGGTTCCAGAAGATGTGTACTTGGTGTCTGAAAGCTTGGGCACCAATGGTAGGATGAAGGGAGTGAATACTGAGCCCTAGACCAGAATTAGAGAAACAAAGTGTCAAATACCTATTCAAATCATGATTTGATTCACTGTAGGTTAGTCTCTGACAAGGTTAAACATTATGGTAGAGAAAGTGATATCTACTGCAGGCTCTGTTGTTACCTTACATTGATCAAATAGAGATGTATACTCCGTCTTAAATGTTGCTGAGTGTTGGCAAGTTTAATTCTCAATCAAGTGATGCACGTCAAGCAGATCCCCTTGTCTTGCTTCTTTACCCCTTGTTCTTGTTACCCAGTGCATTTACTGCCTGTTTAACCTCCATGGAAATTATTATTTTAAAATGTAATTAGGAAAACAATTACCTTAATTTCAGAGCAATTTAAATTCTACAACAACAATTTGAATTTTATACAGCACCTTTTACACTTGGTGATCGACTCAAAGTGCTTCTCAAAGAAAGTAAAATTGTAGGAATTTTCTCTTTAATGGCATTGTGTGAAAGTGATCCTCTGAAAGCTGTCGAGTTTGTAAAGCGGATGACCTCTCTACTTTTATAACGTTGTACTCTTGTAGAAGTGACAACAAGATAAAATAAATAAATGCAAGTTGTTATATATAACTACGACAAGCTGTTTTATCTTGTACTGAACGGTAGGACCAGAGGACACGGCCTGTGGTTGAAGTGGGTAAATTCAGGAACAAATCTGCGGAAACAGTACATCAGTGAGCAAGTAGTAAACGTATCAAACAGGCTCCCTAGGAAAACGGTGGAAGAAGAAAATGTTGCTTGGTTCAAGAACAAATTAGACAGATTTCTGCTAGAAAATAATATCTTGGGATACAATATATAATTTGGGACACAACATGTCAAGGGACTGTCAGAATGGTGGAAGGTGAACTAGATGGACCTTGGTCTTCTTTTACATAGCAATTTCTTATGTTCTTATACTCCTTCCCTTTTAATTACAGGTAATGTAGTTGCATAGTACTTCATTTGGACTGTTGCATAGAGGGCGATATATAAGTGCAAATTATTGTTGAATCATACCATGTTCTGATTTCTTCCTCTGCCTCAATAATAGAGACATAGACCATACCTACAGAGCTGTGTTCCTTTAATGAGACCACAGCTATAACCCTTCCCTGTCAATTCTTGAAATTAATTTTACGGTGACCAGATAACTATTTGAATAGGAAAAATATTAGGGCTGAGAGTACATAACTTGTTTTTTTAAAGTAAATTTAACTGAAAAGATTTTTCTTTTCTATCTCCAGATAATGCAGACAGTAGTACTCTTCATGCAGTGACTTTCCTACGAATAAATGAGATTTTGACAGTAAATTCCATCGGACAGTTGAAAATCTGGGACTTTCGACAACCAGGAAATGAAGCTTCTCGCATATTTTCTTTGTATGTTCATAAATGCTCTTCATTTCCATTGACTTCAATCGTGCCTTTGGTCACCTTCCTCCCCCCCAGCTCGGTCCCGGGATCCGTTACTGTAAAGCGCTCTGAGACGCCGTCCAGCATGGAGGGCACTATATAAATCCAAGTTGTTGTTTACAAATTGAGGGGGAGGGACATGATAACAGCTTGGGCAAATGTTACTTTCAGTTTTTCTTCCTCCATTGTAATGCTCTGATCAAGTGGAGCCATGTGATTAATTACAGATATGACAATAATCCTAACATTTAATATTGCGCATTTGTGTCGGGAGGTCTTCTCAAAGCCCTACACAAGATATACTGTAAAGTGCAAATGATGTATATTTTGTAGGCAGACAATCTCATGTTTTTGCACCTTTATCTAGTATGTTGGAAAATTAATACTGTTTCAGTTGCATTTTTTTAAAAAAGTAATCTTGGTTCGTCGTTTCCAAACATGCCTCTGCTTTGCAATAAAAGCGCTCTGAGACCCGGTCCCATGTGAAGGCGCTATATAAATGCAAGTTGTTGTTCGCTAATGCCAAATTTTGGTGTATGATCCTTACTATCTAGGACGGGGGATAGAGTGCCTCTGCACTGTGTGGACAGACATCCCAACCAGCAGCACATAGTGGCTACAGGTGGCCAGGATGGTATGCTGTGTATCTGGGATGTCAGACAAGGAAACATGCCTGTCTCTTTGCTGGAGGCTCATTTCACTGAAAGTAAGTTTCTACTTATGCGACTGGAATGGTTAGATATTGTTGTCTTCTCTCCCTCATGATGGAGCAGCTAAGTTGACTGATTGGCAGGATTTGGAGGAGCAGACCAGAAAGTGGAGACTGGAATTCTTATTCTGCTCTCGATAACCCTTTAAGCCCTGAAGCCCCAACTGTGGGGTGGGGGGTGGCTAGCTGGACAATGAGCAGAAAGTGTTCTGTACCACAATGAATGCACCTCTTGTAACCGCTAGCCTGCTAAAAAAAAAAGCACCTGCTTATCCAGTAGAAATCTGCAGTCTTAAATCTTAAAAAGTGCTGCCAAAGGTGTAGCACAAAGCCATATAGACGAGAAGGTTGAAGGCTTGACTCCTGGTTTGCTTGTAGTCATAGAATATTGTGGCACCGAATCTAGCAATTCAGCTCATCAAGTCTGTCTGCACGGGTAATTTTCTCCACATGAGCCACCTAATCTAATCTGCCCTCCTACTTGCTCCACTGACTTTTTAATATATTTGATCCTTCAAGCATCTAGCAAATTCCCTATTTAAGGAATGTATTGACTCTGTTTTAACTGCAGTTGGTGCTAAATTTCACATTCCAAACACTGTCAATGTAAATAATTATTTCCTTACCTACCCTTTAATTACTTTTGCGATCATCTTAAATGTGTGCTCTTGTTATTGACTCACGGGCCATTGGAATGATCTATTACTACTTATCAAATCTTAACTCTTTATAATTTTGAAGATTTAAATTGGATCACCTGGTAGGTAGACTTCTGAGCTCAAGTGGGCACAAAGCCCTATAAATGACTAGTACTTGAGAGCTAAAGGGAAAAATCAGGCAAGGTACCCTCTGCTGATCAATATACAGTGACCCCTGGTGGCAACTTTGGAGTGAATGTTGAGTAATAATAGCAAAAGAATCGATTGTAATACCCCTCAAAATCATACACTATTATAAATTCTCCAAAACTCTGCTTAGGTTCATGCTTGTAGAATATCATTTGGGGGAGATACTGGAGCATTACCAGCGCTCTTAGAACTGTAACTCAACAGGAGAGGAGGAGTAAGAAAGAATAGCAAAATAAAAACTTCCTTTAGTGTGGTCTTTCAGATTCTTTGAACTTTCCTCAAAATAAAAACTATCCTGAATTATTACTTGGATTTCAAATTAATTATTTTAGATTTATAAATGTCAACAGATTCCTCTCTCCTCCCCCCCACCCCACCCAGTTTACATTGTTATGTCATTCAATGTGAGAAAATCCACATTGAAGAATGCAATACTTTTTACACACATTGTCAGAATTAATGCTCAGGTTTAAAAATGAATTAGATAAAAGTTTTTAAACAAAAACTGAAGTTTTCAATTTGTCATGTTCTTTCTAACAGTGTGGGAAGTTCATTTTCATCCCTCTAACCCGGACCACCTGTTCAGCTGCTCTGAAGATGGATCAGTTTGGCACTGGAACGCATCAGCTACAACTACTGAAATACCTTCTTTCCTACACCCAGGTACGAACATACAAATTTACTACAATAAAAAATGGCTATTTCTTTTGTAGCATCATTGAATGCCCATTGCATTAGATTTGAGCATTAAATCAATACTGTGTTGAGGTCTACATAGCTCTACAGCAAACAGCTAAGGAGTTAGAGATTTTGTTTGCTCCAGGATTCAAATACAGAATTGTTAAATCATCCAAATCCCAAGAAGGCGTATTTACAATATTAAATACTTATAGATCATCAATTTTTATTGACAGTGACTACTTGAACCACATTTGGTAATTGTAATGTATTGAAGGTTGCATTGAAGGCTGCTTGTTATCCTGAAAATTCCATATTTTGGTTTCTTTAGTAACGGAAATGCTTTGTTAAAATTTTAAATATTGTTGCACAATGTTATTTATTTGGAAGACTTTTTTTCTTGTATCCTGAAGGTGGAAGAAACACGAGCCTCATGTCACGTGGTACTGCTGTCCACACCAACCTTAACCAATCGCTCACAAGTACGTGGCTAACGAATGATCCGACAAAAGCACGACTGGAAATTAATAGCCTACTTCCAGATCAGACAATGTCTGTCAATAGCTTAGATGTTCTTGGGCAGTACTTAATTTGTGGAACGGATGGAGAGGCTGTCTATGTTACCACTCATTTACCAGTGTGAGGAGGTAAAACCCAGAGTACTGCTAGATAAGTTAAAATGTAAACAACTGTAAATGTACCATTTGTTAAAACCAAAAAAATGCCATATATTTGAGTGTTTACAGTGCACCACTGATGCCAAGGATTATTGTGCAACTTTTTTTAAAAAATAAATGAACTTTAACAAAAGAACATTAGTTTGTGCATGATATTTCGAACACACAGAACTGCAGGATCAACAACAACTTGCATTGATATGAAGCCTTTAACATAAGAGAAATGTCTCAAATGGTTTTCCCATTGGCACTATTCGAAAAAGAGAAGGAAGTTTCTCTCTCCCAGTGTCCTGGCCAACAATCCCCCCAAGTGAAATCGGTCATCACTCCCATGCCTGTTCGTGGGACATTGTGTGCAAACCGGTTGCTGCACTTCGCCAACAAAATACAGTCAGTCGGAGGCACAGTGCATCCTGTGAAGGGTGTCGAGACGGCTTCCATGACTTGATAAACTGGTACATCAAATGCAGGGATCGTTACCATTATAATTTAAAACCCGCCCAATTGGGCGTGAGCCCGCCCAAGGCTGGAGTCAGGGGGGCGGGCAGTCAGATCTCGCGAGAAGTTGGGGGAGGGGGGGAGTCAGATCTCGCGAGAGGTTGGCGGTTGATGGGTGGGGGGGGAGTCAAATCTCGCGAGAGGTTGGCGGTTGGCGGGGGGGAGTCAGATCTCGCGAGAGGTTGGCGGTTGATGGGTGGAGTCAGATCTCGCGAGAGGTTGGCGGTTGATGGGTGGGGGAGGAGTCAGATCTCGCGAGATGAGTGCCCCCCCCCCTCCCCCCCAGGCTGGTGTGTGTCTCGGAAGCGGCGGCCATCGCACTGCATGGGACTGAGGTGCTGAAGTGGCGGGCGGGCGGCCTGGCGGGCGGGCGGGCACGGGGAGCGGTTGGTTGTTGTTGGTACGTTTAACGGGAGGCGTCGTGGACACGGGGCTACGGCCTGCGGGAGGGGGGGAAGGAGACGCCGGCCGAGAGGGGGGGAGGGAGGGCCGGGCGCTGTGGAGTGAGGGTAAAATGGCCGCGGTGAGAGGGCGGCTCTGGGCCCGGGAGCTGCTCCACATCCCGCACGGTGGGGAGGCGAGGCGGGTGAAGGGCGAGGCCGCTCGGCGGCACTCTGCGCCGGAACATTGCGCGGGTTGGGGGGGGGTGAGGTGAATGGGGGGAGGTGTGGTGGGGGGGAGTGGGGGGGAGGTGGGTGGGGGGGGGGAGTGGGGGGGAGGTGGGTGGGGTGGGGAGGGTGAGTGGGGGTGAGGTGGGTGGGGGAGTGGGGGTGAGGTGGGTGGGGGAGTGGGGGTGAGGTGGGTGGGGGGGAGAGTGTGGGGGTGAGGTGAGTGGGAGAGTGGGGTGAGGTGAGTGGGGGGGGGTTGAGGTGGGGGGGCGGTGGTGAGTGGAGTGGCTTGAGGTGGGGGGGGGGGACATTCACAGACTTCACAGTCGTTTAAAAACACCTGAATTAGTCACCGCCTTCTTGTTGTTACCAGGCACTGTGTGCGGTTACAGGGTCACTTCGCTCAACAGCAGAATCCTTCTTATTCTCCTCCTCCTCGTCATCATAATAATAATAATAATCTTTGCCTTTGTTTCACATCGAGAGGACATTTGGGTTCTACAGTTAAGTGCAGTGACTGTTTTTTTTGCCAGGGGGAAGGTGAGTGGATTATTGTGTGGATCTGTCACTGGTCTTTTGTCAATACACATCTCTTGGAACAATAACAGTCGCTATACTTGACAGTGGGTACAATAAGGCCCCGAGAATTTCAGTCTCAATAACACATTTATAATGATGCTCGATCTTTCGTCGACTGTATCAGCAGGCAACGCTCTCTATTCTTTTTATTTCTTCTGTTGGTTAGCGAAAATTTTCATTTTTTTTGCTCCACGAATTGTGCTATCGGTCAGGCTTTTTGGATATTTTTTTTGGGGGGGGGGGGGTTCAGTCGGGTGTCTCGACGCGTACGGAAACCCATCACCACGCTTAAGGGTATTCGAAACAAAGTGAGTTGCACATAGTGCCAACCACAAATGGAAATGTCTGGAATGGAATGCGCATTCTCTCCCCGGAGGAATGCACCCACTTATCTAATTCCGGAAAGTATTAGATGCAGATTGGCGAAAGCCAAGGCTTGGAGACCCCGGAGTGTGTGTTGTAGTACTGCTGTTTAATCAGCTAAAACCACTAGCTTGCCAATGAGTGTGCTTTAGAAACTGGGAAGGCACAAAGTTTGATTCCTCAGTCTGCTGAGTTAGTTGATGTAAGCAGGGATGGTACTGGAAGTTACAATTAACCTCAACATTCAGGGTTAAGTGGGATGGAAAACAAGCTTTGCATTCCAGTGCTTATTATTGACTCGAGCAGAAAACAGGTAATTGTACTAATTGTGGTCAAGTAGGCTATGAATGGCTCACACTTAGATAAAGTCCTACCCATTTATCTTGAACTTGTTTGTGTCAACATCTCACTTACATTGACAAAAACGTGAAGTCCTGGGCCCTTCTCTGCACCTTAATACTAAATACTTGACATGAAAGCCAGCACACAAATTGGTGACAAATTGTTTAGGTCCCTAACATTGTTTTGTAAGGCACCACTTATGTTGACAGTGGAATCTTAAATTACTATGTTTTACTTTAATTTTTATTCTAAGTTAATTAAATGTTTGTAAATAAGGATGAAATTGTTGAAAATATTGCAGTAAATTGCTTCAGTAAGGGGCTTATTTTCGAAGTTCGGGTGCTTTTTAGGTTCATAGTAATTGGTCATAGTAAGGAGGTTTGTACTGATTTGTCAAGTTATTAATCTGCATTAATAAGTACAAACTCACATAAGTTGTGAATATAACATTTAATATGACTTATGTGAAATCTGAGTTACAGGCAAAATGTATAGTCGTATAAAATCCAATTGACTATTGGATACACTGTTTATGCGCAATTCAATGCAGCCAGTTAGTGCACATGCGATACTTTACCACTGCAGCTGGTAAGTGAGAATGTGATGACGATTCAATGCATTTTGACCAGTTGCCACTGGCGCACTTACCAGCAAGCATTAGAATCACAGAAAAATAAGTTCTGTGCCTGTAGCGAAGGGTCAAGGCTACGTTTCCAATGATTCAATTCATCCGGCTAATAAATGAGCATGTGGTGACAGGTCAGAACATCATTTCCCGCGATCCAATACAGCTATCAAGTGAGGGAGTAATGGAAGATAGGGAGCAGAGTTACAAGTTAGGAGATAATTTATAAAATCCGACTAGTGCACTGAATGGGACTCAGCTGCATGTATGACTTACACAGTTATACGATTTATAAAGAAGACTTGTGTAAGTTTTATTGTACATGGAACCCACATGCCGATCAAAGGCTGAGTTACAGATGGGTTATTATTAATGTCCTGTGAAATTTCATTGACATTTATTGCCTTCAGGCGAGGGGACAAATGTGTGAATGAGAAGGAAAATGGTAATGTTTGATTACAAAAGTGCTCTTGAACTGACTTTAACATTTTGAGCTTCATCTTTAACTTGTACTCATGTACTGCAAAATCCTATTAATTTCAGTAAATGTTGATGTGATAATTTTATTTCAGGGAGTAATTTGCAACATTCAATGCAAGTGTTTGTCTTTGCAGGTTACCAGATCTTGTGGTTATGCAGACAATAGATGTGCAAAACAACAACATTATAACTGATCAACAATATTTTTGGATGTCATACACCAGGCGTTAGTTGGTTGAAGTTGGAATTTTGTCTGAATGAATTTTGAGTAAAGTTGATTTTGACTGACATTTTCATGAAGAGAGGGGAGAAACCTGAGCGACATAGACAAATGAGGCCTAAAACATTCCCTGCCAGCAACTTCTCTGGTAGCAGCCGGCATATGTTGCAGGAAATTCGTGAGAGTCTCAGACACTTGCCCAAACCATCAGGAGAGGCTGGAAACACGGACCAAAATGTACTAAAAACAGCAGCAGAAGACTCCAGGCAACAAGGACGGAATGCTACCAAATTTGCAACTCACCAAAAAGCGCTTCAGGAGATCCGGAATTCCTTATTACCGTTTGCAAATGAATATAGTTCGTCAGCTCGAGGAGCAGCAGATGTAAACAAGCAGATGCTGCAGGACTTAACTGCTGCAGGATTTGATGAGGTGAGATTTTTCAAATGGTTTAAATGAAAGCTGGATCTGAAAAGAAGAAATTTGCAATTAAATAGGAATAATGATAATAATAGTAAATACAATTTCTTTTTTAAAGTTTCATTCTCAATATATACTGTATGTGTATATGAACTGGCAATCGGTTGAACTGGCAATTGTTCCAATTAATTCACTCAGGACTGCACTGATTGATTTCACTCAGACTGTCCATTTGTTAGCATCGTACTATACAAGATTTGGTCTTGTCGCTCAGGTTTATTTGGATGTGAACTGTTAAAACACAAGTGGTGAAAGGTGGTTTTCTGTTAGTTTCATTTTGAACTTGTGCCACTTTGTCTTCCAAATGAGCTCTGCTGTTTTCAGTTCTAACATTTCATTGATATTGCAGAAGACCATTAAATTGAAAATGAGATTGATTTTTGTTGGATACCAGATTCATACATGAAATAATTAAGACGGTTCCCAAGGAACAGAAATACCCTCTCCATGAAAATTCTTAGGTTTAATTCACATTTATTCTTTCATCCACCCCCTTGTTACATTAAAACATTCCTCCTTTAGGTTTCTTCTTCCTAACATACTCCAGTTCCTGGTTAGGAGTAGAGGCAACATGATCCTAGATCTCTACTATTTCTCTTATTTACTGGATAATAGGATACTTGAGCCTTCTCCTCCAATTTCCACTTGCATTTGGGAATGTGTCTGTTCTTAATGGAGGGGTGAAATCTGAAACTTGGTAATTGGAAAATCATGGGTGTGAACCAACTTCCTATCTCTTCCTGCCAACTCTTTCCAGTATCCTTTGTTACCATTTCAATACCAGCTTTTGTATAAATGGTTTATATTTGAAATCTTGCAGCTTGACTTTTAGAAATAGTTCCCTCTATTATGAATTTTGACGTTGGGAAAATATTTCTCTTTGCTAGCTTCAAATACTGTCGGGGTCTCAGTAGTTTAGTTCCTGAGCCAGGAAGTCCGCATCATTTCAGTGCAGTATTTTGTACTGAATTCTGTTTCTAGCCACTCACCAGTTCTGGCCAGGCTCCACTGGCTCCCCATCACCGAACGGATCAACTTCAAGATCCTTACACTCGTTTTCAAATTTGTTCACTCCCTGGCACCTCCCTATCTCTCCGACCTCCTCACTCCCGACTCCACCACCAGGAGTCTCCGCTCGACTGGGACCCGTCTCTTGTCTGTTCCTCTCACCCTCCACCCCACCATCGGAGGTCGCACTTTCAGCCACTACGCCCCAAAACTCTGGAACACTCCCTCAATCCCTCTGCCTTGCCCTCTCTCTCCCCTCTTTCAAGTCCCGCCTGAAAACCTTCCTCTTTGACTGTGCTTACAAAATACTATACAGTACTTTAAAATGTCTGGAAAAATACTGTAAGTTCTTCATTTGAATTAGTCCCTTGAGATTTTCGACAAGTATTTAAAACTACCCAAAGTTAATTCCAGGTTGTATTGTACCACTTTGGTATTATAATATGTAACTATTTGCAGGACATGGTGGTTCGAGCCTTGAAGCAGACCAACAGTCGCAGTATAGAGGCGGCAATTGAATACATCAGTAAGATGAGCTATCAGGATCCACGACGGGAGCAGATGGTTGCTGCAGCAGCAAGACCAGTAAATGCAGGCATGAAATCTCTGGGTAAATACAGACCTTCTGCTAGCTAAAGCTGTTATTGATTGAGTTAAATACTGGAAACTGATATCACTGTTGCCTCTTTCTCACTCATTTACACAGAAATAGGTTTTATTTCTAGCTGTGGGATCTGTGATGGGAGGGAACGAGTGAGTATTTTAATCTTCCACTCATGAGTAGAACACAGTGTCCACTTCCTAGTAGATGCTGGACACAGCTTTAAGCTGATAATGTCATCCAAAAAGGACAGAACAATGGCTGATGTGAGAAATGGAACATTTAGATTGAAACTGTATAACGTGCTTTGCCTGAATTGAAGGGATTTAACATTGTTCAGGTAGAATAAGGAAAGTTTGTTCTGCATGTGGCTGTTCTCTACCTGACCTATGAGTGTTTAGTATTGAAAGTGAGTACTCCATTTCGTACCATTGACAGGCATGACATTAACTTAAATCAGTTTACAAAACATAAATCATTAAAGAATGTTATTGCAATACTGTTTCAAAGTTTCAAACACTTCAGGTTTCATTTAAGGATGAATATGTTGTGATCAATTAGAGAAATTCTTGTTTTGCTCGCATTACATCTTTGTTTCTTGGCACAATATTTTTTGTTTTTTTCTTCCATCTTCCTACACAGGTTCCAATAACGTTCCACAAGCAGTTAACCGCAAACCAAGCTGGAAGGGATCTAAAGAATCTCTGGTTCCGCAACGAATTGGTCCATCATTGATGGAGGGTGTGGGATATCGAGCAGATAGCCCCGTCTCCCAGCTAGAGATGGCTAGATCGAGTTCTGGAATGGCTGCATACACTCAGGTTCATCCTGGAAATGGCCAGGGGGCTTTGGGACCTGTGAACTCTCAGAGAGGAAACCTTCCTCCTCCGCTTCCAGTGAGGAGTGTAACGCCACCACCTCCTCCCCCCAGGGGCCATACCCCTCCCCCACGTGGTACGACCCCTCCCCCACCATCCTGGGAGGGGAGCCAGCAACCAAAACGCTTTTCTGGAAACATGGAGTACATGATGACGCGAATCTCTCCTGTCCCTCAAGGAACATGGCAAGATGGGTTCCCACCACCCAACCTCAATACTGCCTCCATGATGAATCCACCGCCTCAAGGTCAAAGAGGGATCAGTCCTATCCCATTGGGTAGGCAGCCTATTATCATGCAAAACACAACCAGCAGTAAATACAGCTACCCAGCAGGCCGCGTAATACATCAGAATGGCACCACACAGCCAGATGGGTCTACCCCTGCACACTTTGTGTCACACCAAAACGTTATGGGAGGTAACGCAGTCAATCGTCAGCCACCTCCCCCATACCCTCTCTCCCAGTCTAACCGGCAGAGCCCCAGTGCCTTACAAATGCAAGCTGGGGGGGCAGCTGCTTCTCCCAACTATAGCAGTAATCTCAATGGAAATATTCCGCAATCTGTGATGGTGCCAAACAGAAACAGCCAGAACATGGACCTTTATAACATTGGTGCGTCTGGCATACCAGCTTCATGGCCACAGTCCCCTCCGCCTCAGCCCCAGACATCGTCAGGTAGTGGCCCAGAGATTTCTGGTTGGCATCCTCCTCAAAATCTCAATGTACCAGTGAGGTCTAATTCCTTCAACAATCACCTTCTATCCAATCGCCAGCCTCATTCGAACTCGCAAACATCTGCCACAACAGTGACTGCTATTACCCCTGCTCCCATTCTGCAGCCAGTAAAGAGCATGCGTGTACAAAAGCCAGAACTACAGACTGCACTAGCACCAACTCACCCTCCCTGGATGCAGCAGTCCATGCAGACGAGTAATGTTCCTGAGGGTCCAACAGCAGCCAGTCCTCCTGTGACTGAAGCTCCAAGTTATCCGGCTCCACCTCCACCATACCCAAAGCATTTGCTTCAGCAGAATCAAACTGTGCCACCATATGACTCTGCGGCTACAGCCAATAAAGAGGAACAAGGAGCAAAACAGACCATGCTAGCGGTGGGTCAAAGCAAAGAGGAGTATGAAAAGGGCACCGAATTGGGTGAGCGGTCCAATGCTGTGGACAAGGAAAAGAAACAGATAACCACTTCACCTGTCCCAGTGAGGAAGAACAAGAGAGATGAGGAACGTAGAGAGTCGCGCATTCAGATCTACTCCCCACAGGCTTTTAAGTTCTTCATGGAGCAGCACGTTGAGAATGTGTTGAAATCTCATCATCAGAGAGTACATCGCAAAAAACAACTGGAGAATGAAATGTCACGGGTAAGGAATGATTTCTTTCATCTTTGTTGTATTATTGGAGGTGTCCTGCTCAGATGAGGCATTAATCCGAGGTCCAGTCTGCCTGTTCAGATAGACATTTAAGATTCCATGGCACTATTTGAAAAGTGAAGGGAGTTTCCCCCTGTATACTGGCCAACAATACCCCAGATAAAACTTGTCATTCACTTCATAGCTGCTTATGGGACATTACTGAATGTAAATTGGCTGCTGCATTCACCTATAGATATACATGGTTACTACACTTTACTATAAATCCTGTGAAACTCTTTGACACATCCTTTGGACATAAACAGGCGCTGTATCAATTATAAGGATTCTTACTGGCTATTTTATTACTTCAGAATATTAAACCTAACTTGTTGCAAACCTAGACTTCGGTTTAGACATTGCAGGAATTGTGCTAGTGTCGTGGTCCAATAAAATTTTGAAACTGGCTTGATGGGCTGAATGGCTTATTTCTGTTCCTAAGCTGCTTCATATACAGATAATAAGGGTAACTGGTGGCCAGACGAAGCCTATGAATATTTTCCTCTTGCTTCTGTTGGCTTAGACCTCTTGTGTCTACTCTGCAGTGCAGTGTGACCAATTGCTACACCTGTGTATAACCTCTACACTGTGTGTGCTGGGCATTTCTCAATTATTTTAATAGCTACAATGTTTTTATTAATTCAAATGTTTTTGTTATAATCAAACGATCACTGTTGCCTAGATTATGTGACTAGATTTCAGTAATAACAATGCTAGTTAGTAGTTAATGATGTGAATTTTTTCAGTCCAATATTGTAAAAGTAGTGAAATGTCATTATAGTATTGTGTATTTAAAATCATTATTAATAAACACTAGATATGCTGTATACCTATGTTACTCTTAACCATAGTAATTTGTTCTTTTATACTCTCTGAATTAGAACCTTTATTTTGAGGGCATAAATTTGGAAATTTAGTCTGTATTTCTTTGTTTATTCATAGGTTGGGTTGTCAAAAGATGCCCAAGATCAGATGCGCAAGATGCTATGCCAAAAAGAGTCTAATTATATTCGCCTGAAAAGGGCAAAGATGGATAAATCCATGTTTGTGAAGATCAAAACCTTGGGAATAGGTGCATTTGGGGAGGTTTGCTTAGCTCGAAAAGTAGACAGCAATGCACTGTATGCTATGAAAACATTGAGGAAGAAAGATGTTCTGCTGCGAAATCAAGTTGCTCACGTAAAAGCTGAGCGGGATATCTTGGCAGAGGCTGACAATGAGTGGGTGGTTCGACTGTATTATTCATTCCAAGACCGAGATAATCTTTACTTTGTGATGGACTACATTCCAGGAGGAGATATGATGAGCCTCTTGATCAGAATGGGCATTTTTCCAGAGCCTCTGGCACAATTCTACATTGCTGAACTGACCTGTGCAGTAGAAAGTGTTCACAAAATGGGCTTCATTCATAGGGATATCAAACCGGATAACATCCTAATTGACCGAGATGGACATATCAAACTGACGGACTTTGGGCTGTGCACTGGCTTTCGATGGACCCACGATTCTAAATATTATCAAAGTGGTAAGCAATGCCTAGTAATTTATTGTATGTTGCCATTTTATTGCAGCTAGAGAATTATTAAGAGTTGCCTTGTGCAATTGGCTGCTGAGTTTTGCCCACAAAATTCACTTTACAGTGTGTTCCATGAAGTGCTTTGAGACGTCTTGAAGACTTGATAAGGCGCTATATCAAATCCAAGTGTTGTTATAAAATGGAATATGAAAAGTCCATTTGCTGATCTTATCTCATTTCCAAAAATAGTCAATCTACTTTATCATGGACTCTACCCTGTCCTGCACAATTGAAGAAGACCAATGGCCTTCTGATACAGCGGCTTATAATACCTTTGAGACATCTCAAAGTGCTTCACAGAATATACTGTAAAGTGAATTGACTATTTTGTGGGTGAAACTTGATAGCCAATTGCGCACAGCAGTGTCCCACAAACAGTCATGGATTGAGTGACCAATTTATTTTCAATGTACTTGCCCGATTGTTACAAATGTAACCTGTTTTTTCCTCTCTAAAAAGGTGACCATCCTCGTCAGGACAGCATGGACTTCAGCAATGAATGGGGTGACCCTAAGAGCTGCAAATGTGCAGAAAGACTAAAGCCACTAGAGCGCAGGGCAGCCCGACAACATCAACGCTGCTTGGCACATTCCCTAGTAGGCACTCCGAATTACATTGCACCAGAAGTCTTGTTGCGGACAGGTAATGTGAACAGCCCATTGGCTTTGGTTTCATTTAGATTATGGAGACGCTTCTTTATGATCGTATCAGCTTCGCGTTGTAACTGGAAGTCTTGGTAATGGAGACAGAGCTGGGAGCAGTATTTTAACACCCTGCACTATATCCCTCACCAGATTTCTCAATGCTGCAGCACATAGAAGCTATTTTCTTTCCCGTCGTACAGCTTTTCTGCTCTTGCCTTATATGACAATGTCTGTTGCAACTGGAAACCAAATAATCCTAAGACAAATAATCAAACCTGTTTTTAGCAGATCAGGGATTCCAAACCCTAGCATGACTAAAGAAGAAAAACATTGAAAAGGGGAATGAAAGAAAGAAATCTGAAAGTTGGATGAAACCTTATTACTCACAGCTAGGAATGCAATCTTTATTTTCTGGTAACCTTATATAAAACTAAAGTCACCAGCTGAAGCAACCAGCTGTATTACAGGCAAAAGGGAATATTATACCTTAAGGAGTTCAGATGACATTGTTAGACCAAAAATTTGATCCGTGGCTGACCGATTCCTCACGATATTGAAGCTCCTGGAAGAAATTTCTATCACCAGACACCTTTCCTGTAATTCAGTTGTTTACAATGACAAAGCAACAACGTGTGCTTTCTAGATATGATGGAGTTAACCTTTTAAAAGTGCTTTGTGCATGTTAGTTTATGCACCTACAACAGTGGGTTGATTTATATTGAGGTCTACAAAATCCTGGATAGCTATATTATCTAAAATATATATTTTTATTCTTTGGATCCTGTAGGCTACACTCAGCTGTGCGATTGGTGGAGTGTTGGTGTAATTCTGTATGAAATGTTGGTGGGTCAGCCTCCTTTCCTGGCACAAACTCCATTGGAAACCCAGATCAAGGTAAGTCGTTAATCATGTAAATCCCAAATGTTTTTTTCTTCTGGTGCCTTTCACACCAGGAGGATGTCTGAAAGTGCTTCGCACAGCTTACTGAGATCCTGAGCTGGTGGAGAAAGTTGAGTATGTGTGTGTGGAAGTGGCTGAAAGCTCAGTTGAAAAGGTTTGTCCTTGTGTAGGTTTTGAAGGACAGGAAACAACAAATTGAATTTCTAGAGCACACTTTACACAGGTTAGCATCTCAGAGAAACTCTGGGGGAGAAAGGGAAGAGACTTAGATGACTTCCGGAGAATGTCTGAAACCTTACCCATCGATGGTGCGACCCAGGCAGGGAATGTGAAGCAGGTAGTGTTCACACAATGACCAGGAAGTTGCAGGGATAGGGTAAGGAGGCATTTCATAGTGAGGCTGAGATAAGTAAGACATAATTATTGATTTTTGTGCTTCCTATTGTCAAGAAAATCAACCAAACAAGGTAAATTTTCTATCAATTATTGAATCACTTTTACTGCCCTAAACTGGAATGTCAGTATTTGCAATTTTTATGTGAATCTCAAAATAATAAGTACTTTGAAAATCTAGTCCACTCATTTTACAGTTTGAAAAAGTTGCATTAGGGATAAAGTTCACTTGTTGTTGTTAATTAAAATGTAAAACTTTTAATCTTTCATAATGTTCAGAATGATCATCTATTTGGAAATATTGCTTTTCACTACCCCTCTCCTTTGGGCAATTTTGGACTGTAAAACTGAACCAAGATAAGTCTATCAGAACCCATTTTTACCTCTGCTTCATTTCCAAGGTCTACTTCACACTTCTCTCAAATGACATTGTTATAAGTAGGATTGTAGGTAGGGAAGGCTGTTAAAAGGGCAAGCAGGATTCTGGGGTCTATACAGAGAATCATTGAATACAAAAGTGAGGAAGAGATGATGGTTAAGCCACAGCTGGCATATTGTGTGCGGTTTCAGACATCACATTACAGAAGGAATATTGGAGCTTCCGAGGCGTTTATGAGGGTGACAGTGGAGATGAAAGGCTATAATTATGAGGAGGTTTTAGGACTCTTCCTTTGAAGCAGAGGAGGTTGAGGGATGATATTTATTGAAGATAATGAAGAGGTTTGAGAAGATGAATCTCTATTTTAGTGGCTGGTTGTGATTTTATGGACCTCAACTACTATTTTATTACAGAGCTCCACTGTACTTCGGTTGACCTTCATACTCTTTTTAATTCCACAGCCAGAAGCAGGACTGTTCAATATATGCTTCATAGTCATGTAGATAGTAATTGATTTATGCCATCTGCTGGTTGTCCTAAGCAGTGTGAACAAAATCAGAGAGCACAAGATCAGACCCAGAACGTATTAAAATGTTTGACTAAAATTGCTGGGCGGATATGGAGACGTTTCCTTCAATTATAGAAGATAGTAGAAGTTAACATTTTCTGTTTCTGAAAAATAACATGTTTGGCCTGGTTTATAATGCTTATTTCGAAAAACTGGGAGAGGTGCTTATGCCTAAAGCTTTGAATTTTCAACAGAACTATTAACTTTAACTAAAAGTAAAATCTTTATTCGTACCAGCAATTTTGATTATAACTTCAGCTGCCCGTTACTTTCATTCCTGTGGTGGGAGTGGGGGGGGATTGAGCAAGTTTATCTGTGTACTGAATACATGATTTCATGATTATAATCGAATAATAGTTCTGTAGTTTTGAGCATAGGATGATACATCACACTGTTAAAATATTCGTAACATCAGAACCTGTTTCTTTGCTTAATTCCTAGTTGCAATACAATTGACATTAGCTATGTTTTGGATTGTAATATTTTAAATACATATCAAGATTGGTTGTTATAGCACCAGTGATAAAAGTATAGAAGCAATCTGAAGTGCGGAATGTCGGATTTGTGATTTATATCGCTAATGTTTCTTTTATAGGTCATAAACTGGCAAGCAACTCTTCACATCCCACCACCAGCGAAGCTTAGTCCAGAGGCCTCTGATCTTATCATTAAGCTCTGTCGCGGTCCAGACGATCGGCTTGGAAAAAATGGCACAGAAGAAATAAAAGCCCATCCGTTTTTCAGATTGATTGATTTTTCTAGTGACATACGCCATCAACCAGCTCCATACATTCCTAAAATTACGCATCCAACGGATACATCTAATTTTGATCCTGTGGATCCAGACAAGTTATGGAGTGACGACACTGATGGAGAAAGCATCGGTGACACTCTCAATGGCTGGTACCAGAACGGGAAACACCCAGAACATGCATTCTACGAATTCACATTCCGGAGATTTTTTGATGACAATGGCTACCCTTACAGCTATCCAAAGCCATTGCAGTACGACTATCCCAACCCAGAAGGTTCAGAGCATCAAATGCAAGATAGGGATGAAAATGTTGCAGCAAGTAAAGAAAGCCAAAATCGAGAGCTGGTGTATGTATGAAGGGAGCGTTCATTCTAACAGAAAACCCTTGCTGATGATAATTCGCAGGGACGTGTTTTTAGTTTTACCAGAAACTTTCATGTTTGTTTTCAAAAACTTACAGAAAAATATATTTTGTGAGTATTAATTTATTTGAATGTTTTGATTGAACATTTCCAGCAATTGGATACAGTGCTGGATTGAGTGTGCCTAAACACGACACTAGATTTGAAATAACGTGGACCATTTGATAAATACTATTTGATAAATAGCCTATCAGCAAAACTATCTTTATAAATTTCATCACATTTACTAAGGTCTTAAACATTATTCTGAGCACTCTCAGCTGTTCTTGGAGTTTTGTGTAGGTGAAATACACAATAGATTGTGTTTTTAAAAAAAATTACACTACATGTCTGAATCTTGGACAGTGGCCTTTTAATGCAGTGCCTTTAAATAAATCTGCTTTGCTTTGACCAAATATGAAGAAAAATCAGTTTGGCACAATTTACAAGAAAATAATTTCCTATTAGAAGTAGTTTAGAACACTAGATATTTTTCTAATTTATGCTTCAAATTTATTTATAAATTATATGTTGTATAAACATTTAATTTTACTGTAAATACAGTAACTTCAATCTTCTCACTTTATTTTCCAATGATATAGTAAACCTAAGATCATTTTGGGTGTAAATGTTTTGGCAATCTACTGTTAACATTTTAGACACAAGTATGTTTACATTAACTAACATTGTCATCACTAAATCTTGCCCTGTTCAAGATTTGAAATTCATTTAATTATGAATATGTGAGTTGGGGGTGGGATTGTAACGTAGATCATTGAATATTTACGTGTGAAATATTTTAGGTTTACAGTAAACTATTTTTGGGCTGGCCTACTAAGCTGTTTCCAGTACTCTTAAGCCTATATGAGAAGTGCTTTAGTATGTATGGCTAGTTCAGCAGTATTGCAGGATAGTAGAAAGTAAACGGGTTTACACACTGAGGTATGACATGGCATTTTGTTGTAGATTCGTTTCCCCTCATGTTTGTATTGGTTCATCTCTGGCTCTGACATTCATAACTGTTAAATTGTACCTTTGCTGAAGGACTGATATTGTACAAAGTACTATCATTTGTGCCTTGTATGCTCAGCATTCGGCAAACCTTGTCTGATTTTTATCATCCTGTACCTATCCGGCAAGTGGATCATTTGAGCTTCAAAAATGATACCACGTAGGAAAACTTGGATCTGTTTTACAAACACATTGGTTTGTATTTTCTGTGGAATGATCAGTAGTTTTCCTGCTGTGTTTTCTGTCTTCAGTGATTGTCACCATGCTCTCCGATCAACTAGTGTAAACGTCTCTGGGATGGGCATAAAATCTGAAATGTGATCAGTGGTGTAAAATTATATTAAAAATATTGTTTGAAAAATTGTGTCTTTTTGAATTTTCCGATTGTCTCTTTAACCTTTGTGGAGTCCTGTAGCTCAGTGGTAAGAGCACTCGCTTTGCAAGCGACAGACCTGGGTTCAATTCCAGGCAGAGGGCGAAACTTTGGGCAAGTTTCCTTACTCCACACAGAGCCTAATAATCCCTCCAAAACCAAAAACAATAATAAAATTGGTCATTTTCAATCTACGACTGATTGTGGGGCTCTGCGCAATTGGCTGCCGCGTTCGCCCACAAATATAGTCAATTCACTTTACAGTGTGAAGCGCTGTGAAGCGCTTTGGGACGTCCTCCCGACGTGAAAAGCGCTATAACAAATGCAAGGATTATTATTATTATTTCTATTGCTTTGCTTCTTTCACCTGCTTTCAGTTCTCGCATTGGTATTTGTGCCACCAGTAAGAAATGTCTTTACTTGTGACTCTATACTAATCATAGAACACATCCAGTTTACTTCTATAATTCATTTTTTTGTTCTCAAAGCAACCCAAATGTTTTGTGGAAAGTGTAAATAAACCAAAAGCAGTCTAATTTGTCCTAACAAATTTCTAAAACATTGAATGTGCTGAGGATCTATTTTGAATGTCTCAAAGACTAATTGTGATGTGTTTTAGGTAAATTTGAAAATTACATATTTAATCTATTAAAGCTACAAATTAAGAGACCTATACATTTAACATAATCAAGATAGGAAACATTAAAGTTGGGACTTGTTTATGGGGGGGGGGAAAACTCAAGCTGACATGTTCATTTTCGAATTCTTGTTTGTTTAAACTCATCAGGAGCAAGTATAGATAATGTTCTGATGAGTGCTGGAAGTTAACTTGGGTAAACTACAACATAGTCCAAAGTGATAGGAATTTTCACTTGTGAATCTTGCACAGTATGGTTACGGTAGTATCCAGTGTTGATGCAAAGTATGGACAGAATCATCTACATGAGCCATTTAATAAAGAAAGCCAGTAACTTCATTTGCAAATGATTTTATTAACAAAAACTTAATAAATCATGAGCATTACAATTCATAAAATGTAGTTTATCGGTATCTATCACGCTCTCTATCTTTTGATCGTTTAGGACTTTATTTCTGTCTTTTTTCCTTTCTTCATCCCTGCTTCTCGATTTCTTTTTACTTCGCTTGTGGTAGTCATCTTTGTCTTGGGATGTACTCCTGCTTCGGCTCCGATATTGGTCTCGTTTCTTTTCACTCCTCCCCTTTTCCTTGCAATATTCATCCTCATAACTGCTGCTTTTGTCAGTTGTTGCCTGTTGAGTCAAAACATAACATCTCATTCCTCTGGTCACATCTGATTATTTTGACTAGCTTGGCTTTACTTTTATTATTATTTTTACTTTTCCCTCAAATCTCCTGAAGTCAGTCAGTGAACTTGCTCTTGGGACAGGGAGAGGAGAGGATGAAGGCTGCAGTCGTGGGGCCAAAAGTGGAGGCAAATGGGTAGAACTGGGCATTATCCACATGTGTATATATATGTAAGAAATATATGTACCCTTGCCTGCAATCAATATCACCAAAGGGAAGCATGTCGATGGGAAAAAAGGAAAGGACCCAGGATGGAAGTACACCACACGACTTCAGAGTAGGAGAAGCCATTAGATGAGAGGGATACCAGTGATCAGTGCCCAATTTGTAAAGGGATAGAGGTTTACTCACATTGAAGGTTGAATGAACGAAAGACTAATTACAGTACAATTATACAACAAAAGAATAATCCTTGTATTTGGTAAGCACCTTTCATGTCAGTGGGGACATCTCAAAGGTGCTTCACAGGATATGGCGTAAAGAGTAATAACTTGCGTGAACACAGCAAGCAGGTGGTGTACAGCAATGTCTCACAGCCATGAAGTGAATGACCAATTTTATTAGGAGATTGTTGGCCAAGACACTGGAAGAAACTCCCTTTTTGAAAAGCATATGGGATGTTTAACATCCACCTGAACAGGCAGGTGGGTCCTCAGTTTAACAAAAAGGTGTATACATACGATCTTATACTACAATGTAATGCTTTTGCTGAAAATTTCTGAGAAGCAGAATGTTAATTTGTATTTGAATACACAATCATTAACCAATACCTTGCACTTTGCCTTGTGTCTGTCACTTTCTTCCTCATCTGAATATTGATGTCTTTTCTCTTTGTGGTGTTTCTTCAAGTGTCGGTGGCTTGCACCCACCTCATCCGCATCCAGCATCAGTTCATATTTTGAGCTGCATTTGCGTTAAGGGAAAAGCATTTTTAAAATGCTTCAAGCAATATGCATTTGGGTAACAATTTATAGATTATATTTGAGAATGAAGGACTATTCAGCTTCTTGGAAATATGCACTTATAAATAGTGCTCATGGTGTGAAAATCCCAACTAAAGCTGATAGTGGTTCAAGGTTAAACTTCAAATAGGCTTCACTCCCATTCAAGAGCTACGGGTTTGCGATGTTAACTTTCTCCATGTGACAATCAAGCTTACTTGGCAGCACAACCTATCAAAAAAACATTAATTTATCCCTCAAGCTTTCACCTGGATTTAATTTTTCTCCCAAAAAAATTCTCTGAAAAAAAATGAAAATCACGCAATTCAAGATCACTCCACATTCACCAATTATATTCTAATTGCTGAATGGGTTATGGTTAGTGAGGGAGACAGATTAACACTGGTTGAAACAGTCTAAGGATACTCCTGTTTTGGTTTTGCTTTATCCTTCAGAGCAACATTGGAATTTTTACCACGGTCTTTCTCATACTCCAAAAAATCATCCTTGGTGTATTTTCCACCTGCAAAGATAAGTTTTAAAAACATTCAATTATACATGAATTAAGCTACTATGTAATTTAAGTTATTCTTCTGTCCGGTTTTGGTGAACCCTCTTTAGGAAGGATGTCAGTGTGGGGGGTGTTGTCAGAAGCAATAGTGAGCCTGAGAGTATCTGGTTCTACCATTGGGTGCCAAATTAGAAATGTGTTCTATTTGCAAGCATTGATATCTCACATTTTGATGAACAATATAAAATAGCAAATTAAGAATACCCAATCCATTATATCCATTACCCATAAAATCTCTTAAATCCCTGCATGACTGATTCTCTTCAGTTGCACAGCAAGCAACCCAAATGCTATGCAAAGTACAATGAAAGAAATTTGAAGATTGCCTTGATTCTGAAACTGATATTCTATACAAATCCTTTGTGTTTACACCTGCACAGGCTGATAATTGTCCACCGAGGAGTACACAGTAGGATAGATCGGAGACAACCACCTCCCTGTTAAAGCCAGTCTTGACAAAATAATCGGACATGGCTCATTATTTAATTCATCCTCCTTCTATGGGAGGTGTCTGGGCTCTGATTGCCATCTCCTTCACTCAGAGCTTTTCAATGGCAGAGTGATATACCACATACTTTTGGTCCACCAACCTACCAATGTCATCATAAAACATTACTGGCAATTTGTGAAGAATAGAGTTATTGTTAAATTAAATCCGGATGAATACTACACATGACAATAAAATTGAAATGCCATGACCAATGTTTGTTTTTTTNAAAAAAACACTCCAATCCGACCTTTCCCTTTCCATTTAATTTTAGCTACAGATTGGCTGAAGTCCACATGTATTCTCCGGTCATCTATCAGCACATTGTCCATCTTAAAATAGGCTTTTTCACAGTCCTCATCCTGAAAGATAATAAAAATTACAATTATCTGAAGTAATTTCTGAAAGGAAAGTAACTCTATCCAGCACTGAAGGATGAATAGAACTTGGACACAAGCATTCACCTTTTTTAGAGTAATTTACAAAAGAAATATATCAAAACAAGACCAAAAAGGACTGAAAATTAAAAGTACCAAAAGCATAAAATACGTTTCTCTACTGAGACAATCTCAAAATGTTGCGATTCACATTTTCTTTATTAATCTACTAAATCGTCAATCCAGAACATGAACTCTCAAGAATCAACCCATCCCTACAGCACTGTACTCTGTTAGTTCCTACCAATAGAGCTTGGCATGGGAGTCAGTATTCTTGCTTTAAATCATATGAAACTTATTTAAAGGTTTGAAACTTATTCTAAAGTTTAAAAGATTTTAGTAAAGGCCCAGTGGCCTACACAACTCAAGCAGCACTGAAACAGTCCAAATCTCGACTGCACACAGACATATATAAAAATATGCATTTCCTATATGAGAAAATGCACCCCAGAATTTCCTGAGCATTTCTTTTGTTGTAATTCTGAGTGAAATTTTGATGGCACAGGATATTTACTAAATCTCTTTATTTTGCCCATGAAGAATTTAAATACTGACTCCAATGACTGCTTAAGAATTATGAAAGAGAAGTTAACTTTTTCAGATAATGTAAACAGTATAAACAGTAAATATTACAGTCTCTATGTTCAATATAAATACAGCACTGAAAAATTAACAATAATGTGTAACACATGCTTTGAAGTTTACTCAGAGAATGGCACATACAATGCAGTACCATATAGAATACCAAATAACTAAAGAAAAATGTAACTATACCTTTTCAAACTCAATGAAGGCATAGCAGAGAGACTCTCCAGTTTTCCCGTCTCGAATGATCTCACAGCTGCAGAATAACACACATTACTATAATTCACTTTGATATATAGGCGCTAATATTAGACAAATAACATTCACACTGGGTTCTACCTTGCGGGTTGAAATAACCATGTCCAAACACCAATGAAAAGGATAATAGAATTGAGGACACTGGTAATTCTGTATACTTGTGTTTACGTATGGTTTACACTGAGGCAATAAGTGCAGACCACAGAAAGGGGGAAATGAAAAACTCACTCAAGCTCCTCCTACCAGCTGTTCACAGACAAGCAATAGCAGAGGAGCAGTTCACCTGCTTAACCTGGTCAGAATTGATGCATAAAGACACAGAAAGGAGAGAAACAAATAACTTGCAAAATAAAACACCTATTAAGCCCAGATTTATGGATCGTTTCCATACTCTTCCTACTGTCACATTCAACTATCATTAACCATAATGGACCTGGACAGTTTATTACCATAAACACCTATTACCTCCAGATTCTTCATGAAATGCATCAATTAGTTTGAAACCATGTCAAAAAGTACCTTTTGATTGATCCAAATCTTGAAAAAATAACTTCCAAGTCTTCATCTGTGGTAACTGGATTGAGTTTACAAACAAACAGCACATTTTCAGGGGGCTTGATGTCTGCATCTGGCAAATCTCCGACCTATAACACAAGAAACTTTGTGACTCTGGCATTCACGTTTTCTTTTGCGGCCATCACCTTGGCAAAGAAATAGCTCAGATTAATCTTGTTGCATATACCCCACAGGACTCCGAGCTTATGGCCATCGTGTTATAATGGGATTGTTCTTTACAAAGAAACAACTCTCCACAATTTGTGACAACAAAGATGGTTAGTGCACAGATTAAAAATGTCTTAAAAGATCTTTTTATTCAAGTCACTGCAACTGCTTCCCTTACCATTTCCAGCAAAATGGCTCTTGTCTTTGCTTCTTTCTCTGCCAATTTTTCTTCAACTTCCTCTACAGACATTCCTTTGTTGTCATTTATTTCTTCATCAGCTCCTATTCTTCCACTCTAAACAGAATCAAAACACATTTCACATAACACATTATTGTTACTTGAATTTCTGTGTGAATTTCTATTCTTTGAATGAACATTTCCTCCATGACCATACAGATTTAGCTCTAAGGCCAAAACTGCATATTTGATTTTTCACATGGCATGAATCTTCCTTATTGCAAATATGTGCTTGAAGCAGAAAAAACAACAGTTCATATCTACATAACCTTGTCACAATCTATACAAATGTTTAACCAAATACATGAAAGGCATAGAAGCCACCAAAACACTCAGAAATTATGAGGTATAATAAAATCTTCATAGAAGTGTTTCTAATAAAAGGGAGGAGTAACAATAAGAACATAAGAAGCAGGAGGAGGCCATTCAGCCCCTCGAGCCTGCCCTGCAATTTAATAAGATAATAGCTGATCTTCTAACCTAATTCCATTTACCCGCCCTATCCCCATATCCCTTAATGCCTTTAGTAATAATATTATTATTATTATTAGTTTTTAAAAATCTATTGATCTCAGACAAACACGGTAAAACAATGTAAAATAAAATTCAAAAGTACAGTATAATTGTAATACATTGCTACAACAAAAGAAGCATGAAATAGATGTTGCACTGAATGGTTTTCTTTTATAAATCTGTACGTTTCTGCAGAAATAGAAAGAAGCCATATAGACCACAAGAATATTCTTATGCATAATGCTTGCAGGAACAGGTCTATATGACTTATGGATGAAGAACAGTTGACCTGTTATACTGCATTATATTTTAATATACTGTGAGTTCAGCTATAACACAACACAGCACATTGTGGTCAGGGACTCCCAGTATAGGGATGTGCAATAGGTTTCTCGCGCCGACCGGTCAGCTTCATGCACAGCAAGCAGGGCTTTCGGATGTCAGCAATGTCCCAAGAACTGCTAGAAATACTCTCGAGAGCAGTCGCCACTGACTAGCCTGGCTTCCGTACACCATGCAGCGGTTACATCATCAGTGACTTGATGACCCAGAACCTTTGAACACCGGCCACATTATAATTCAACCATTAGAACACTGATCTTCATTTTATGGACCCCAACCGCCAACACCAACGAAAAATTGTACTTATAAAGTACCTTTCACTTTGGGAGTACAACTCAAGGCCAGTTGAGGGTTAGCACTCAAGTTGGGGGCTGGATGCAGGAGGGGTGGCGGTAACCATAGTATTAAAATGGGTTTAACATAATGTTAACTGCATAAGTAAACTGATCACTAGGTCGCTACATTTTTTAAACTCACATCCAACTGTTCTTTGGTTGGTTCTGGTGAACGATCAGGAATTTGCAAACCTGGAGGGTCATCATATGGATCATCCAATATTACTGTGTGGGTTATCCTATTATGAAAGAAACAAAAATTATTTAATGTATGCATAAAACTACATTCAGTAACTGAATCATTAAACTTTTTTTTTAAATCTTAGCTTTGTAACAATTTTACACATGGTGGTAGAGGGAATGAGGTAGAGGGCAATGCTATAAAAGACCCACAGTTGCCCAAAACACAAGGTTAAGATTCACACTGTAACTAAGTGTGATGTATGCTCTCTTTTTGTGGTATGAAAAGGATGTACTCAATGTTATTTCCTGAAGATAGGAGGCATGAATGCTTGTGTAAAAAACCCTGCTATGTAATTATTATAATTATACAATGTTGCAAAATATTATCTTGTTTCACATCATTAACTGCTTTCCACAATTGCACAAAGGCTGAAAACTTGTCAAGATAAAGAGTATAAGCATAATTTTGTCAGAATGATAAGAAGATAATTTTCAGCAAATTGGTAAGACACATCATTTATATGTCTTATATCTCTTTCCTTTTCCCTATGCATATACTGAAGTTTCAACTGTCGTAAACAACCTCAGCTTTGGAGACTGGTTATAATAATTCCATTAGACAAGAGAACAGAAACAATTCCATGGTATTTGTCTATTTAGTGTGTTAGAGACAGAATATGCTACAAAGATCCCAAATAGGATTCAGAAACATATGGATGGAAGGCTCCAGGAATACAAATGTGGTATTTGAAAAGGATAGAGATGTGCTGACCTCGTGAGAGTGCAATTTTACTTTTAACATGAGTCGGCTATGGACTTTGGTTACCTGTAAATCTGATACAAATTTTTAAAGACACTAATGATTGAAAAATGCCAATACACAAAAACCCTGTTGTAACACCATGATCTGGGTCATCAGATCCATGTTAACCCTAAAAACAGACAGACTTCCAGGTCATTAGATCTATGTTAACAGTGAACCTGCACTCTCACGAGGCTCTTAATAACTCAGTAAGTCCCATTGGTAAAAGGACACATCATATCCTTTCTTTTTTTAAAAAAACTTCTATCGTCAGACTATTCAATACGATTTAATAGTTCACACCTAACATCTTGGTATGGGCAGCAATCCTTGTCAACGAAGACCTCATTGATTTTCATCAGAACATCCATGCCTTCAGTCACCTCACCAAACACAGTATGTGCACCATCCAGGTAATCCAGGTTTTCTCCTGCAGTCATTAAGAACTGGGGTAGAGAAAGAAGAGAAATCAACAACAATAATTTAAATTTAAATGATCCATATGATAATTTTCCAGGTTTGCAAATTCCTGATCGTTCACCACAACCAACTAAAGAACAGGTGGATTTTCACTTATAAAAAAAACTCTCAAGCTCTTCATAAACGCAGTGGACACCAAGCAGGAAAATAAGAGGTGCAAAGAGGTTAACCAAAGACAGATCAATTTAATTTAAGCAAAACAAATGGATCAAATTTCTTTCTGAAGTAAAACCTCAAATTTCAGTTACTGGCAGCAGCTCAAGAGAAAATATTTATTCATTTTTACAAGTGTGAAAACACAGAAATGGAAAATATATCTTCAGTTACACACATTGCTGCTTCCAATAATCATGATTTTTCACTGTTACTATCACCACCTCCAGCTGAGAATGCACATAGGCAACTAGAATGCATGTCCACACACATGTGTATAAAATTATGTGATATCAATCTACCTGAGATCCATGCTGATCACTCCCATTATTCACCATGGAAACAGTCCCATATTTCTTATGTTTAATTCGAGGCACCTTTTCTGCCTCAAAAAATCTGGCTTGATCTCCATACAGCTTACTGCAAGACAGTAAAGGAAAACTTATTCAAAAACGGCAAGTTTAATCTCAATTATATAAAAACATTTATACGAGTACTTGCAACATGAGTGATGCCAAGTGCAAACAACTAGACTTAAAAGCTGGTACTTTATAGAGAGCTTGATGATGTATTGATCACCTAGGACTAAAATATTAGTTCAACGTTGTACACAGGTTTAAATGTGTTTCGACCACTATGCAATTGCGCCTTGCGCCGTGGAGTCCTGTAGCTCAGTGGTTAGAGCACTTGCTTTGCAAGCGAGAGACCTGAGTTCAATTCCAGGCAGAGGGCAAAACCTTGGGCAAGTTTTCTTACTCCACACAGAGCCTATAATAATCCCTCCAAAAACCCAAAACAATAATAAATTGGTCATTTTCAATCTACAACTGTTTTGTGGGACATTGCTGTGCGCAATTGGCTGCCGCGTTCGCCCACAAATATACAGTCAATTCACTTTACAGTGTGTTCTGTGAAGCGCTTTGGGATGTCCTCCCGACGTGCAAAGCGCTATATCAAATGCAAGGATTATTATTATTATTATAGGATGCACTCCATTTCAATACAAAAGTAATTATCATAGGAAACACATATTCGATATTCCATGACATGCATAGCAAGGAGTTTCCAATACATTTGATTATAGTCTGAAAGCCTATAAACTGAAGAGATAGCAATTGATCCTCAAATCCTTTGTAGGCGAAACAAATCTGCTTTTCGTCTTAAGATAGCACACATATTTACATCTGAGTTCTGTCTGTGGAACACCAAGTCATTAAATTCATTTTATATTCCGAACATTATTCATCAGCGGAAATTTCCCTACAAGTACATAGTTACTACAGTTTATAAAAAAAACTCTGAAGCGCTTTGAAATATTTTGCTGTGATAACAAAATGCATCGAATGCATGAATTATTATTACAATAAATATGTTGTCCTCTCAAGGATCTGGGCCATCTCGGGCCACAAATAATTTACTGGCAGATAAACTTTACGCAGTACTGTACTCGTATGCCACCATCCTGATTTGCAGAAACGGCATGTTTTCAATACATTCAAGGCCTTGGAGGCCTAGGATTATTACTGTGCTAGCTGATGGCATGGTCGAAGAGGAGGGTTTTGAGGCAGGACTTGAAGGAGGCTAAGGAGGGGGCGAGGCGGAGTGATTGGGGAATGGAATTGCAGAGATTGGGGGCAGAGTGGCTGAAGGCTCTCCCGCCAATGGTGGGACGGGTGACATGGAGCAGCCCGGAGCCGGCTGAGCAGAGGGAACGGGCAGGTTGTTAGGAGGTTAGGAGGTCACAGAGATAGGGTGGGGCGAGACCACGGAGGGCTTTGTAGGTTAGGACCAGGATCTTGAACTGGATCTTCCGAAGGATAGGGAGCCAATGGAGTCGGGCAAGAATGGGGGAGATGGGGTCACGGATTTGGTGCGGGAGAGGACACGGGCTGCAAAGTTCTGGATTATCTGCAGCCTGTGGAGGGAGGAGTTGTGAAGGCCGACAAGCAGGGCGTTTGCATAGTCGAGCCTGGAGGTGATGAAGGCATGAACAAGAGTTTCAATTGGCCTGTAACTGCCCCTCATACATACATCTTTAAAAAACTATGTGCTGAAATTTATGAAACACAAGAAAGACACTGGCAATTCACAGCAGGTCCGTCAGCACTGGAAAGAGAGGAATAGCTTGAGGTTTCAATCACCTTTGACCAGGAAAAGCTATCGGTCGTGATAATAAATCCTTGCATTTTTGATATAGCGCTTTTCACGTCGGGAGGACATCCCAAAGCGCTTCACAGAACACACTGTAAAGTGAATTGACTGTATATTTGTGGGCGAACGCGGCAGCCAATTGCGCACAGCAATGTCCCACAAACAGTCGTAGATTGAAAATGACCAATTTATTATTGTTGTTGGTTTTGGAGGGATTATTATTAGGCTCTGTGTGGAGTAAGGAAACTTGCCCAAGGTTTCGCCCTCTGCCTGGAATTGAACTCAGGTCTCTCGCTTGCAAAGCGAGTGCTCTAACCACTGAGCTACAGGACTCCACTGAACAGTAACTTCTTTCAGATGCTGATCGATCTTTTGCAGATTTCTAGTTTTTCTGTTCTCATCTGGCTCGCAGCCCCAAAAAATAGAATATCAGTAGGACAAGATTTATTTTCCAGATTAAAAATATTTAATTCACCTGAGTGGATCTTGCTGGCACAAATGGCTCCATGTTTGGTGACAAAAAATCAATAAAATTGATATACCTTTGCTATAAAATACAAGTTTGTTCATAATTGAGTGGAAGGGTGGTGCGGCCTATTCACAAAGTGCTGAATCCTTTGTAAGGGATACATTGATAAACTACTCAGTTATTTGGTGTTTCTCTTCTCCCTCCGAACCTCTCCCCATAGTGGGCGGGTTATGTATATGAAGATGTTGTTGTTACTTTAATCATAAAGTGTTTATAGTGCCAGCCTCTGTACACTGAAGAAGGATGAATGTTTACATTTGAAATGGCCTCATTTAATGGGAAGAAGGTCCAGGAATCCATAATAGCTTCCAGAAAGTAATTGAACCAAAAATGTGAAAAAGAAAAATTTAAAACGGCATTGGAAAAGGCAAAGGATCAAGAAGGAAGAATTATCAAACAAAGTCAAGTACTTGTCAATGATGCTCAGGGCATGAAAACAATCTCAGCCTGATCCGGTATATCCATCCTAAGACCAATACGGATTTCCTTTTTTCTATAAGGATATTTGTAAGGAGTCCTGTAGCTCAGTAGTCAGAGCTCCAGCCTCGCATACAAGAGACCTGGGTTCGATTCCCAGCAGGGCGAAACCTTGGGCAAGTTTCCTTACTCCACATGCATGATAATAATCCCTCAAGAAAAAAAATAGTAAATTAGTCACTGCAACCACGACTGTTTGTAGGACACTGCTGTGTGCAATTGGCTGGCGGGTTTTGCCCACAAATATACAGTCAATTCACTTTATAGTATATTCTGTGAAGCGCTTTGAGACATCTAGAAGATGTGAAAAGCGCTTACATCAAATGGATTATTATATGTACGTGTTGCTGGAAGAGTTGGCAAATAAGATGAGCTGCAGCTAGCTTTTCCTGAAATGTCCAAAACGTTTTTAATTAGGGTATTTAAGAAGAAATTCATATTTACAACACACATTCAGAATGATTAAAGAGTTTGCAATTACAATAAAGTCATCTTCTCTGCAAATTTTTAGCCTAAGATAAAAACAATGGAAATCCATCAGTAAAATACTTTTGCCGCTGGCAGAATGGCGTACCAGTGAAACGTAGATTTAAAGCATAGAAATACAACAGGTCAGGAAATAGGGGTCACTGCTAGTTTGCCTTGGGGAAAATCAATTCAACTAAATATATTGAGAATTTGAGCAAAACAGGGCACTTAGGAAATATCCTTTTACAATGGATTAATTGTTCTATGAATTAAACAATGCAAAGTGATTCTAGCCAAGTGCTCGGAATTTGAACTCCTTTTTGAGAGACGAAGATGTGACAAGGCACTATATCAAATGCAAGGATTATTATTATTACTACTAGGATGCCTCAATTACCTGGTTGTCATTTTGTTGTGGGCTTTCACCCTGATTATTCCTGCTCTCTGCTGATTGATCTTTAAAAGAGATAGCAGAGACACAACTGCCTTGTTCTGCGCTGTAAATTTCTAATGGTTTCGTGCATTGGTAAATCTCCCCATGGCTTAGTGTAACTAGCCTGAGTTCCTGCAGACTGACTACAGGCTGAAAACTATACCAAATATTTTGATACGTTTTGCAATGCAAATGAGTCCTTGAACTTACTCTCAGCAATATGCCTAAGCATATAATGTCATTTACAAATTCGTGTCTCCTGATTTCAGAATTGCTGGAATGTAATGGTCAAGCAGTTCTAGACCACTTCAAACCTTAAACACAGCTCCCATCTTCTCTCAGTCGTGCCTTGCCCTCTTCTATAACCATTCACACATTCTCTGAGTCTTACATTTTTTCTTTCTATAATCTCCCTCTCTTGCCTTCTTTTGTCTTGCACCGTCACACCTATGATTTCACCATCTTCTGTCCCCCCACCTAAATTTTTCCTTTGTTTTTCCCTGCCCCCTTCTCTACTTGTCCTTATAATCTACTCCCTTCGAACATTCCCTGGTTCTGATGAAAGATTATCGACCTGAAACATTAACTAATTTTTTAAAAATCCTCTCCATAGATGCTGCCTGACCTGCTGGGTGTTCCCAGCAACTTGTTTTTATTTCAGATTTCTAGCATCTGCGTATTTTGCCTTTTGAAGCAGTTCTAGAGTTTATTAGATATACTCAGCCTTTCATAAACCAATGTTGTGTTTGACTTATTCCTCAGTATTGCAGTACGTTTACATTTAAGGTCTTAAATATACCGTACATCACTGCACAAAATACTTACTATGCTATGGTGTTATGGCTCACCTTCAAAGCCCTCCACGGTCTTGCTCCCCCCTACCTCTGCGACCTCCTAACCCCCTATCATCCAGCTGGCTCCTTCCGCTCCACGGGCTTCGGCCTTCTTCATGTCCCCCGCCTTGTTTGCCCCACTATTGTTGGCGGGCAGACCTTCCGCCACTCTGCACCCACCCTCCGGAACTCCATCCCGCAGTCCCTCCGCTTCGCCCCGTTCCTTGCCACCTTCAAGACGCATCTCAAGACCCTCCTCTTCGACCGTGCTTTCAATCTCCCTGCTTCTCCCCCTGCCCTCCACCCTCCCCGACCCAAACCCCCAGCTCGGGTCCGTAACTCTGTCTGTTTAGTGCCTTGGGACATCCTCCCGACGTGAAAGGGGCTATTACAAATGTAATTTTGTTGTTGTTAATGGAGTTGATTTCTGAGTGTAGGTCTAATTGCATTGGAAAGCTATAATTAAACCTATCATAAAATATTTTTTTCTGCGCCATTCGTTTTATTTGGAGAAAGTGTAATTATTGTTTGTGATATTCTTCCAGAATGCAATGAATACAAGTCTCATTGAGATCAGTGAAAATGTAAAGTTGGGCAGAGAGTATGCCTTGCTGGGAAATTATGATTCTGCACTAGTTTACTACCAAGGCGTGATTGAACAGATTCAAAAATACTTATCCTGTGTCAGAGATCCTTTGAACAAACAGAAATGGCAACAAGTAAGACACTTTACTTATTTTTCTATTATGTGTTTACTTAATAAAGAGATGATGGATGCCTTATAGTTGCTGATGCAGGTTAACTGCTGTACTTGTCTTTTATTATTTTAGTCTGTAGTTTAGAAATAAACCTACCAGGTTATATAAACCTATCAAACAACATTCACTTCAAACTGAGCAATAATGAGAAGGAAGTTGCATGACTACTTTGGTTTGCATTGTTACACCCCTGGCGAAGTCACTAGTTAACTACAGGACCATCTTACAAGCTAGCGCCCCAAATAACATGCAATGGTTGAAAAGAAAATTATTCAAAAGCAGACCGACAAAGCGAGAACAGAAAAGGTTGTTAAAATTCATCAGAGTGGTCTAAAAAGAGTCTGGGTGAGAATCTCCAACTTAGTGCTGAGCTCTGCAATTTGAATAAAACATTTCCAGAAAATCAACAGAAGCAAATGCAGGACATGAACTGCAGCTCTTTATAGCCCTTTAACTTTTTAAGTAAGGCACTGATGGCGACAGTAGTCTTTTGCCACTTTGTTAAACAGTCCATTTTCTAGTCCACCCAAGTGAATCTGCAGTTGCTGATATGATAGAATCCGTTTTATTTGACTGTGAGATGGATGCTCCCGATGGGTCAATAGGAACCAAATTCTGTTATCCATTTCTCATACTTCTCAAGGTCTGCAGCAGCCACAGACTTTGAGACTTTTTTCAAAGACATTTCAAAATCTTCCATAGTTGTTGGCATCTGCAGCTCATCCCTCGATATGTTTCTTATTTCCTCTGGAGTCAGACCTTGGATGCGCCGTCGCATAGCCATCATGGAGGCATCCCTGTACACAATAAATACCTTGATATATTACACAGGGCAGCAGTAACTGAAGAGCACAGCCATTACCTCATCTTATTCCTCAACACAGATATATACATTTCCAATCTTGAATATTGTGCACAAAAGGAAGAAATTTAAAAACCAAAGTACTGGAGTGGCTTTGCCAACTGCCTTTTTACTTCTGGAACCTGATTCAATTAAGTCCAGACTGCTGGGATGAAGCCTCCTGTACTGGGTGCAAGTGACCTGTACGAAACAAGTTGGTCAACAGAAAGATAAAGGAGTCTTTTTGATCGATAGTCATATCTACATCAGTCTAGCGGTGCACTAGGAATTGCTGGAAACACTTGTGTACGTCACATGTGCAAGAAAAGATGTCAAAGTTGTCCTGACATTCTAGAAGTGATGTTGGCCACTTTCATAAACATGCCACATTATACTGCGGGGTTTAAGTTTATGGACCCAAACCATTATCTTATGACAGGGTTGACCTTTAATCCCTTGCACTTACCCTCAAACTAGGCTCGTTAGTTTCTGATTTTAACTGTTTAAAAAAAGGTATTTGTTGGATTTTCAAATTGAAGAAAATTAATTGCCACTGATAATTTTTTTTAAAAAAATGTCACTTTCTGCACTGCACACGACAATCATTTTTGTAGTTAAAACCCCCCACTAAAAATAAGGTAAAAGAAACATCGATATTATCTGTTTAAATAAAAAGCGGATCAAGAGGACAATAATTTATACATCTTTAACACTGGGAGGACATCTCAAAGAATCTCATGCAACTGACTGGGAACAGGGGATTAAGTGAAGGCACAAGAGAAATAACATGGAAACAAAGTAAAACATGGAAACCAAGATATCGTTCACCCCAAACAAACCTGCAAACATTGGTAATGTCTGCTCCAGAGTAACCTTCCATTTGTTCCGCTATTTTCTTGATATCTATATCATCTGCTACCTCCAGTTCTTTGAGGTTAATCCGCAGCAGTTCCTCTCTGCCCTTTGCTGAAAAAGTAAATTATTTTGAAGTAAATGCTCGGGTTGGCAGTATAATATTGACATCTAGTGGATCCTTTATTCAAAGCTAGTACTGAAAAGTTCAAAATCCTGAATTTAAATCTTTTAAGTGTGAAGCCAAAGTTAAGCAACTTCCCATTTCATATGTTTTTCTTTTATACTTGAACAACGTTTTAAATTTTGCGAGAAACAGCACAACAGAACTGAATTAATCCATCATTAGCAAAACAATCTCCTCAACCATCAACCGGTCATCTCATGGTGGTTTAGAGATACCTCGCTGGTGTAAATGTCCATCACGACTGCCTACATACAGTCAATATACTTTACAATAATTATCTGTCAAGGCCTTTCAGATGTTTTGACATGATAGAATGCTATACAAATGCAGTTTGCTAAGAGAATCTTTTGAGATCGTCACTACTATACTCAGGACTATGCCGAAGGATAGTGGTGAAAAGACTTTTACTTAAATAAAGATTAGGCAATTGTTTAATATCTTACATACTTATTATAAGCATTAGGTGTAGTCTCCATCATCTGAAGTATTACCAGTACCTGAGGGCAAAGGAATATAAACTCGCTTTTCTAGACGTCTTCTTAGAGCTTCATCAATATCCCAGGGAAAGTTAGTCGCTGCCAGAACCATGACCATTTTAGAAGGATCATCATTTTCTGAAGCACCACCAACACCTAGAGTATATGGAGAGACTGCATCAATAAGTGATACACATTCCCTACAATTCACTCAAACAGCCATCATCTAAGATTGGAGTGATTTCTTGGTGCTCCTGGAGTACAAATGGCTGTATTTTTGCAAGACATTGCATATCACATGATTTAATTGTTCTTCTGTGGCCACAACGCTCCATAAAATAAAAAACTGCTTTTTCCAACTTGGCAATTCAGGCCTGTATTACTGACTGAAGGCTACATTTGAGTTTGTGAACCAGATAGCCCTGAGGTCTGAACTGTCAGTTTGCTACATTCACCGAGGTGGGAATAACTTATTAAATCCACGTAAAAATAATACATCTTCTCTTTGTCTTTTTAATCATGCTTAAGAACGCCACCTCGCGACGAGCGACCGGTTGCAGACCCTGATCTTGACTATGAGTTCCATTAAGATGCGTGCATACCATCCATCTGAACAAGTAGCTCTGCTTTCACTCGTCTGCTGGCCTCATGTTCCTCAGCAGTTCCTCGCCGACTGCAAATGGAGTCAATTTCATCAATGAAAATAGTTGTTGGGGCATAAAACCTGGCCTCCAAAACAAGAAACACAAACGCGTAGTCATGATTCCACAGCAACACTTATTATTATGACATTGCTAGCAACTAGGTCAACAGTGGCCCGGGAGCTTTTACAGTGCATATGTTACCAAATGTAATTTTTAACACTTGCCTACAATAATAGTAATCCTTACATTTGGTATACTGCCTTTCACATTGGAGGAAATTCCAAATGCACTTCATAGGATTCGCTATAAAGTTGCATTGACTATGTGTCTTGTGGGCAAACCCAGCAGCCAATTTACACACAGCAATGCCCCACAAAGGGCCATGAATGACCAATTTTATTTCGGGGTTTTTGGCCAGGGCACCGGGAGTAATTGCCTTTTCTTTTTGAATGGTGCCATGGGATCTTTAACAGCTACTTCAACAGGCAGACAGAGCTTCAGTTTAATATCTCATTTGAAGGACAGCATCTCCAACAGTGCAGTACACCCCAAGCACTGCATTGGTGTCATCTTAGCCTACAGGAGTTCCAAATCCTGCTCTGGGGCTAAAACACTAAAGTGTGATTTTAATATAAATAATAATCCTTGCATTTGATATAGCGCTTTCACGTCTAGACGTCCCAAAGCGCTTCACAGAATAACTGTAAAGTGAATGACTGTATATTTGTGGGCGAACGCAGCAATGCGCACAGCAGTGTCCCACAACAAGAGTGGGACTGTTTAACTAAAACGACTAAAACAGTTAAACTTTAAACTTTGTTTAACTTAGAAGGGATATTTACCATCAATTTTTATTTTTTACTTTTTATATTTTGATTTTTCTTTTTTGTAGATATTTGTATAGTCAAAGCTGATGTCGTCTGGTTGATGGAGGAGTTGCCGACAGTACGAGCAGGATGAATATCAGTATGTTCATTAAATTTAGAGTGCTATGGCAGTTTTGGCATAGAAGTTTATCTTTAGCCCTGCTCAAACTATAAGAATCTATTTCCTGCACATTAACAACACTAACTTGGAACCAAAGTGCTACATATTCTCCAGTGTCTAACACCAATTTACTGTAGCTGGAATTTTAAGACATCGAATATGATTTGTGATCATCTCCCCACCTGGCCGAACAGGAGCCAAATCATGTTTACAGGTTTCTTACACCTCAGATTCAGTTTTCTTTTCAATGCTATTAAAAAATAATATGATTTTGAAAGTTCCCTTGCTGCTATTTAATATGTGGTACTAACATACTTCATGCTCAAATGAAACAGCAAAATGAGACGTTGCAAATGTCGTTAAGATAGCAGTTTGGAAGAAGCTTAATTACAATGTTTTTAATGTTACAATAGATCATTATTCAGTTAATGAAGTCCAGATCTGCATAAATACTTACCATTTCAAACAATAAGCGGACAAGTTTCTCGGACTCTCCTCTATATTTGGAAGTGAGTGTTGATGAAGAGACATTGAAGAATGTTGTTCGACACTCCGTAGCTACTGCTTTAGCCAGCATAGTTTTCCCTGTCCCAGGGGGACCAACCATCAGCACACCCTGTGAATTACATGCAAGCACACTTACTTTCAAACTCTTATTATTCAGCATGTAACTGTAGCATCCAATAAAACCCACTGCCTCACAATGTCAAAACATCATAAAATGTTTTCCAGTAATTGCTGTCAATGTAGGCAAATATATGTATTTTAGTCCAAAACAAAATCCATAAACAATTGAGGTGAATGACCAATTTATCTACAGGATTGGATACTTGGAGAAACTCACTTCTCTTTTCAAACAGTACCTTTAGCATCCCATCAGTATAACAGCAAGGCTCACCCATAGTCTTTTAGGATTCCAGATTTTGCTTTGTTTCACATGAATAACATAATATCTACACACACAGCAGGAACCA